GCCTGAGGGGCAGGCCGCGCTTCAGTTTCATCAGGTGTTGCATTGTGGTCATTTGCGTGTTGAATTTCCGCGGTTTCGTTGCTGCTCGTGGTTGTTTCATCAGGAGGATTTTCAGGTGTTTGACGCAAGTGTACGCGATTGCGACGGTAGATGCCGGAGGGCGTTTCGACAACGTAGGAACGCTCATCCAAGCGTCGCTTCACGATTGCTCTTTCCCAGTTCTTTTGCCCCTGGACAAGAGGTTGCATTCGCACGGTATCACCTTCCTGCAGTGGGGTCAAATCTTTTGCAGATTTGTTGTAGTTGTACGCTTGCTTTGCGATACGTAATTGCATCTTCTCACGTTCACGTATTACCCTTGGCTCGAGTAGACTCGCTGAAGTAGGCAAGAGCGTGCGTGTACGGCGATTCATAAGTCGTTGGGCCGGACTTGTATCCAGACCTTGCGAAGGTGTATTGCGGTGATCCAACAATGCAAGGTAAGTATCGGACCGCGACTTATCACTCTTCATGATGATGCGTTTTGCTGTTTTGACTGCGGATTCTGCCTTTCCATTGGCTCTGCTGTTACCGGGACTACTGCAGAGATGCTCGAAATCCCATTCACTTGCGAACTGCCGAAACACGGCTGATGTATACTGGGGCCCGTTGTCGCTAACGACTTGCGTAGGGCTTCCATATCTCGCGAAGTGTGCTTTGAGCTTTCGAATCACCAATTGGCTACTTGTGTTATCCAGTCGGTCAACTTCAAAGAAGTTGCTGTAGTAATCGACGGTTACCATGTAATCTTTTCCCTTCAATGAGAAAAGATCTGTGCCTATTTTTTCCCATGGCCTTTGAGGCAGATCATGAGCCATCAGAGGCTCCTTTTGTTGCTTGACTTCGTATGATCGGCATACATCACATGTCGCGATAAACTGCTTGATTTCACTAGCCATACCAGGCCAAAAGATTGATTCGCGAGCACGTCGAAGACACCCTTCCATGCCCAGATGGGATGAGTGGATCTTTTCCTTCATCTCCCTGCGAAGGCTTATTGGAATTATCACACGCTCTCCTTTGAAGATTAGACCATCATGAACTGCTAGTTCATCTCTGTAACCGAAATATGGTGTTAGCTCCTCAGGCAGAGTGTGCCGGTCATTCGGCCACCCGCTGACGATGACGCTCTTGAGCTTCTGAAGTATTTGATCTGCAGCGGTCTGCTCACGAATTTGCTGAAGGCGCTCATCTCGGATAGGTAAATGTGCTACCATATTCACTTCTTCAAAGAAATTCACTTCGCTTGGATCACCACCAACTGCCCGCGACAAGGTATCTGCGAGATACATGAGCTTTCCTTGTTGATAGCTGATATCAAAATGATATTTTTGAAGACGGAGGAGCATCCCCTGAAGGCGTTTCGGAGCCTTCACCAGCGGCTTCTTTATGATCATTTCAAGCGGCTTGTGGTCGCTCACAACGCTAGTAAATCGACCAAACGTGTATTGATGAAAACGCTCCATTGAAAACACTACAGCTAGCATTTCCTTCTCAATTGAGGCGTACCGCGATTCTGTGTCGGTCAAGGATCTACTGGCATACGCTATGGGGCGTCCATTCTGCAGAAGTGCTGCTCCCAAACCCTTGTTGCTTGCGTCGCATTGGATGGTTAGCTCTTCCTTAGGGTTGTAGTAGGCCAAGAGTGGTGCTTCTGAAACCATTCTTTTGATGTTTGACATTGCGTTGGCTTGCTCTGTAGACCATTCCCATGCTATGTCTGGGCGTGTCAGCTGTCTGATGGGTTCTAGCGTATCGGACAGACTGGGCAAGAATCTGCTTAGGTAGTTCACAAATCCCACTAACCTCTGCACGCCTTGTACGTCAGAGGGATTTGGCATTTTGAGGACATCAGCAACCTTCTTTGGATCAGGCTGTAGTCCTGCACTTGTGACGACATGTCCTAGGAAAGGAATCTCAGTTGCTCTGAACACGGACTTCTCCTTGTTGAGCTTGATGTGTTGTTCAACACATCGCTGGAACAATTGCTCAAGCTTCGAGTCGTGGTCGATGATTGCTTCTTCCATCGTTGTCCCTTTCCCATACACAAGGATATCGTCTGCTACGCAAATCACCCCTGGCAGTCCTTCAAGTGCTTGATGCAATCTTTGCTGGAAGATTTCTGATGAGGCACTTGTACCGAATGGTAAACGGCGCCATCGGTAGCGGCCAAAGGGCGTGTTGAATGTCGTCAGGTGGCTTGAGGGCTCATCAAGTTTCACTTGCCAGAATGCAGAACTCATATCAAGCTTGCTGAAGATCTTTGCTTGGTTGAGATCTGGCAAGATATCCTCAACTATAGGTAGAGGGTAGTGCTCGCGTTTGAGTGCCTTGTTCAGTGGCCGTGGATCAATGCATATCCTAAGGTCACCATTCTTTTTCTCAGCCACCACTAGTTGGCTGACCCAACTCGTCGGTTTTGTCACCTTCGCGATCACTTCACGGTCAACCATGCGATCCAACTCTGCTTTCACTTTTTGTTTGATTGCATGGGGTAGTCTTCTTGGAGGTAAGATGGTGGGCTGCACCTCTTTATCCACTTGCAGGTTGACCTCTCCAGGCATCTCTCCCAGCTCTCCATCAAAGACTTCTGCATAGCGTTCTTCAGGCTTGCATGCCTTGTCTTTCTGGCTGGAAGCTGCGTGAACTCTTATGAAGTTCTCATTATTGACCGTGATGAGCTTCAAATGCTGGCTGACTGTGCTTCCCAACAACGGTGTGAAGTCCTTGTCCACCACTATGAATTCCACCGAATATTTCTGCTTCGTCTTGGGGTTTAGCATCTTGACCCTGCTGACGCCTTCGATGGCCATTGTGATTTCGTTCCACATCATGAGCTTTTTCTTGCTAGGTTTCAGGACGTAGTCAGCCCCTTCCAGGTGTCTCAATGGCAGGATGTTGGCACTAGCCCCGCTATCCACCTGGAAGTCTACTGCTTTCTCATTGATCATCATTCTGGCATACACCTCATCTCTCGGTTTAACGGTGTTGATGGTGATTGTGACATTGTCTATATACTCGGTGCTCGAGTCACTGTCGGCTGGATCATTTACTTGGTGCATTCGTTTGCTCAGCATGCACACATTGGCGAAGTGGTTTTGCTTTCCACATGCCTTGCAGGTTTGTCCGTAGGCTGGACATTTGTTTTTGTCCCGCGGGTGCTCCCTGCCACAGTACTTGCATTGAGATTTTGCTGCTTTGCCAGTGCTGCGCTTGCTGTTATCTCTTTTTGGTCCACCGCTCTGCTTTCCTTTCTTAAAGCTTGGCCGGATCTTATGGATATGAGCCGCTGATCTGCTGCTACCGGCCTCACTGAAAGCTTTGAGGTGCGATTCAGCTGTCTCTGCGCTCTTACAGATGTCGATGCAGCCACCGAGTGTCAGTTTCCTTTCTTGTAGTAGTTGCTTCCTCGTCTGCGCATCATTGGTGCCCAGCACTATCTTGTCCCGGAGGAGGCTGTCTGTCATGCATTTACAGAAATTACATGATTTGGCGAGAGATCTGAGATTGGCAAGAAATGACTCAAAACTCTCACCTGGTTCTTGTTGCCGTTTATTGAAGAGGTATCTCTCGTAGGTTTCATTCTTCTCACCGACAGCGTACCGTTCAAATGCCTCTATTATCTCATCCAGGTTGCTAGTTTCCCCATTGGCATTAGCGAAAACAAAACTGTTGTATATTTCTAGTCCCAACGGGCCGATTGTATGCAAAAACAATGCCGTCTGGTACACTGATGCTTGGCGATCCAGATGTGCTACCACGCTGTAGTTCGTCCACATCTGACGCCATGTTTTCCACCCCTCAATCACTCCGCGATTTATAGTCAATTGGGGTGGTGGTCGTATCCCGCTCACGGGAGGCGGTGCTGACACTCTCTGCTGAGTGCGACCCGTCGCTAGCTGCGTAGGCGACTGGTCAGCCGTCCCGTTCTGCTCGACATTGCCATCGGGCTGCTGCTGAGCGGCTGTCTCATGTTCGCCTGTTGTAGGCATATTTTCTGACGGCTGGATTCACTTATTCAAGACCTCAAAATTTGTTCACACATATATTCACCTCAGCTTGAAACTTGCGCTATTAATTTAGCACTGTCCTTTTTCTCGTAGGATTTAAGCTATCCTGTGAAAATGTCAAATTCTAAGGCTCCGCCGCTGCCACCATGTATTGAGACGTAGTTCAGATATATAAGACACGCGCATGCGTGGACTTTATTAAGTCATTCAATCCCGTAGGATACATACATGTATATCATAACACCTACAAAGTACAATACATATGAAATACACATCAACATGATCAATGTGAACAGAGTACCGAAGTTAATCATCAAAAGCAAATTTGGATATAGACTACAGTATTTCTTGAAATAAAGTAGACACATTACCACCAAGTCACACCAAGGTCTATGGGATAATGCATGCAGTCACGCGTGACACAGTGTGAGACTGCCAACTTTATTCCAAGCAATACTGTATGTGTCTTGAGACCAGGATGCTTGAGACAAGTTACAGTACTTACTTACAATTACATAGACCGAAGTTTCTGTCTATTTCGTTCGTTAGCCTCTCATTTGGGTAGGGTCGGCTCCTCTCAAGAGAAGAGAGGAGCCGACCCTACGGCCCTACCCAAATCAGAGGCTAGAATAGAAGAACTTAGATCTAGATCTAGTACTTGGAAGAGAGGAGCCGACCCTACCTAAATCAGAGCAGAGGCTAACAAACGAAAGAGACAGAAACTTTGGTCAATTACTTACAGTACTTTACAACCATAGCAATTAGTTTAGTTAGAGCAATATAAACACGTTTAAACTGTAAATTTGCAGTATTTAATAATACGTTTCTTAGCTTATATTTATAAGTTACATCTGGCCTGCCGATACTTCACACAGAACAGAGGAACAGTACAGTAAACCACTAACTCAAACTCTGTCAGAGTCAGAGTACAGTCGGACTCAAAATACTCACTAGCAGTTTACTGTCGTCGTCCTTCCCAAAGCAGCAACCCATTTTGTTCAAATATCTCGAATCTCGTGACTTCCTATGAATTATTATATGCACACTCACAAAACAGTCATTTTATTATGAATACAGAAATTAATTCAGACGTCCTGTTTCAAGTCATTTTGAGCAATAAGTTCTGGTTGTACCGAGTCCAAATCGTAGCTGCATACATGCAATATATTGTGTGCAGGTCATATGACTTTAAAGACGTAGTCTCTTTGATGTCTGTGTAATTTATGATTAATCAGAATAAGGGGGAAAAAAGATTCCTTTAGGCAAACAATTTTATAAAAATCCTAAAATCTCAAATGAAACAAGTAATATTTTGTTTTTATAACTGATATTTGATATTCTACTATACTCTACTAGTTTATCGAGTAGTAAACAAAATCCCGCTAAATCTGATATCCTTGATCAAGTATAGGGCTAACTCATTTTCAGGGTCTTGCGCGCTGCGGTCGACGATGGATGACCGCCTATTGTACTCCCTCTTTCACAGAATCTCTCTCTCTCTCTAGTGAATTTCCTAGTATAGTCCTATACGATTTGAGATATATTCTCATAATTTCTAATCTATATTGAATATTTTTAAATTTCTGGGTACTACAGTCATAGGCCTACTTATCTTTATTCTTTCATAGAGTATTTGACTACTTGATGTTACTAAAAAAAAGTCATCTATTAAAATCAACTTCTCCCTATTTTTGCTGCAATTAAGTGAATTAAAATGACGGAATGGAGCGCTATACAGTGCGTCCCAGATATTAACGAGCCTAATTTCCCAGTTTGATACAGAATTGTATAGTCCTACGAGGCTAAAACAGCCTAGCAATATAAGTAGCAGACGATTTTCCGCCCGGCGCCCCGCGCCCCCCCCCCCCCCCCCGGCCCCACCCCCTCCCCGACAGTGATTTGGGGTGGGCTATTCGATCATTGCACTCCCTCCAGAATAACGAAATAACTTCTGTAAGGGTGTGTATATGATCACTCTTGCGATTATAATGTTAATCGCAACATAGTCAATGTAGGCTTCTTTGAAAATGCATTTTTAGTAAGGTCTAAGACAGGACAAGTAGGCTCGGCAATCGAACTGGGAGCGGGGAGCATTTCCCATTAATTTCAGAGGGACTGATATCTCGGAAAATGTGAAGAAAACAAAATCCCACTAATTTAAAATTATTAAATTTTGTTTGCAAGAGGTACAATAATCCGAGTGAAAGACTTTTGTGCTTGATCGTAAGTTTCAAACGACTAGTTATTATTTTACAGCTGTATAGGCTACAATCTTTAATAAACAAATCGAGAGATTGTATTGTATGATCGGATATATATGTATTCCATCTTAAAGGTAATACAAAGTTTTGGGAAATTTTGAAAGTTGGGTGGATAATGAATCTTTACAATTTTGATATATTTGTATGCCCCTGTGGATGTATTATAAGCACTGGAAAATTTAACCCCAAAACACTTCTGTTTTCGAGAAAAATTGAATATAAAAATTTACCGGTGCTCCCGGTAAATTTCAAATAGCGCCTACGGCCGTACAATGGTAGCTGCGACCATGAAAATCTCAAAATATGTAGTTGTGATATATAATTTCCAAACGGGAATAGCTAATCGGTCGATTTTAGTCAAGAAACATTGTTTCATTGCTAAATTAATATCTTGACCTTGAGAGGGAGCTATACAACATAAAGAGTTTATTATTTATAATTTCCTAACTTTAGACTCGATTTCAACCGGGACAACGATCAATGAATATTGTAGGAACGCAGTGGCGTACGCAGGATTTTTTCAAGGGGGGGGGGGGGGGTTTTAAAAATCGGGTCCAAAATTTCGCAACGACTCTGGAAAATTTGAAAATCGCGCCGGCCTAAAAGTCGCTCAGTGGGGGTGGGGGGGGGGGGGGGGGGGGGTAAGCGGACACTTTTTTTTTTTTTTTTGGGAGTCCAAAAAAAATCGCAACGACTCAGCAAGCCGAAAAGTCGCTCAGTGGGGGGGGGGGGGGGGGGGGGGGGGGGGGAGTAAGAGGACACTTTTTTTTTTGGTCTCGAAATTTGAAAATTTGACATTTTGCTCCGTTGGGGGGGGGGGGGGTAAGGTCACCTTTCTTAGGTCAGCCATGGTGGGGGGGGGGGTTTAAGGGATTTTTTAGGGGGGTTTACACACATAAAAATACCAAAGGGGGGGGTTTAACCCCCTAAACACCCCCCCTGCGTACGCGCCTGTAGGAACGCATATACTTCCAATATGTTAATTTGAACCAAATTCATGACCCCATACCAAAACTTTGTAATACCTTTAACCTAAAATTAGAAGTACCTATATATAAAACTTAAACAGAAGTGTTGATCTCTGAAGCTATGGGTCGCAGAGCTACCCTAGCTGCTCAAGAATAAAATCATAGAAGGTAAAATAAGGTCCAGCTGCCCTCGGTCGTAAATGTATATTTCATCGTATATCAAGACAATTGCCCTGGACAATCACCCGAGGAAATCCCCCCCCCCCGAAGGACAATTACCAGGCCTGACAATTATCGTTACCCCCTACCCCAGAAAATACCCCCCTAGTACAATAATATTACCCCCCCCCCTAGGACAACCACCCCGAGCATTTAGACTAATAAAATTGCAAAAGTCTTCTCGCTCGGTAGCTACGCTCCCTCGCATAATATCCTTCAAAGTATGTACAGGTGAATATTGTAAAAAATCCCGTATCGCCCTCCGAAAATAAGTTGGTTTTAATAAAAGCAGCACTTTTCGGGGGTCAGTAACCCTTGAGGAAGGTTGTCCTCGCGGGGGGTGGGGGATAATTGGCCTTGGAAATGAATAGAATGATGGGCTGTTGTGTGTTGAACGAATGGAGTAGAATCCGGGGGGGGGGGGTGTACTTTGGTTTGGGCGGGGGTGTGCGGCTGAGGCGTCTTAACCAATTTGCATTTTTCGGGTCATTTTTGTAGAAAATGGTACCCATTATAAGCAGGGGGCGGCGATTTCTTTCATGACCGAGGGGGGGGGGGGGGACAAAATGCGAGATTTTTTAAACAATATTTACTTGTATATTTTGAAGGGTATTATGCAAGGGAGCGTAGCGACCGAACGAGAAGATTTTGCATTTTTATGAGTCTAAATGCTGCGCCCCCTTGGGCCCTCAAGAGCCTAAAATGGGCCGGGGGACGATCCCCCCGAAACAAATTAAAGACGGGAGGACGTGTCCCCCCACTCGGGATCGCCGCCCCTCATAGGGACTTCCATTAAAAACGCATGTTGTACCCAAAAGTTGTAATGGCAGACTAAGTTGTGATCACAGATGTTTGTATTGCTCGAGGAGGAGGGAGGGAGGGGGGGGGGGGTTACCCGTTTATCAATTAGTCTGGAGCGGAGCTCATTCATTTTTAATAAATCTGTGCGACCCATCGGCGAGTGACCGTGGATGAAAATCGAAATTATTTCAATTATTTTTGCGGGATTTTGCATCTGGAATTTTCACTTTATGGGTGAGATATTATCCTGAAGAAAATAGTATCCCATGTTTAAGGCCAAGATCTGAAAAGTGGGCCGGGTACTTTTAGGGATTTTTTGCAAAAACTTCCCGGGGAGGGGGGGGGGGTACTCTAATTTGGCTTGGACGCTTGCTTTCTTCACTCGCTTGTTGATAATTGGACAAATTATCACATCGACCCCGCCTCTGGCGAAATTGTACCTGACGGCTATAAATTATGCATGTATGCAGGTGTATCGAGTATCGACTAACTTAATTGGCCTTGATTGATATGGGGATGTTCCAGTCTTCCAGAGGTTATGTTTAATATAATTTGGCAAAAATGTATAGCTGCCACAAATAAAGTATGATTAGAATGATGAAATTTGAATGATGAACCCAATGTTGTCGGAAGATTGGAACATAGAGCTCCCTGTTGTCACGAAGTACCTGGGTTGGTTGCGGGCACTTTGAAGGCCCCACATATTTTGCGTTTCAATTTAGTCGAATTGGAAATGCGCATGCGCAAATTGGCTGCAGCCATTTTCTAGCATTCACCACGAGGTGTAGATGGCAACCTCGTAGAATTTCACGAAATATCGTTTATTTCGACTTAGAAAGTGACTTAGGTGAATCTGTCTGAACCATGCCTTCTTCGAGCCCTCTTCCTCCCAAGGAGAATGCTCTCTTCAAGAGAATATTGGTAAGACCAATTATAATTGATTGCCGAAGTAGTCGAACTTTGTGGTTAGTGCGCAAAGAACGTGCAAAATTGTGTGCAAATGAATGGAATTAATGGGCTGTTGCGTGTTGAGCGAATGGAGTAGAATTTCGTACTCGGTCAGTGTGTATTCTGAGTAGTGACAAGCTGACATGTGATCAACGATCGCGACTCGCCCAGCTATTCAGTAGGCCTACCGTCACTCAGTCACTGAATTTGCGTAGATGTCTTGGTTGAAATATTCTGTCATTTTCATGATGGTTCCACTGCCTGGTCTTGTGTATTAAAATTGACAGAATATTTTAAAAGAAATCTCGCCCGTCTACTCTTAATCAGTTAATTGTGTAGCAGAAGAAATAATTTATCGATAAAGGAAATGATTTGTATTCTCCAGCTCCAACTCCAACTGTAAATTATTTAAGGCAAGCATATTTATATAATCAAGAGGTGGGGAGATGCAGGTTCATGTTTGCATAATTCTGCATTTACTTGACCTATTTATGGGCTGATAATTGACAGGATTTAAGCACATTTCAGGAAACCAATTTCAATTCAGGAAACCAATTTCAACCTCGTGTGTCCTTCATGCTCTTTTCCATCTTTGTTCTAAAAAATCGTTGGTTATCACATCATTTAATAATATGTCTTGGACTGTTCAACAGTTGTAATGTTAGATGGTCACAACTTTTTGGAAGTGCTTCTGTTATATTTTGATTCCAAAATCATGAAAAGGCACTTAATATCAACAAACATGGTCTAAAACAACTCCTAAAGACAAAATAATCCCAGCTTTTCATGTTTTTTTAGCATTTGGTAGCCCAAACCTTGAAAAATGTTGTCATTTTTAAAAATATTTGTTTACCGATCATTTTTATTGATTGGCGATCGGAGTTTAATATCCAATTTCATCCTGATCGGCCAACGATCCAATGATCGGTTACAGGGTTAGTCTCTGTGAAAATGCGGACGATCCTTATTTTTTAGGAAGCGATAATTTTCTGCGTTTAATAGATCTACTAGGATATCCTTGTTCTCGGACCAGCTCCCCCACCGATAGCAATTTAAGTTCTTGGCTTTTTGCTTTTTAAGTTTTTAACAATTCAACGGTTTGACCATTTCACAATAATTTTTGATACTCTCAGTCTGAGTAAGGTTAGTGGTAAGTGAAGGCTCTGTAGCCTTAATAGGAATGCCAGAGGTGCTGCACAGCACTTATTTGTCTGTTCCAAAGAAGTGTTTCAATATGTACAGTCTGTTTTTAGCTTAATTTGTTTGTAGTTTCACAATAAAAAAACAACACTTGCATATCCTGAATTTCAGATAAAATATTACATAATTTGTCCGGTCAATGGAGCGAATAGATTAATCTATTATAACGCAATTGAATTTTTGAAAAGAAACTATAATTATATCCACTGATTAATTAATCCAGGGATTAGGATCTAGTGTTGAGGACTTATGTCAATTACTTGTAACTGGAAAAGTGTGGTAAATATGAGTTCTGAGTATAATTGTAAGTAATGGCAAGGACATGTTCCTGTGTAAATTGTTACCAGTTTTAGGCATCTGTGCCATTAACACACTGAGATATGTTTGTTGTTTATTGACAGAAATGCTATGAACAGAAGCAGTACAAGAATGGACTCAAATTTTCCAAGCAGATTCTATCGAATCCAAAGTTTGCTGAACATGGAGGTAAGTTGAATATTTTCTATGTGTGTTAAAGCACAGATGAGTTTATGATTCAATTTAGTGTTCTATTCCAAGAGGGTTATTTATTTACAGAAGTTTTTGTTTGATTGACTGTTTGTAAGATGGGGGTCTCGATCCCTTTTTTTCCTTTTAGGTCTTGGGGCCTTTTTTTTTATCTTGAGGCTAATGGGTGGTGAAGAGGCTAGAGTCATCACAGGTTTTGCAGAACCGGTGGTTGACTTGCAAAATTTCAGGCATGAACCAGTTCCCTGATCAAGAATTTTCCAAGCACCGAAAATTGTGTGCGCGTGCAGCAATAGGATTTACTGTGAAAATGCTGATCTAATAATGTGACAGAAAGGACATGCTTCCAAATCAATTTAAAAAAATGGCTTCTCTGGGTGGGGTACATAACATTTCGGGAGAAAATAAAATTATTTAGATTAGAATGACAGCTACAAGTTTTGTTTGCTTCTGATATTAAGGAATTCAAGGGAGAAATCAAGCTTTGTGATACCATGCATCCTATTAGCCAAATGAAAAATGGGTTACGTAGCAACTTCATATGAACATACGACCACACTCTGATTTGATGATTACTTTGCTTTTTTTTTTCAGAAACACTTTCCATGAAAGGCCTCATTCTGAACTGCCTAGGCAAGAAAGAAGAAGCAATGGAGTTGGTGAAGAGAGGACTTCGTAACGATCTCCGAAGTCATGTCTGTATCCTTTAAAAAAGATATTCAAGATATCCAAGTAGGGGTGCCAAGCACACGACATACCGTGTATCAAGCGAGCATTATCGATGAAGTCCAGTGCGCATGCCTCAGTTTAGCAAATATCAAGTGCATAGACTGATTTGATGTTGGTAAATAAGTAGCTATACTGACCTATCTTGATCTCAACAATGCTGTTACAAATATTGGGTTTGGAACAAGGATCTGTTCAAAGACTGTTCTCTTGAAGGTTCTCACCTTCGTTTCTCTGGCTTTTACCCAAGCATTGAAGAGTCACGGTCAGTCTGATCTTGTCTCTGCAATGCTTAGAATTTAGATGAATTTCAAACTTCCAGAATGTGTAGTGGGTCATTATTTATGGAGGAAAATGTTTTTTTGCTGATGGATACCAAACTGAACAAAGGCAAACCAAATTATTGCTACATGTATTTGAAAAGCTTATTGTCCTTAAAGCATTTTGTGTCAGGCTGGCATGTATTTGGTTTGATACAGAGAGCAGAGAGGAAGTATGATGAGGCTATCAAAGCCTACAGGAATGCACTCAAATGGGACAAGGTAAGAAGACGTGTCTGACAAATTGCATGACTATAAATCTAAGGCTTATTTCCTAAAAAAATGATTGATATAAAAATGTGGTATTGGTAATCATTTAAAGGGATCGTTTAACAATGTTAAATCTGAGATGCAGGTCCTACGTGCTATCAGTGCCTGTGATATGGTGTTATATTGAAGCCCTAAAAAAATTGCACTTCAAAATGATCAAAAAGTGCCTCAAAAAATTAAAAACCTTTGAGTGACTGGATTTACCATACTCGTTTTCCCCAATAGACTGTAATGTTATGAAAACTGTTTTATAATTGTTATTGCAGCATAGCTAAATCAAGGATTCTTTAAAAGGATCTAAGACAAAGTTATCGGATCCCTTTAAGCAACTACACACCTTACAGGAATCTCAGACTTCCTTCGGAAATGAGGAGTCAAATGCCACTGGTATTACAAATTTGTTTATCAACTTACCTCAGACCCTTACTAGTTTACTCAATTGTTGTTTGCTGATGAAGCACAGCTTCTTGAGTTATAATTCTACTTTGTTAAGATAAAAAAGGTATCATTCTTCCAAACCATATTTCAGGTAGGTAATGTTAAACTGAGGATACTGGGGTTGAATTAGGGATAAAGAACTTGCCTAAGATCTTAAGTAAAATTTTCTAAAGAGCTTTTGTTTTAGGAGAGATGGATTTGAAGTTTCTTATCTTTTTTGCATTATGTTGTATTTTTCAGGAGAATCTTCAAATTCTACGAGACTTGTCATTGCTTCAGATTCAGATGAGAGATCTAGAAGGGTACAAGGTAAGAACTCAAAAGATAAAGCTCAGCTGTAACCTCCATTTAAAAATACTTTGTGTATTAATAGACCATTACTCTTTGAAAGCAACATTTTTTCATTCAATGCCAAGTATGTATCTCTTTTAGTGTAAAGAATTTACAAAAAAGAAAACCCAAAATGACAAATACTCTTTCTCATGATGATGATATGGTTCCCTCTCCTGACATATTATGGGTGAGGAGAAATCTCTCAAACGTCGTAGCCAAATAAAACAATTCTGAGGGCAAAATCCACAGTAAGATATTCATACTAAATGGCTTCTTCAATTCCTTTGACCGTTCTATCACTTGGCTTGACCTTTTGCTCTGGATATGAATGAATTATATGACAAATGCTCAGGCAACAGCTGCTTTGTAGTCCAGCTCCTACACTAGTTCGATTCCTGACTTAAACCATTTATCAAACACTAGACCAACCCTCGACTTGAAATGAACCCTATATCAAAATTTTGCTGGAGCAAATTGACAACTGCATAAATATGTGGGATGCAATGCCCAACATGAAGTTTAGGGTATCTTTGATAATCCTGCAATGTTGATTGAATGAATCTTCTTGATGTTTATATCAGGATACGAGATATGAGTTACTTCACTTGCGACCAGCACAGAGGGCATCCTGGATCGGTTATGCCATGGCCTTTCATCTCCTCAAAGATTACGACACCGCACTCAATGTGTTGGAGGAATTCAGGAAAACCCAACAGGTATAGTAGCTTCTTGTGAGTGGGCAAATCATAAGAATGGAACTGGAATTAAATGACATAACAAAAACTTGAAGTGCCCATCACATGCTGTTATACTAGACATTTCTGTTGAAGAGATTTGTGATGTAGATGTATTTGATTGTGTAGAGGCAGGGCAGAAAGTTTTGCTCAAATGTGTGACTGTAAAGACAGAAAGACCCTGGTTAAGACCAAGATGAAGCAATTACCTTACATCACATATGCCATCAACAACAAATGATTGAATGGGTAATCTGTCCAACCAACTAAATCCAAGAAAATGAGAATGCCAAAGCTGTGAAGCAAACATGCATTGTCAATGGCAGTGAACAGCTTTGACCCTCTTACATGCAACACAAGTGTGATGAATGAAAAGTACTTGCAAGTTCTTCAGACCTAAACCTTGGCATGTAAAGTGATTATTTCATGTATCTCAATTGAAGTAGAACCGTCTTGTTGCAGTCTGACTCATGACTAACCCCAGTTAATTTATTCTTGAAGATTTCTGCATTGTCTGGTATTGGATAAATATGCAGGAGTGTGAGAACCCTGTATTTGAAGGTAACCAAATCAAGCAACCCTTCCTTCTCTGCCCACAGGTGAAGTCATACGACTATGAACACAGCGAGTTCCTCCTCTACATGAATCAAGTGATGAGGGAAGCTGGGATGCATGAAGAAGCTCTTAACCATCTCATTCAGTACCAACAACAGATATGTGATCAAGTTTGCCTTCAAGAAACAAAAGGTAACACACTATCCGTAGGATGGGACCATGTACATGTGAAATATTGCTACAATAGAAATGATAATTCTGATATTTATGAATGATTAGATAATAGACTAAACTGAGGGCATTGACAAGTTATTGAAAATATTAACATGTGATGAGAAGGGAATCGCCCATTTCAAATGTACTTCTTAGCAGCTATCTAAAGATGTGTACACAGTCGGACTGTATCCCTTCCCCAAATTGCTCACTAGTCATGCATGCATTGGGTATTAATAAAAAAAGAAATCAAATGATGTCAACTGCATTAATACATATTCATGACAATTTTCAAAAGCACCAAAGCCGTTGCAGAAATTCAATCCATTTATACAGAGAGCGTATTGGATTCACTTCAGGACCAGAATGTTGCATTCATTTGATTATCCTCAATGTAGGGTTTATTCTACACTTTGTTTACAGCCTAAGTTAGCGATCCTTTTTTTCTTCAAAATAATAGAAAAACAATTTGGTGATTTAACAGTAGATTGAGAGTTTTGATGGAATATTAACTCAAGTATCTTTTCATTTATCCTTAGCTGATCTGTTATTAAAGCTTGGCAAACCAGACGAAGCAAGGCAGATCTTTGAGCATCTGCTGGAGAGGAATCCTGAGAACTGGGCGTACTATGAGGGCTTGGAGCAAAGCACCAACCCACAGACTGAGGCTGAGAGATTAGCCATCTACACCGCGTACATGGGGAAGTATCCTAGAGCGGCAGCACCCAAGAGGTTACCCCTCAAATTTGTGACAGGTAGTTTATCTCTCCTCTCATCTTTCTTCCCTGTAAGAAACCTGGCTTGGGAATTACATCATTCTGATTTTTTTTTTTTTTTTCGTTGATGAAGAATTGGTGTGTACTGCAAGGCTCTGGAGTCATCAAAATCATAATAAATTTGGCCCAATCTTGGTTAAGTAACGAGCACTATACACAGAAAGATGTATATGGAACTACACAAATGGTGTCGGGCTACCAACCTTGATTTCCTTATCTTTCTATGCTCATTACTCAGCCAGTATACATTTTCTACCAAAATTGTTTGGCAAATGACATATTTGTAATCTTGAACATTGAGTGCAAGTTTTGTTTGATTCTGTGAGAATTCATTTTCATTTTCTTTTTTTACCAGAACTCAAGTATATCTTTATGTGATTTGCTTGGGGCTGTAAATATGTTGTAAGTGAATCGCCTGTTACTTTAAAGTTATGAAGATGAAAAAGGAGAGAATATTAAAGTACTGTACAATGTTTGTATCTTTTGTGATGTAGGGGAATCATTTGACAGGATGCTGGATGAATACTTGAGGAAGATGTTCAGGAAAGGAGTGCCTCCAGCCTTCACCAGTCTGAGAGGAATGTACAAAGACCCTGCTAAGGTTGCTGCAATAGAGAGGATGGCGTTGAGCTACAGGGAATGCCTCGACTCCATAGGAAGGTTTAGTAAAGAAGGTCAGTGCTTCCAAGAATTTTTTTTTAGGGGGAGGGGGGGGGGGGTTGCTGGTGATCATTGTTGGTTATCATGAGTATTAGATGCTCTTACATATGTTCTAACAACATTTCTGTGGGCATTATATTGTAAAATATAGAGGGATATGGTGTAATTGAGTTTTAGGTTAGTTACAGGGTAAGTCTTAGCCATATTTTGGGGCCCGGGTTGAAGTTTGGAATTTTTGCCTGCGGAGCAATTGTCCAAGAAGCACACATTATACAACCAGGGACTCGTTTCACAAAGCCTTTTTCAATGACAAATGATCAGTGGCAAATCTGCTGATAACTAATCAGAAGCAAGGATTTCACTAGCTTATAACAAAACTGTTATTTGTCACTGATGAAACGTTTTGCAAAATGGGGCCCAGACCGAAAAGAGGAGTATCATGGACTTCTGCTTTTCACACCTTGTAGAAGTCTTAAAAATCTTCTAATTTTATGTGTTTCATTTGATATGCTCCTCTAGACCCTACCGACGTGGAACGTGAACCACCAACAGTACTGCTATGGACGTTATACTTTCTTGCTCAGCACTATGACCACTTAGGTAACCTGGACAAGGCTTTTGAATTCATCAACAGGGCCATCGAACACACACCTACTCTCATAGAACTCTTCATTGCTAAAGGCAAAATCTACAAGGTGAGTTCAGCAGTAGGACTATATTGAATGGTTTGAGTTTAGCCAGGGTGCTGGACCTCTTCTTTAATCAACATCCACTTACAGATACTGTTTTCAAGTCTTTCAATCCATGAAGCCAGTGCGACCTTATATTGGAACCATTATATTTAAGACAGAACTTGGTGTTTGATCATTTAAAAAAGAATCCCTAAAGTACTTTAACCTGCAGAATTTCACATTGGCAGAAGAGCCACCTTGGTAGAAGTAAAATGGCTAATGGTTGAATTTTGAAGTCTTTAGTTAATGGCCCTTTGCAGGTCTTACTCAGACATGAAGTATTCTTCTATCATATTTGTGTTCATTACTGTATTACAAATCTCTTTATGATTAGATATGTTGTGCAAAAAAACACTTTGACAACAATAGTGTTGTGTGAGGGACCTCCTTACAATGGCATGTAAAGGAGTCGAAGCTTTATGTGGTATTGATGTTTTCCTCTATTGGAGTCCAATGCATGAGAAAGTAATATTTGTATGCCATAGAGTGCTTGTAGTTGGATGTATTGATTCAGCACCCTTCTATTTTGTGTTGTCTTGTCTCTAGCATGCGAGAGATTCCAAGAAGGCGGTAGAATGTCTAGATGAGGCCCAGTCACTGGACACAGCTGACCGCTATGTCAACTATAAATGTGCTAAGTACATGCTGAGAGCTAACATGGTCAAGCAGGGAGAGGAGATGTGTAGCAAATTCACAAGGGTGAGCTACTTTATTAAGTTTTTTTTTGTATTTTTTTGTTTTTGTTTTGTTATGTTTGCTTTACATTATGCTATGAGTGCTTTGGGAACTACGCTTGTACCAGGCCTAAGGACGTTATTTATGTAGTTCCCCATTTCATTTTCTAAATTTGTTTATGAACTATGTTGTATCTTTTGTATCAATGTAATTTCCAACCGAGAATGAAATAAAAGAGAATTGAATTGAATATAAAAAACATGCGAAAGTAAGAATTGGTTGAAACAAACAGAATTGGACTTGGTGTCTTCTGTTTCGTGATATGAACAAAAAAATGTTTGTGTGCAAGAAACTTGGTCAATTTCGACTAATTTTGCTAAGATGTTGAAATGCTTATCCAACATTTTATTAATGTACTGTTATTCTATGCTACAGGAGGGTGTTCCGGCCGTTGAAAATCTGAATGAAATGCAATGCATGTGGTTCCAAACCGAGTGTGCTCTCAGCTACCAGAGACAGGGCATGTACGGCGAGTCACTCAAGAAATGCCTTGAAGTCGACAGGGTAAGCTAGACCATCGGACTCCACAGTTGCTTTGTAATCCTTCTGAAAGACGAGTTCTAACAAAAGATTTCCACATAGTATTAGATTTCCTGGATAATTTTATCGCTAAAGTTTGATCAATCTTAAGTTCAAGTTATCAAGACTAACAGGTAATATCTGTTTAGATGATGAATTGATGGTAAATTGTTAATCATATTGTCAGTTGTCAAATATTTTGTGGCAAAAAAAAAAGTGTTAATTTATCACATGGCCAATGAACTAGATTGCCCAAAGATGCTTGCAGGAATTGGGAATTTTTCACATCAAGATTCCTTGTTTCCAAATTTGAAAGATACCCCTTGTAAATGTGATGCTTTTTGTTTTTTTCCTAACCTAAGAAAGAAAGGGAGATTCTCTCCAACTCTTTTCAGGATGTTTTGTATACATGTATTGTGAGAAAATAATTTGAGGCCTTTGATCAGTCAAAATTCGAAAATTATGCACATGCACGCAATGTGATGGGTATGATAGGTATGCACTCCTCAATGGGATTTTCACACTTTCCTGCCAAAGAGATGATGTATGTTCAAAAGTACTTTTATAATGAATGATACCTACATTGCTTGTTCTTTCACTTAAAAAATTGAATACTAACTAGGATGACATCATCAAATATCATTTCTCAATCCTTGTACTTCTATCGTGCAGCATTTTACTGAAATCATTGAAGACCAGTTTGACTTCCATTCATACTGTATGAGGAAGATGACGTTACGAGCCTACCTCAATCTCTTGAGGTTAGAGGATGTTCTAAGGAATCATAGGTTCTACTTCAAATGTGCAAAGATAGCAATAGAGGTAAGCTTCTTTATCCACTTCATGTGTTAATTGTGATTTGCAAATATAATACTTTATTTTGTTTGTGTGCAAAAAGAACCACATATGTCACTCAAAAACTACACATTCAGTGATTTTATTTATATTTTGTCTTTGAATATCTTCCACTTGATCCATTTTATCCATAATAAAATGTTCAGCTACTTATTGACTGCCTTATTGACTAGAAACTTGAGGACAAGCCCCTTGGAGCTAATGCACTCCAACTTTAAGGCCATGTTCTCAAAAGTCTCAGTTAACCATAGTGGCAATTTTAATATGTAAATGAATGAAAAAAGCCATTGTCCTGGGACTTAACAATATTTAACAATATATAAAGACGATCCAGACCTGTCAGGCCTAAGGATGAAGAAGTGGTGCCGGATAAGTGAGTATGCGTCCATGAGATGTTGAATTATAGATGATATTTTGTAGCATGCATTATGACCAGAGAGACAGCATCATAAGTGCTAAAGGTCAATGTACACAGACGACTCCTACACATTCTCTCTCTGGTTTGTGTGATAAGAGATGAGGAAAAAAGGTAGCAGTTCAAAAATTGTCTTTTGGATCTTAAGTAATTGTTTTGGGTTTGGACAGCCCTAGTGCTAGTGGAGCCATTCATTGCTAATTGGAAACTTTGTGTTTTATATTTACAGGTGTACATCAGGTTACACGACAAGCCCCTGGCGGACTCCGATGCAGCGGACGACATTGACACGGCCAACCTCACCCCCAAGGAGCTGAAGAAGCTTCGGAGTAAGCAGAGGAGAGCGCAGAAGAAGGCACAACAGCAGAAAGAGGAGGAGGAAAGGAACAAAGCCCATGAGAAGCAAGGCAAGAACAAGCACGACCCTGACCTTGATGGGCCCAAGGAGGAGGAACTGGTGCCGGAGAAACTTGCAAGGGTGAGTGCATTTTCATTTGTTTGACTTACTTAACTTAAGCCGTCCACACCATCACTGGGATGTATGATAAGTTTCATAAGGGCTATCCACCCCTTCCTATCTTCTGTCTACCTAGTGGCTTTATTCAGGGAGTTAAGTTATGCAGTCCACCTTGAAACAGTCCGTCCATCTCTTAGCTGGTCTCCCCCTTGGGCGTTTGCCATGTACATTTCCGTTGAGAAAGATGTGTGATAATAATGGTTTCAGTTTCAGTTTCAAGTTTTATTTCTGCATTTTCCATAAACAATAACAAAAATAACAATGAATACATTTTAGCAATATAATGATAAGTAATACAAGTAGTAATTCACAAATAAATAAATATAAATAATCAATAGTACAATTAATCGTATTTGAAAAGAAAGAAAAGGGGGAGAATGCAGAAGACCGATATCGTAAGCAGAGCTTGAAATGATACCGGCCTTACAAAAGGAGGAGAGGAGACAGGAAGAAAGAGCGGGTGAAGAGAGTGCTGTGCAAATTGAAGAGTGCACTGCGTGAGCTCCTCAATCTGTCAAATAATTTCCTTTTTATATACAAATAAACAATGAATATTTATATTAAAACAAAGTACATGTAGTATATTATGACCAAAATCTAATTTTTATACCTTATCAATACATATTCTTTCATCTTCACTTTAAAGGAAACAAGTGTTGTACATAATTTTAATGTTATAAGCAAGGAGTTCCACACATCGGGTCCATTGTGTCTTATTGATTTTTGTGCCAAAACAATTTTAGGGTTAGTTAAATGAAAATCCATAGAGTGCCTCGTGGGGTACGAATGTACATTAAAATTATGAATATAAAAATCATGAAGGACTTAAGAAGTAAGTTGGAGACATATTTATACATAAAAATAGCTGTTTGAAAAATGTGCATATCAGTTACTTTGAGAGTTTTCAATGTTTTAAAAATAGGTGTAGTGTGTGCTAAATAATCAGATTGTGTACAAATTCGTAAGGCTTTCTTTTGTAAAAGTTCAAGTGAATTAATTTTAGTTTTACAACAGTTTCCCCATAATAATGGTGGTTATAGTAAGAATGATAAACAAAGAGACTTTGAAAGTGCCGAGCATTCATAGTACCTTGAATGGTTAGAAAACGGGTAAATACTTCAGTCTTAGGAAGGCCTTAATAATCCCAAGGGTCTATGGCCAAAACAATATTTTGGCAATATTTCTATAGAGAAACTCCCTATATTTTGAACAATGTTTTAAAATTTACCCCTAGAAGAAAGTGAGGAGCCCTGACTCTTACAGCTTGAATTATTATCAGATTTTTTTTACTGTAATTAGAGAGGTATATCTACTCGGGAATACTTGGTGTACCTCAGTTTGAAAGCCACAACTTCTTGATTCAAAGACTGCCTTTTTTATTTTTTATTCCTGTATCAATCGGCTCTCTGCTTAATCCTAATTTGAAAGCAGTGATTTCTTTTTAAAAAGATCAGTTACGTTGTACGTGTTTGTTCATCATCTGTATCTGACTTGACCTTGCTGTCTGTGATGGTTGTTCTAAAGTAGATGTTATTTTGCCCTTTCTGCCTGCATTAGATTGAAGACCCCCTGGAACAAGCCATCTATTTCTTGAAGCCATTACAAACCTTAGCAGGGGACGTCATAGGCACACACCTTATGGCTTTTGAGATCTACTACAGAAAAGGTAAGTCTAAGTGTATGTGATGTTTGTGCCTCTGCCAGCTTTGGTAATACTTCAAACTTGGTAACAGCATGCAATGCTTCGGCGTTATGGACTGATTAGATTGACGTTTCAGTATGTCAAAGCTCCCCAAGGTCTGTATTAAGAAAAACGTTGATACAATCATGACAGTTTGTATAGGGTCTGTCGTCCAATGATTTTTTTTTTTAAATACACCAAATTCAACAAAAGAAAAAAAGAACAGAGCAATCAACCACAAAGAAGTAGAAGGGAAAACAAGAGAACCACTAATATAGGGATCTATGAACTGACTCAACTGAAGGAGATGATCTTCTTTGGAGTTGCCTGTATTATAAGGTCAAAGGTCTCAGATCACTGTTGCCATCTTGACATTATGTTTAGAACCCCATCCCTATGATATGATATCTTCAACCACCCTCTTTGTAAATATCTTTTGTCCTTTGAAGATCATAAGGTCTCCTCTCCTGACATCTTATGAGTGAGGAGTAAAACAAACATCGAACCCAAAGGGCAAAACTTAAAAAGCTTTGGAGTTTAATGTAGGCAGTAGAGAAGATGTTATGTGATGATTTTGTCAAATCATTTTTAATCTTTCTCAGGACTGACAAAGAAATAGTGATAGGCACTTCATGGAATAGGTGTTTCTTCAGAAATTTAAACGAAGGGACATTGAGGTCGATTTTTACCATACAAATGCAGAAGAAAAATCACATGTGTTACTAGAGTATGGTTATAAACATGAATGTTAAGCATCCATAATGCATGACTTGAGGCCAACTGGTGCCAGGGTCTCATGGGTGCCAAAATTCTTAGTATGGACCCCCATAATTTAGAACATTAAGAAGGGGCTTACACACTCACACAGACCCTAGAAATGTCAATCTTGACCTTTAGTAAAGAAAAGTTTGCGAGTCTGCCTAACGTCCTGAAGAGTGTTACCAACATTATGATTGTCTGTTTTTCTCCCCCTCAGATAAGCTGCTTCTAATGCTCCAATCGATCAAGAGGGCTCGTGCTGTGGACAGTTCTAATCCCAAGCTACATGAGTGTATAGTCAAGTTCTGTAAAAAGGGTGAGTGCCTTCATCAGATGTACCATGTAATGGAGTAACTTGTCACATAATCCTCTGTAGCATTTAACTTGCCTCTGAAGTAGTGTTTGGAATGTATCAAATGATTCTTTCTTCAATTTGGATGTTCACAGCATCATTATCTTCATCATCATCATCTTGCTAAATATATTACTCATTGCGAATGTAGTATCAAAAATAATATCGCTAGTGATATTCGTTTGTCTCGCAATGTATGGTCAACAAGGGATCTAAAAGATCACAACGTTTCATGCGCCACTGCAACACTTCGTCAGGAGATAAAATATAATGTCAGCAAACGTGTTTTATACTCTACGGGCGGATCTGTCAGTCAAATAATTCGATCAATAATTAGAATAATAACGGACAAGGCCTATTGGCCGAAGCGCACAGGTGCTCAACCTATCAGTGGGTCGCTGGCTCGGCGTGCTTTGGCCAGTAGGCCTTGTCCATTATTGTTCTATTTATTGATCAAATTATTTGACCGACGGATCCGCCCGCCGTAGAGCATAAAACACGCTTGCTTACATTATATTTATCATTACCTTTATTTCATACTTTCTTCTTGACAGTGAATGAGAGGATAGAGCAGCAGCCTGAAGCTGTCCGAACCGTCCTAGAGCAAGAAGTGAAACTCCTACTTGGCGATAAAGACATTGCACAATACAACAAGTTCTTCACTGATTCTAACCTTTCATCCCATCCTCACAGAATATCAGGTAGGTAGTGGTGGCATCTCTCGATCTCATCATTTTGTCTGTTCTTTCATGCAAGATTGCTAGTTTTCTAGCAAAATGCATTATTTTCATAAGTACCTAATTATTGCAGCTTGAGTTCCAAGCAAAGCAAAGCAGTCAGAGGCTTCTTAAAGAGAAGGTTGAGTTCTGGGAAGAGGTGAAAATAATTTGTGAGCGTTATCATTGTTATTATGCAAGTGTGGAAGAACACCAGATAAAATATGTTCCCTGAAATGCATGGCTCTTCAAATGCCTTCATATTCTAAATATGGCATGTATCATCGTAAAAATCGGGACAGATTTTAAGCCACGTGTTTGTGTAGTCCCATATACATCTTCCTGTGTACAGTGCTTGTAACTTCACCAAGACTTGGCCAGACTTCTTGTAATTTTGATGATTCCAGAACCTTGCAAAACACACAAATACTTATATGCGAAATGATCAACCTTTTCTGGTCAATTCCACACCGTTTCTTTCACAATGCAATCGCATGACCAGAACTCAACTTTATCTTTAAAGGTAAAGACCAGTATTGGTAACGCCCCAATTTCAAAAAATGAAATGGAAGCTCTCATTACCAATCATGTGAAAGAATATGTTTTGACTAATACATGATGATAAAAAATTTGCCGGGAAACCGCCTACTAATTCATATATTTGTAAATTATTTCTCTCATGGTCGTGTGAGAGAGATAGGGTAGTCCCATATACATCTTTCTGTGTATAGTGCTTGTAACTTTACGAAGAATGGGCCAAATTTCTTATCATTTTGATGATTCCAGAACCTTGCAGATGCTAGATGCTAGATGATCAACCTTTTCTGATCGATTCCACAACGTTCTTTCACAATGCAATCGCATGACCATTACTGGTCTTTACCTTTAATGATAATGTACAAAGGAACTTTCATTGATCCAAATTAATGGGAAGTCCCCAAATCAGTTCCAAGTTACAATTGCAACTTGTCCTATGTTAGGAATTGTAGGAATTGAAGCGAACGGCAATTACAATCTATAGGAAAGATTTTAGGATGGAGCTGACTTTCCATCATGCAATCTTGTCCAAGAGGGGGGGGGGGGGGGGGGGGGGAGCAGTGATGGATCAGGGATTCCACTAAAAGAAAAATGGCTTTAAGGTACAATAGGTGACCTAATCTCGTGCCCTGTGATACAACGGTGACATTCTCTCTCCTGACATTCTGTGGGTGAGGAGAGAAACCCTCAAACATTGTACCCAAATAAAAACACTTTCAAAAGCACAGCTAATGGAATTCAGGATTAATGTGAATGTGGTAGGATACTTGGTATAAGAATGAAACTGTTTGAATAGTGTATGCTTGCATAGAACATTCAAGAGATGTGGTCTCTGACTTTATTTTAGAGAAATTTTCTTCTTCGTATTTTGGCACAGTGTGTTTAGTTTGCTTATGGGAAAAGTAACCAAAATACCCACATGTTTCAATTTGTGAGAGATGTATCAAAATTGCACAACATGAATTTGAAATTCTCTTCTCTTTTCTTTTTGTTCTTTGCATGACAGGCGCCCTCGGTATGTACTTCCTTGACCCTTCCAAGAAGGATGAAGCAATCTCATTAGCTACTCACCTAGGAAACACCCTCACGGACAGGACTATTCAGGTCAGTATCTCATTTACTCCATGGAGTTTCACAAAGATCCTAAGTTGAACTTATCTCTAAGTTGAACTTAAAAATTATGGAAAGCCGTTAGCATCTTTGAACATATTTGTAAACGTTATTTTAAGAGGCCTAGAATGTTGATTCAAATCATTCATATTTTCTATTTGGAGATTTCATGTTCTTGATGTGAAATTTATGAAAACTCTAAAATACTTCAAGTTTTGCTTTTGAATATATTTAATTTTAAGGCTACAAAGGCTCTCCATAATGTTTAAGTCCAACTTAGAGATAAGTTCAACTTAGGATCTTTGTGAAACACCCGCATTTCTATGATTGCGATGGAAATGCTCACTCAATTATTGTAGAAATATCCATGGGCAGTTATGTTCTAGATGGTATTGCAATTCAAAAGATGTTGTAGATATAGAAGTAGCTTTTTGGCGTAGTATAATTTTCATCATGCTATTTGATATACAAATCATTTATCATTCACAAAAATAATGATGACTTCTGAATGTATGATAAGAGGAGCAATATAGGGCATCCAATTTGAGCATTATCTATGAATCTTGTCAAAATTTTCAACAGACGGACTAGATTACGTATTGATCAGTTAGCTCAATTTTCATTTAGAAGTAAAGTGAAGGTACTAGGTTTCTTATACATACCTTGCAAGGTGTGTATCCGAACTTGGTATCAGGGTCCATATGCAAATGCAAACTTGTAAAAAGAAAATATGCAAACTAACAGAGAGCAAAAATTTTGATGACTTTTTCAGAAAGAGATAGAAAGTAGTACCCTCTAACAAAAGAAATTCATTGTGGCACGATTGATTTTGATATATTGGAGAAATTGTCCTTATCCTCCAGTATTCTCTCTTTCAGAATGGCATCCGAGTTCTAGAGCTTCTGCAATCGGACTTGAAATGTGAATCGATGGCTTCAGAGTACAAGGCCCGATGCCATGAACTCTTCCCCTATGCAACCGCTTTCCAGCCGCCAACGATGAACCACACCATGGAGAACAATGACGACGACGCCGAGGAGGAGGACGAGAAGACGACCCCAACTCAAACGATGCCTCGCCCATATCCAACGACATCTCCCCGACATCAAATGATATCGAGCTCTCCTGCAACTCAACGGGGGATAACTGAGGTTTGATTTCCCTGCTGCCAGGTTTCTTCAAGTATTTCCAGGAAGTGCGAGAAAGAGGCGATGTTCAAGTGTCATGTATCATGACTTCTGGAGTAGCATCTGTTAGTGCTTCAGTGGAATTTTGATGGCGTTGTACTCCGAGGCCAGATGGTCAAACTTTGCAAAGTTTTGAGGGTCTTAATGATGCCATGCAATACTGAGAGAACTCTTTATCCTGGTTAGGGTTAGAGTGGACACAATCATTAAATTTCCCCAATCCCCCCCCCCCCCAGATCTAAGCCACAGACAATACAATGATAGGGTAAATTGGAGTTGGAGATATCTTGAGATGTCCAATGTTTGTGTTATTTGTGTGTATTATGAAATCCAAGTCTCCTGTTACTTCAGCTCTTGTTGATGAGCAGTATTTCCACTTTGCTGGAGCAGTACCAGAGTGTCCAAAATTGCAATGTACATGGTCAAATGAGGGCAACTCATAACTTTAGGATTCCAAGTAGGTAACATGTTTTCCAGAGCGAAGTCCCTGGTAGCATTGACTGTAATGACTCTACTATTATCTATGAATGAATAGTCTTCTCACTGATGTTAGAGCACAATTTTTGTGTTGTTAGACTTTAAATGTGGAATAATTTGAAATATTCAGTTGATATGTTATCAGTTTTCAAATAATCCATTCCTTGCAATGTGCGAGTACGTTATTTTCACTTGAACAGTTTTAATTGTAGTGGAATACATAGTCATTGCTTTGATCTGTTACAAGTATGAGGTACGTAGTGGTTGCCAGTGAAATATCCCATTATAGAGATCTTTTCAACTCTCCAAGTTGCAGCTGAAAGAAGTACAAGATGGTGAATCACTATATACCTTTCTTAAAGCCATGTCATCTTGACTATTCTCATTTATCAAGCACATATCAAGAGATTTGTTAGTCAGTGTTAACCGGTAACGTTGGACCTCTGTCTTAATGAAACCAACTTTATTGGGGTGTTCAAACTGGAACTCGTAGTTATGACTCTACACTTTAAAAATACAAGTAAGCCAAAATTGAACAGATCAGCACAAACATTATATAAAGAATCAAAGATTTGACCATTTTTGTCAGTGATCAGTAAATTGTCAATAATTTCTTAGCTTGTGTTTTGCTGCTTAATTTTCTAAATGTTGACTAAAAGGTTAAGAAAAGAAATAAAGAGATGCACAAAATCTTTGAATTAAGAGCTATTTGCCAGTTGATGGTAATATGAACTGTTACCTTGCATAGGCAATTTATAGACTTCGCCAATTAATTATCATCCAGAAGATTAACGATAAGCAGCCTTTTGCTATATAATATGGAGACATTGCAGGAATTGTATTTATTTGAAAAATTTAACTAATTTATAGATATATCCTTTTGCATACTTTGTATGGCACTCTTTATTTCCCCCAATTTTCTTTGTATTATTGTGTCTGTTTTGTTGTTGAAATGTTAAGTTTTACTCTAGGTTGGATGCTGCCTGAAAGAGAATGGTATAATTATTAGGGGGGGGGGGTTATCTGGAGAGAATAAAATAAGCTAAATGTTATGTTTTCTATAAATACATCTGTCACCGGGCTGCATATAGCCATCTATCTTATCTGGTAAAGATATCGGTTGACCTCCAAAGTACACGAACCCATTCTCATTAGTAATTTAATACCTGATATTTTATTGACAAAAGCTATTTCAGCAAGCAATAAGTATGTCTTGTATCAACTATGACTAAGACATTTCAAAGATTTTCTCCTTAAATTAACTAAAAAGAAATCTAGAAAAGAGGAAAAGTTATGCACTTCTTTATTTCTTTTCAATGACTGGGGGGGGGGGGGTGCAATTGTGAAGAAATATCACTGCTATTGCTCATTTCAGATTATCTACTAAAGATTTTTTGTTTAGTTCGTAGGCAATTTGATAGGTATTCGATCTTTGTGTTCCCTCTGCAAGCTAAGAGAGGGAGATTTGCCATAGATTATTCTCTGTGATACTAAAGAAGGAAACGCAAAGTGATTGATCAATTAAAATCGTTAATTGATGCATTTAGTACTTCCATGCTCTTGTTTTCTCTCACGTTTGTTCGTCGGTCCACAGGAGTTCAGAAAATGAAGAAAAGTAAATGACTTTTGTTCTTTATTTATTGTTATTTTTTAATACGGGAAAGGAATGGAGTTGGAATTTTTGTACACTTATTTGCGGTCCTATTTCACAGGGCTGTCTGTGTGTTGACTATAAGATGGAGAATAATTTCTGACATCTAAGAAAATTCAATTTTGCAGTTTGTTAGCAGGAATTCTTAAAAAATGAAATGGTTGTGTTTTTTTTTCAATATTATATTGTACATGAGAGAATGTAGCTATGACGAAAATACAATTTCTGATAAAAATCACTGATACCTTCTGGATGTATTTTGTAGTTACTGTGTAATATCTTCATTGAAAGATTGAGAAGAGCATATGTTTCCACATTGGTAGAGCTGTTTGGTGCAAGGCTGCAGATGATCTATTTTATCAACGCAATCGCAACTACTCATGGAGAAAACAAACTTGAGGGCAATTTTCAATACCCCATTGTATTCCATAGAAATCATGTTCAGGTTACAAAATGAATCATTGTAATGTTTGCGAGTTTTAAAAGGTGATGAATGAGCCATTGAAATTGCCCCTAAGTTTTTTTGTTAAGCCGGTAAGTAGTTTCCATTTTCCCCAAACATTGCTAATATCTGAAATGGTATGATCTGTAGATTCCTTGCTCATGCATGTGGCCAGGGCCCTGTCTTCTCGAGAATCATGATGGATCCACATCAGTTGCAGGCCCTCCAGTCAATTACTAAGTTACAATCGCCTAATTCTCATCTTCTACTAAGTTGCGACTGATAGTGATAAGGAGTTGGGATCATTTTGCATTGATACCAACATTAGGGCATCTGGAAATAGGTGCAAAGATTTAGAAATCATCAGGATTTTTTTTTTTTTTTTTCATTTGAAAAAGAGAAAAAAAGGTGACATAAGTGGTCAGCAGATTTCAGAGTGAGAGAGAGATCAAGAAACAGATGAAAGATGAGAAAGAGATTGAGGGGAGACTGGGAGAGAGAAAAAAAAGAAAAAAGAAGCAGAATGACAACAGAGGTCAGAGTTAAGCGAGAGAGAGAGAAAAATATTCATAGATCTAGTGGAAACTGTCCTCCGTCTCTCTCACATCATTATTTACAGTACTATCTCAACTTTCCTTGCTTGGAGATGACTGTATGCAGGCGCGGATCCAGGATTTTCCAATAGGGGGGGCCGGAAGTTTGAAAATTGCGCCGACCATTTTTTTCAAGGTCATATTAGAAGCACCATACCATTACAATTTTTGACATTTTCATCGGGGGGGGGGGGGGGGGGGGGCTATAGCCTCTTATCCGAAAAAGTAACTTTCTGGTTTCACAATTCGGCTAGTGAGCGAAGCGAGCGAGCAACAATTTGAGCAAAATATGTATTTGTGAAAGTGTGATTTATAACCAAAATAAACGAGAAAAAATGTCAAAAAATCATATGCGGGTAGCTCGCTAACCCCCCCCCCCCCCCCCCCCCATGACGCGCGAAGCGCGGAAGTTTTGACCTTTCATTATTATTAGAGAAAGAAGACGATTTGTGTACCATTCTCGATTCTTAATCCTTCTCTGAATTCAGTTTTCCCCCTCCCGCGCAAAGCGCGGAAGCTTTGACATGTTCTAGTTTAATGAAATTATTAGAGAAAAATATGATTCGTTGTTCCATTCTCGACTCTTAATCCTTCTCTGAATTCAGTTTACCCCCTCCCCGCGCAAAGCGCAGAAGCTTAACGTTTCATTAAATTATTAGAGAAAGAAGACGATTTGTTGTACCATTCTCGACTCTTATTACTTGACTGAATTCACCCCCCCCCCCCCTCCCGCGCGAAGCACGGAAGCTTTGGCCTTTCATAGTTTAATGAAATTATTAGAGAAAGGAGATGATTCGTTGTTCCATTCTCGACTCTTAATCCTTGTCTGAATTCAGTTCCCCTCCCCCCCCCCCCTCCCGCGCGAAGCGCGGAATCTTAGACGTTTCATTAGATTATTAGAGAAAGAAGACGATTCGTTGTACCATTCTCGACTCTTAATCCTTGGGTGTATTCAGTTTCCTCCTGCCCGCGCAAAGCGCGGAAGCTTTGCCCTTTCATTAATTATTATAGAAAGAAGATTTGTTGCACCATTCTCGACTCTTATTACTTGACTGAATTCACCCCCCCCCTCCCGCGCAAAGCACTGAAGCTTTGGCCTTTCATAGTTTAATGAAATTGTTAGAGAAAGGAGATGATTCGTTGTTCCATTCTCGACTCTTAATCCTTGTCTGAATTCAGTTCCCCTCCCCCCCCCCTCCTCCCGCGCGAAGCGCGGAATCTTAGAGTTTCATTAGATTATTAGAGAAAGAAGACGAATCGTTTTACCATTCTCGTCTCTTAATCCTTTTTTGAATTCAGTTTCCCCCCTCCCACGCGAAGCGCGAAAACGTTGACGTTTCATTAAATTATTAGAGAAAGAAGATGATTCGTTGTACCGTCATCGACTCTTTATCCTTGTCTGAATTGAGTTCCCCCCCCCCTCCCGCGCGAAGCGCGGAGGCTTTGACGTTTCATTCAATTATTAGAGAGAGAAGACGATTCGTTGTACCGTTCTCGACTCTTAATCCTTGTCTGAATTGAGTTCCCGCCCCCTCCCCCCCCTCCCGCGCGAAGCGCGGAAGCTTGACGTTACATTAAATTATAAGGGAAAGGAGACGATTCTTTGTACCATTCTCGACTCTTAATCATTGTCTGAATTGAGTTCCCGCCCCCCCCCTCCTCCCGCGCGAAGCGCGGAAACGTTGACGTTTCATTAAAGTATGAGAGAGAGAAGATGATTCGTTGTACCGTCATCGACTCTTTATCCTTGTATGAATTAAGTTTTCCCTTGGCCGCGCGTAGCGCGTAAGCTTTAACGGTTTATCAAATTATTAGAGGAAGAAGACGAATCATTTTATCATTCTCGACTCTTAATCCTTGTCTGAATTAATTTTTCCCTTGCCCGCGCGTAGCGCGTAAGCTTTGACGGTTTATTAAATTATTATCCTTCTTTGAATTCAGTTTTCCCCCTTCCACGCGAAGCGCGGAAACGTTGACGTTTCATTAAATAATTAGAGAAAGAAGATGATTCGTTGTACCGTCATCGACTTTTTATCCTTGTCTGAATTGAGTTCCCGCCCCCCCCCCCCCCTCCTCCCGCGTGAAGCGGGGAAACGTTGACGTTTCATTAAAGTATGAGAGAGAGAAGATGATTCGTTGTACCGTCATCGACTCTTTATCCTTGTCTGAATTAAGTTTTCCCTTGGCCGCGCGTAGCGCGTAAGCTTTAACGGTTTATCAAATTATTAGAGGAAGAAGACGAATCATTTTATCATTCTCGACTCTTAATCCTTGTCTGAATTAATTTTTCCCTTGCCCGCGCGTAGCGCGTAAGCTTTGACGGTTTATTAAATTATTATCCTTCTTTGAATTCAGTTTTCCCCCTTCCACGCGAAGCGCGGAAACGATGACGTTTCAATAAATTATTAGAGAAAGAAGATGATTCGTTGTACCGTCATCGACTTTTTATCCTTGTCTGAATTGAGTTCCCCCCGGCCCCCTCCCGCGCGAAGCGCGGAGGCTTTGACGTTTCATTAAATTATTAGAGAGAGAAGACGATTCGTTGTTCCGTTCTCGACTCTTAATCCTTGTCTGAATTGAGTTCCCGCCCCCTCCCCCCCCCCCCTCCCGCGCGAAGCGCGGAAGCTTTGACGTTACATTAAATTATAAGGGAAAGGAGACGATTCTTTGTACCATTCTCGACTCTTAATCATTGTCTGAATTGAGTTCCCGCCCCCCCCCCTCCCGCGCGAAGCGCGGAAACGTTGACGTTTCATTAAAGTATTAGAGAAAGAAGATGATTCGTTGTACCGTCATCGACTCTTTATCCTTGTCTGAATTGAGTTTCCCCCCCCCCCCATTCTCGCGCGAAGCGCGGAAGCTTTGACGTTTCATTAAATTATTAGAGAAAGAAGACGATTCGTTGTACCGTTCTCGACTCTTAATCCTTGTCTGAATTGAGTTCCCGCCCCCCCCCCCCCTCCCGAGCGAAGCGCGGAAACGTTGACGTTTCATTAAATTATTAGAGAAAGAAGATGATTCGTTTTACCATTCTCGACTCCCAATCCTTGTCTGAATTCAGTTGCCCCCCTCCCGAGCGATGCGCGGAATCTTTGACATTTCATTAAATTATTGGAGAAAGAAGACGATTCGTTGTACCGTTCTATATTACACCTACCATGGATAAATCACGGCCGGGAGCGTCATAATTTTGTGTTATCGGTCGAGGGCCGGGGCCGGGGCGTAGCGACCAAATGAGATTTTGCAATGTTGAATGCTGAAATTATGCATTCTAAAAAATCCCTAAGCCCGATATGTACGTTCTTTCCGCTATATTTATTTCTAGCTATATTTCTAAATTTCCTGGGAGACTTGTCCCCATATCGGGCCCAGGATCGCCGCCCCTGTCCATGATTACTACCAACATGAGTTCTAATACAATCACAAGCGAGTCGATACGAGCTGAATCCAAATGAAGGGCAAAATAAGAGTTGTCAAGCGGCCCTACCGTTAATTTAAAATTTGACTGTTGAGTATATAACTTCTATTTAAAAGACATCCAAAATATTGTGCCCTTTTCAAATTTCTCACTAAAGAGTGATGACCTCAGGGGCTGTTCTTAACGTTTAACTTTGAATCCGCGGCTTGAGATTTTATGATGCCGGCCCGGCCCCCCTCTATTCAATAACGTTTGCCAATGAGCCTTCTGGAATGTCCCCTAATCTCCCGATTACAGTTTTCCCATATTTGTCGTTACTGTCACTTAGCGCCATTTCCTTGCCTTTCCCCCTTTCTCACCGACTTTTCTTTTCCCCACCCCCCCTCACCCTCTCAGTGTTATCTAGGGTACGCACATGTATGTTCCCTCTCTTTGAAAGCACCCCTCTGTCTCCGGTGTGTAAAGTCAGTACGGGCCGGATTTTTGTGTATTGCGGGCCGGACTTTGTTTCGTGAAAAGTGACTCTTTATCGGAAATTTAGGGAACACAAATTCGGTCCCTCCGACCCCGGAGTTGGAGGAAGGGGGGGGGGGGGGGGCTTTTTATTTATCTTTTCTCTTCTATTTTCTTTTCTCTTCTTTTTTCCTTTCTCTTCTCCTTTCTTTTCTCTTCTCCTTTTTTTCTCCTCTTCTCCTTTCTTTTTTCTCTTCTTTTCTTCCTCTTTTTTTTCTTCCTTTTTTTTGCGCCGCCAATAGGGGGGGCCGCGGCCGTTTCGGCCCCCCCCTGGATCCGCCACTGGTATACGCTAAAAGCTTCATTCTCGGATAACACTTGTACTACTGAGACTACCGCTACGTCTGGCTCCACGACAGACCGCCTAGAACGGTCGACACATATTAGTTCATTTCAGACAGTTTTTCCTGCCTATAGCCCCCACTGATAACCTGGTTCAGGCTCGCTATCCATAACGCGCGACAAAATGAATAGCGATCCTTTTTGAATAGCGGCCCTTATAAATAGCGAGCAGACAATTTACCTCTCTGTTTATAAGGACCGCTATCCATAACGCGGACTAAATGAATAGCGGTCTTTTATAAATAGCGGTCCTTATAAATAGCGAGCAGACCCCGATAACCTCGCCCCCGTGAGCAGTGAGCTGCTCATAACAACCAAACATTTCACAATTAAGACTCAAGCCAAGGATTCCTGGAAGAGCACATCAATCAAACGGACACCAGGGGGGCGTTTCACAAAACTTGTCATCGGTGACCAATGACAGTCTTTGTTATAAGCTACGGAAATCCTTGCTCCGATTGGTTATCAGCAGATTAGTCACTGAGTTTTGTTATTTGTCATTGAAAAGAGGCTTTGTGAAATGGGTCCCAGAAGAGCACATCATCAAGAGAAAACGGTTAGAACATCCTACCAAAATCAAAGTAGCCCCTCTAGGAAAAAAAAAATCAAGATTTAGGCATAAATCTTTTTTTTTCTTTCTTCTTTCCCATTCTAAAAATACAACTTGTTTTACTGTAATTTTCTTTTCACAAATAGGTTAGCAAAAATTAAATGTTTTTCAGGTAGTCGCTTTTGTATATCTTCTAGACACAAGCAATATATCTATAACCTTGACACTCCAGTTAGTGGATCACAACTTAAAGACTTTCATATAGGCCTGTTAGGTTAGCATCAGATTCAGTTGGACTCCATGGAAGAACAGAGCCATTAGGTTAATGGCTCTGAAATGGACTATCCAACCGTTTTATCATTCTATCATTGTTATATAAGTCTTTGATTTTGTTATATTGTGTTATTGTTTTTTATGATGATTTTCGGAAATAAAACAAACAAACAAACAAGACTATTTACTGATCCATATTTAATACCCAAAAAACATCAACAAAAACAGAAAACTTTACATGCGATTGCATGAAAATACTTATAATAATACCAACAGTATAATAATTCTAACAACAATACATGTCAATATACCATCAATAAAATAACATAACAATTATATACAAATATAATATAAACAAATGCTCAGATACAGAAATCAAGCTCTACCTGATCGATAATACTCCACTTTGAAAAACGTTCCGCGGGACCTGCATGTAACGTGTAAGACTGGTGGTGATGCAGATTTTTCGTCTGCCTCCCCTTCCAAACTTTTTTTCTCATTACGTCACTGCCCCTGGAATGTGAGCCCCCTGGAATGTTCCCCCTCCCCAAATCCCAAACTGCTTCCGGCGCGCCTGATTATACATCTTATGAAAGAGTGTTTTATCCCAAATCATTTGGTATCATTTTTGTGGGGTATGTGTCCACGCTTGGATGAACAGGAGGCATTGTTTGCGTAAGTGCAAAATTCGACTTGCGCCAAAGTTGCTTATAATAATAATAATAATTACAGTGCTTATATAGCGCCTAACACTTACTTTGTCAGAAGTCTCTAAGCGCTCTACCGTGTGAGTCAAAAACAAATTTACACCTAGAAAATTGCTAATTATTTTAAAAATCATCTATGAACAGTAAATTATTATACATCTTATGAAAGAGTGTTTTATCCCAAATCATTTGGTATCATTTTTTGTGTGGTATGTGTTCACGCTTGGATAAACAGGAGCTAGGCATTGTTTGTGAGAGTGCAAAAATTGACTTGCGCCAAAGTGATGCCTACAGCATGTACAGTATTATGTTGGGATTAGCGGAGTGAGAGAATGAATTGAATGTATCAAATGAAATGCATTGCATATATGCTTTTTGCAGAAGCAAAGTCACACACGCACACACACGCGCGCAAAAATGTTCGTTGATATTCCATATTTGATATGTGTGGCATGATTAATTTTGTTAGGGATGTTATTTGGATCTGCAAAATCCGATTTAAAACCCAAATCCCGATTGTTTTATTTAAACATCACATAAGAAACTTTGGCGCAAGTTGATTTTTGCACTCTTGCAAACAATGCCTCCTGTTCATCCAAGTGTGAACACATACCACACAAAAATGATACCAAATGATTTGGGATAAAACACCCTTTCATAAGATGTGGAATATTTTACCGTTCATAGATGATTTTTAAAATAATGAGCAATTTTCTAGGTGTAAACTTTTTTTTGACTCACACTGTACAGTACAGTGTAGTTTTAATTATAAGAATGCAAGCAATAATCCAAACCGTATTGATTCATCTCTTCGCCAGTGAATAACTTTCTTTACTTTATCTCTCTCATTGAAAACTGAGGTATCTTTCCATTGTTATGACATGGAATACGTGGTAAAAGATCTATTTAATGGAATTAAAAAATTGAAATATAATTAAATTGTCGAAATGTGAAATGTAATTGAAAATTTGGCAAAATATTTAAAGAGAATTAAAGAATAATAATGTTTAACATTTTAACCAAAGGTTGTTCTTGACACCCTGGCGGCTTGCCCAAGGTCTATCCATCATAGCTACAAACAATGTATGCATACTGGTTTCCAAGTAATATAACAGGTTAATGGAATACCTAGTCGTTATAGGTCCCCGGGCTAGAAACGCCATGAATTTGAATGGTTTAATATATTGCTGTTTGGCCTCGTCCACCTATTATATACCCAATTGGTCTATTCTCATATGGTCTGTCTCCAGCCAGTATACTATCCACAATTCCACATAGGAAAATAATAATTTTGTCTATGATGACCTCGACTTCACCCGAGCTATCATGAAAAGGCGCTCAAGCATTCAAGGATTTTTTTCCTGCCGTGTTGTACTTGGTTTCCTGCTTTGCTCGCAATCTGCATCATAATTATAATGAACCGCTTGCAGTCATGTCAGGATTACTTCGATACGGGCTTTTGTTGAAGCCTCGTCTTCGAATTGGTGCACTATCTCGATTGATTCGGGGCCCCGTTAGACAACCAAGCGGTATCGAAGGATCACTGAGTTCTTGGTAAGTTTAAGCCGAATAATAATTAGGCCTAAAGATGTACACATATTAAAGATAATCGAGATTCACGATTTGACAAACCATTTGTTCGAGCCGGATACAATAGGATCCTGTATTAAAGGCACGTATACATTGATTGCTTCTCTCTATGACCTGGTGTATACACATGTCATTACAATACTGCATGGAATCTCTGGGTAAATGCAAAATTCCTTGCAGTTTCTATACAAAATCATCAGTCGAAGGTATAAACAAAATAGATTGGTGCATGGCGTCGGAGCCGCTACGGTTGGTAAACGGAATTGACCTTACCACTTTTCAGTCAGCCTTAAACAAAAAGAGAGATGGAGAGGGAGAAGAAAAGAGAAGAGAAAATGAGAGATAGAGAGGGAGAAGAAAAGAGGAGAGAAAAGAAGAGAGGAGGTGGGAGGATGATAAATGTCATATCACCAGCTTGCTGGAAGAACACGAACATCGAAGTGACATGCCTTTTTTGCATTATTATGAAACGCAGTATCACATAAACCGAAAGACAGCATTTATATGCCACAAAACCTTTTCATCCAATCGCCAATCTTGAACATAATATCCTCAAGAAAGTAATAAATTGAGCTCGCCACCTGACCGTGAAATCTCCAATTTATAGGTAAGGCCTATATAGATTTTCCCGCCCACTTTCGTCACCTCTTCATTCAAGTTTTTAAAATTTGCTTTCAATTCCAACGTAGACCTATAGGATACGATCATTTGGACACCATTCTTCCCGCCCTTCTCTGGTAAATTCATGGGACGACCAGGACCTACGGCATTTTTGCGGGTCTATTTGACCCATATATTTATTTCATGGGGTCAGGGTAAATCCATCGGCTTGGGGACGTGGGTGCTGAAATGACATGATTTTCCGTGATTTTGTGTAACTTTTTTTGTGAATTATACTTTTTTAGGCGTTTGTTTGGTAATGACAAATTCCCAAATTTACAGTCAGGCAAAAAATATGCTTATTGAGAAGCCTACATGTCAGGGCCCATGGAACGGTGGGACATAGGGGCTAGAGCCCCCCCCCTCCACTTTATTTAAAAAAAAAATTTTTAAAGAGCAATAGAAAGAAAGAAAGAAAGAATAGTGACCTGTCAGTGTCACAATTAAATGAGGAATACAAATATGCTCATCCGACTGTAATGAAATGCCTGAAACTCCTGAGCGTCAGGGGGAGGCCCCTGGATGCAGCATCTGACCGTAATTAAATGCCTAAAACCAAGAGCTTCACGGGGCTCAGCCCCCTGGACACCACGTCAATTACTGACTTGCCAGTGTCACAAAAAAAGGTTTAAAAATATGTTCATCTGACCGGTTATTTAATTCCTAAAACCCCTGAGCTTCCGGGGGCTCCGCCCCTTGACCCCCGCCGGGGCTTTGCCCCTGGACCCCACGCCAATTTACGATCGACTCAGTTCGCTCGCTACGCTTTACCTGATCGTAAATACTTAAGCCCCCCTCACTTTGAAAACGGTCTGCATTTAACATGTAGTAGTAGTGATGCGGATTTTGTTTTCCTTCTGCCCCTCCCCCAAACGTTATTGCTCCCTATCACCGAATTTCCACTCGTACCAACTTACCTTGGAAATTGTCATTTCATTCTTAAAAATGCAAGAGCATCAAGGGGGCTGAGCCCCCCCCCCCCCCCCACGAAGGGCTCTGTCCCTTCGAACCAAACCACCACTGGAACCGTACCATTTTAAAATACCTTACCATTTTAAAATACCTTCGACGATTTTATCATTTGATTCTTTAAGACAATGTTCGGCCTCTTTTATGAATTTTAAAATTCAATTTATGCTGATCTTCGTTTCCTTTACGCTGAAACTTGAAGTTTTGAGTCTGCATTCTTCAATTTTTTTATTTTTTTTTATAGTTGGCAAACCCTGAAACTTGTTTTAAGTTTGAATCCCTTTCACAATGGGTACGATTATGTAGGTGATGTACGGTATTTGCACGGTAAAAGTACAGTAGGTCCTCGTTTATGCGGTACATTTCCGTTTCGTACTCGGGATATTATACTTCAACAAACATGTCACTAGGTCCTCGATAATGTGATAACATTATGGGCAGCAGCGGAAATCATTCTACAAAAACAAAGCAGAACTGAAGGCCAGGAAAGCAATTTAAAGCAAACAAAACAAAGACAAACCGAATACTGAACTATTAGGCCTAAACAAAACAAAGTGTTGTATTGCCCTTTAGGTGCCAAAACATGGGTCGGTCGGTCGGTCGGAAATCTTTCTTTTTTTTACTCCCTCTTTGGGCTGATATTTTCTAGTTTTGAATGCTTTTCTTTTTAAAACCGACCGTAGATTTAAAGATTTTTGGGTCATACAACAACTTATTTTTCAGACCTTATAGATTATGTATGAATATTGGTTATTGATCACTGATGGAGATAATTCAATCTGGAAAGTTTTGAGAAAGGCTATTCAATCCGCTCGTTTATTTCGTACTCCTTGGTTTCACCCTATTTATTTATCACTCCTATTAAAGCATCCGGACAAAGTACACAACGAGTTATGTCCACGGCCACGATCACTTCCCTAATCCACCGGCCCTGGTCGGTAAAACCTTGGGCAAGGTGCTTGATGAGATGACGGAGAAACACCCAGATCAAGATTTCGTTGTATTTTGTGAAGATGGAGTCAGGAGGACCTTCCATCAATTCCAACAAGAGGTAAGAGCTAGGTGCACTGATGATCAGACAGTTTACAAAAGGGTTTAAATCTATATTTTGCACAGCCAAAAGAGGCCTGGGACTCGTGCCAACTCTTTCTCCTCCTCCTCCATTTTCTTCTTCTCCTTCTTACAAATGATAAATGAGTATCGGTAACAAATAAAATCGGTTACGGAAATTTTGCCATTTGGTGTTTGGTGTTGGTGTTTGGTGTTGCAAGATAATGTTATAATACATTTTATTCACTTTCCGATTACAGAAAAGTTATCTCTTTCCACCCCCTCTCTCTAATAAAAATAATCCTTCTCTCACACCTCCACCTCCCCAATTTCTCTCTTTGGCATCCTCTCTCGGTCTTTTTTTATTTCTCTCCCACCTCTCTCTCTCTCTCTCCCCACCCCTATAATTCTCTCTCTCTCTCTCTCTCTCCCCACCCCTATATCATTCTCTCTCTCTCTCTCTCTCTCTCTCTCCTCCCCCTCTATCAATCATTCTATATTCAAGTAATCAAAACATTCGGTCGTATGAACCTTCGGCCAAGAGGGGCTTTAAATAATTAGCAATCACATTGAATTTGTTTTTTCTAACATTTATTAGTATTTACGTATTTACAAGTTAGTTAAATGAAAAATATGAAGCTTTCCACATCACATGGAATGACATTTTTCTTTATGTCGATTTGATTCAATACTCGGTAACGTATGAGACATATTAATGAATTGAATTTATTTCCACATTTTCATTAAAATACAGAAACACAGTTATATACAAAAGTAAAAGTATAACAAAAGTAAACAAACATCAAATACATGCAAATTAAGAAGACAAAAGGACACATTTACACGACTTTAAAGACATACGATGTAAATGTGGCGGGATAAAAAAAGAAAAAGGTTTGTGTAAAGCTTATGTCCATGATCCCGTACTGTTTAGAAGCATTTATACAATAAAAACAACATTTTTTTTTTTTTTTTTTTTTTTTTTTTTTTTTTTGGTAGTATTGTTTTATTGTATTCATTCAGTACAAAATATATAACAAACAAACATACAGCTTCATTGATTTACATATATCAAAATATAAAGAAAATTGTACATTTCTCAAAAAATACATAACATAGTTTAATACACAGTACATAATGTTTACATTTAATTATACTGAACGAATATTATAAATCAAAGAGTTACCTACAGACAGACAGACACACCACACACGCTCACATACTCAGACACACATACAAACTGACATATCCCCCTTCCCCCCTTCATAAAGCACACCAAGCAATAACACAATATATAGATATCAATAAAAGGCAAGAATGCTATTGCATTCACTATCTATTAAAATAATTACTCATTATATACTCTTTTAGTCTATTCTTATACGCACGTAAACAATTATAATCTTTAATAAATGTTGGTAATTCATTCCAAAATATGGGACCTCTACACCGAATAATGCTACGTGAGAAGGAAGTGTTACCATAAGCAACACGGTAATCAAATTTAATACGAGTGTTATAATTATGTACGGCAAAATTTCGTTGAAATAAGAAATCAAATGATTTTGGTAATAATTTCTTGTGAAATAAGTACACGAATATTCCTACATTATAAACATACAATTTATAAATTGGTAAAACTTTTAAAATTAAAAAGAAAGGCATACTATGTGAGCGTGCATTAGAATGTGATATTACTCTGACGACTCTTTTTTTTGTAGTTTTCATAATCTATCTAGAAGATATCTACTGCACGATCCCCATATAATATCTTGGACTTGCCGAATGTTTCTTTTGTATTCCTCTTTAAAATACTTCTGTTAAAACCATAGATGTATCAAATGATATTTAAGCCCTTGTTTTCCTTATAGCATTGTTCAATGCGATTCATTTTTTTAATATGTTTATATCCTAGTTCTAATATCTATGTAACATCATTTCAGGTTGATCGCTTAGCAGCCGGTTTGGTATCGATCGGGGCGAAGCGAGGGGATCGCATCGGTATCTGGGGACCTAACTCCCTGGAATGGACGCTTACATTGTTTGCATGTGCCCGTTTAGGCGCCATCTTGGTCAACCTTAACCCTGCTTACGTGGAGAACGAACTGGAGTATGCTTTGAAGAAGGTGAGGATGAGATCAGGACAAAGACATGAAAATACACACTATTTTATCAAAACAGTCTCCATTGATTCGAAGTATCACGTGGCGTGACAAATCTCCCCCCCCCCCTCCCATTCCCTTCCAGGGAATTTTGACCATTACTCCGCATTAGAATAATGATAAGAATGAGAAGGACACAAAGAAGAAAAAAGGAGAAGGGGCAGAAAAAGAAGAAGAAGAGGAAGGACGAAGTGGAGGAGGATGTGGAGAAGATGGAGGAGGTTAAAGATATTTTCCTCCCTCACAAAAGACAAACCACCATCATATTCATTATCAATGCCTAAACATTACTACATTTCATCTTCTCTAGGCAAACATAAAGCTGATAGTAGCATCGACGCCTTTCAGGACAATGAGGTACTATGATATTCTTGCTAGCATCTGTCCTGAGCTCGAGAGGTCACCCCCAGGTCATCTCAACAGTCAACGGTATATTTCTCGAATTATTCTAACAGAGGCAGATTTTATGTATTAATGCATATTAGGGGAGGGGGGGGGCGGGTTAAACCCAATCGTGCAAACATTAAATATTTAAAAACCGACTCCCCTAAATTAATGTAAGCGTCCCTTTCAAACTCTAGCCTCAAAACTACCTGGAAATATAATTTGTTTTCTTCTTCTTCTTTTTCCTCTTCCTTTTTTTTAAAACCCCTGAGTACGTCTGGTAGTTTGATTGAAGGTACAGGGGTATTAGAAGTTCTTGGGGGAAAGTCTTCAGACGTAATTATCCAGGTCTGTGCTGAAATAGTCACACCATTTCACCAATAAGATTTGACCCCTTACAGTTACATAGGCCATCCGAGTCATCGCCCAATAGGTTGTCAGTCTGACCGTAGTCGTCGGGTTAAGCCCTCAAATCTCCCAAACAGACCCCAAACTCGGCTCAATTTGGGGCTACCCCACCCCATGCACCAAACTGTATTAGTGTAAGGAGTAATACTTTTTATTTTATTTTTTTATTTTATTTCTAATCTTTTGACAGGGTAGCCCATTCACCAACAAGTAGTGGTCTTCCATGGGGCCATGGAAGACTAGACGTTTGAAAGGCAAAACACTGCCAATAAAATCTTACGAGTAGATTGGGGTGATTCTTTTGGGACAGGCCCCTGGGATATCAACAATGATAAAATGTTCCTGTTTTCTTTATAAATACCAGCCTACCAGATTTGAAATCCGTAATCATAATGGGCAACGACCAACATCCTGGCTCCTTAGTCTTCAATGACGTCATTGATATGGGAAGGGAGGAGCATTATGACATCATCGAACAGAGAAAGAAATCTGTACAATTTGACGATATCATTAATATCCAGTTTACATCAGTAAGTAATTCATTCAGCATTTAATATATGATCTGTATATACGAAACTTTCTCCTACGAAACTCACTCCGCGTCAATAACCGAATTCTTAACTTTATCCCTGGACTAGTAATCCTAACCCTTACCCTAAATCTAACCTACAACCAAATTGCAACCCTAACCTTAACTCCACATCTTTGACAAAATAAGCCGGGATCAATTATTGTCGCAGTAGAAAATGTTGAATTATAGGTCAATTTAGCTTTAAAAAAAGAGAATTTGGACAACTGCATCGACATTATAATTGCACTTGATACAAAATACTGAATATTTAGATAAATCTTAAGTTATTTACCAAGATTTTACCAGTATTTTTCTTTAATCTGTGACTTCTTTTTTTTAACTTTCAACAGGGTACTACTGGTCATCCCAAGGCGACGTGTCTCACTCACTTTCAATTAATCAACAACATGGTGATCTTAGAAAGCGTGACCAATGTTGTCGGAATCGACAAGGTGGGACCTCATGAAAGTTAACCTGGGGAGTGTTTCATAAAGCTGTGCGTTAAGTTACGCATGACTTTACGAATGACTTGAATATGAAGAGCTAAATGGGATTCGCAAATACTTTTAATTGCAAATGCTAAAGTTAATATAGGCAGATGTAAATTAACCTTATCATAATAAGCCAGTTCACCGTTGCAGTCTGCGCATGAGCAGATAAAGGTCATTGCAGAACAAATTGTGAAATACACAGAGACGAAATACTGGAAACGTGCTCATGAAAGTTATGTAATCATTATTCAATTATGCACTCCATGATACACAGGTGGAAGTATTCATTGAAAAGGAGAAACAAAGGCTATTTATGTAGCACCTCCATCGCTGTAGGAGTGATTATTTCAAAATGTACAAAGTGGGACCTCTTCATGTTTTGAAGATCTGTGGATATTCGGGGTCATTGCAGTAATGTGCTAACCGTGAACTGGTCTATTGCGATTAATACGTAAATTATCATGACTACACTGTACATATTTTGTTTATCGTTATCTTTGTTTGATTGAATTATTAACCTTATTTACAAATCATGCCTGCATGGTATTATAATTATAAATCATAAGGTGACAGATAATCATGATGTATTAGTTAAAAGCGAGCAACAGGTTTTTTAGTACAAAATGTCAGTTATGGTGTAAACCCATTTACACCATAAAAAGGAACAGCTGTGTTCTTTTTCCTTCATATTTATTTACTCTTTCTTTTAGCGGGCCGCGTATTAAGAACGTTTTAGCCTACATTTTTGAAATCGTATCACTGATGTTTAATCTTTTTTAATTAAAAGTTTAAAGAGATTTTTTTTTCATTTCTATCATCGTGCAATTGTTCTCCCTTTCAGGCAGGCTGTGTTCCTATGCCTCTGTTTCATTGTGGCGGCATGTCATATCTTATCCTTGGGTTGGTCTTCGGGAGTAAGACCGTCTTTCCGTCCGCTGGTTTCGATGCCACCGCCTGCTTACGAGCTATACACGAGGAGAGGTAAAGATTAAGGTTGAGGCCGAGTTCATTGTTTCCACCTCAACAGAAATAGCATGCAAACTGATCAAAACACGGTCGCAAAGCCTTTCGAGAAATCAACTCAAAGGGATTTCAATACAGTATTACCCAATAGAAATCATATTCGGACTGGATAATACTTCATGGCAATGTTCGCAAATTTTAAATAGGTGGTGTAGTAAAACGCTTATTGAAAAGAAATTGCAGGGGTTATTTTTCAAAAGTATTTGCAATTGTGTTTCGATAGGCCTTTTTCGAAATGTAATCATATTTAATGCACAAACAATTTGTTAAGTACCTCGTTACAAATTATTTCATTCACCTGTTACGAATAGTTATATTTCAATAGTCAATAGGCGAATTGCATACATTACGTGTTGTTAGGTAATACAAGCCATAATGATTGACCTACCTAGCAACACTTGATGTATGCAATTTTACTATTTTTATGTTTTCAGATGCGCACATTTAATTATGGTACCAACCATGGTCATCGATTTTCTTCAACACCCTAAGCTGTCGACCTTTGACCTCAGTCCTCTACAAAGCCTGTCTTCCGGCGGAAGTGCCGTTCCATCACAAGTGCGAAGGGATGCAGAAGAGTTATTGAAAGTGAAGACAAAGGTACTTTCTTTTCTTTGATTTTGACATGTCTGAGTCCCAAGTTAAGAAGTCCTTTGAGGAAAAGTCGAGTCTGGAGTTAAGTCGAGTTCGCAGGGGTCGAGCCCCGAGTCATGTATAGTCAGCTGGGTCGAGTCCCAAGTTACTCGAATGAGTAGGTGTTATGTAGAGTCTCGAGTTCAAAAGTCGAGTGAGTAACAGACGAGTCTCAAGTTACTCGAGTGAGTAGGTGTCGAGTCCCGAGTTAAAAAGTCGAGTGAGTAATAGACGAGTCTCAAGTTACTCGAGTGAGTAGGTGTCGAGTCCCGAGTTAAAAAGTCGAGTGAGTAACAGACGAGTCTCAAGTTACTCGAATGAGTAGGTGTCGAGTCCCGAGTTAACAAGTCGAGTGAGTAACAGACGAGTCTCAAGTTAAGTCGAGTGAATTAGATTCGAGTCTCAAGTTTAGTCGAGTTAGTAGGGGTACAGTCCCGAGTTTAGTTAACGGGTGTCTATTCCCGATTTAATCCGTGTTTATAGCAGGTGTGGAGTCAGCCCCGAGTCATTTGGAGTCAGTGGAAATCGAAAAGATAAACCGATTTTCATCTTTGCTATAACCTCTGTGATACCTCTGTCTCTGTCATCCATGTTCTTACGTTCATCTCAAAGGGCGGTCCAACCTGGTAGTTTATTAGTATGAAAAAGGAAACCTAATGGTAAAATTGAAATAATAATAATACGGGAACTATGAGTGTTCGAAATATGAGATAACTAAATCTATGCGGATCTCAAATTGTTTAATAGGTCGGTGGATTGTGACCTAGTCATAAACAACTATCCCGTTTGTCACGTACAAAATCATTACCTTACATATTTATATTATATTTTGGAAAACATAATATCACAGGACCTCTAAAAAGAAAGACCCTATTGAGTGATACATTTTGAGACATTGACATTTCACTCATTTGTTTGTGTTGAAACAAAAAGAAAAACTGTCACAGTGACTTTACAGAATCAGCCGATATGAAGTGCCCATATAGTTACGTATGATGAGAACTTTCAATAATTCATAACTTTTTTGTAAGATTTCATTCAAATTTTCACCATCCTGCTTTTCTGACTTTTCTGGGTTTTTTCTCGAGTACTTGTCCATTAAAGATACGCTTGAGTTCTGGTAATGATTGAAAAAAGGTTCTCTTATAATCCAAAAAAAACTTACACTGAATGTTAAGATTACAAATAAATTACATGTGCCAAACGACTTTGGTAGAACTTATATAGGGGCTGAGTAATGAGGATGGAAAGATAAAGACATCAAGGTAAGTAGGCCCAATACCATGTGCTTCACACAGGTCACTATGCAAATGAGAGTTGTGGTTTTAAATGAAGATGATTTCCAGCAAGTTTCTGTGAGTTTGTTTTTATTTTACTGGTTCAAACAATAAATCTACTGCAGGATAAACAATTCAGAATGAAATATAGCCATGTTCTCTCGACATGCGATTCCCATACCAGAGCTCCAGACTAGCTTTAAGGTTGGAGTTTCCTTGAACTTTTCATCAGGTTCTATACGGGATGACAGAAGCTGCCCTTGGTGTATTGGTGTCGCTAGATACTGACCCGGAATCAGCCCGGATGAAACCGGCAGGCCGTGCTTTTCCTTGGATAGAGGTAACATATCCAAAGGTTAAAAATGATAACAACCATAATGATAATATTTGTAGTAGTTGCTGAAGCATTGTTATTTTTATTATTATTATCAGTAGTAGTAGTAGAAGTAGAAGTAGAAGCAGTAATAGTAGTAGTAGTAGTAGTAGTGGTAGTGGTAGTAGTAGTAGTAGTAGTAGTAGTCGTATAAGTAATAGTAGCAATAGTGATAATAATGATGGTGATGTTAAACAGATATAAATGATGATGGTTATAATAATAACAACACTAATAAACAAATATGCCATGCACTGAGAGGCTCTAGTTGAAATTATGGATCGAGGTGGCAGGAATAGCACTATTTTATGAGGGGCGTAGCCCCGAAGAAAAAAGTGCTATTTCTGTCGTCGAGGAATCCATAATTTCAATAGTGCATGATATCTTTGTTTTTATATTTTTCAAACCAACCTTGTATATTAAGTATTAATAATAATGTTTACTGTCACTGAAGTTGTGTATAGTGCAGGTGCTCTGGCTGGTGAGAGCAGCGCAGACGGACATACCGCGACCGCGACCGATAGCACATTGATCTTGATCGATCGCATATATATGACGTCATCCATGGTATAGTGCTATGGTAAAGTACACTATACCATGGATGACGTCACGGTTACCTCATAGCAATGTTATGTTGGGTCACGTGATGCTCTGTTGACCAATCACTGAACAGGATTTCATTGATCAAAAATATAATATTAATTAATTAATTAAAGATAATGTACGTCAGTCGACCAAAAACTAAGAAATGCAACGGGTAAGGAACACAGACATACATGTATAACTGTTTGGAGTTTCCTTGTGGACTTGGTTGGGTGTAGAAGTCTCGCCCAAATTGAATATCCCAGTAAGAAATACCCCCAGTCACAAATCTTTAGGATGAGGGAATTTATGATGATGAGTTTTCGTTCTAGAGGATGGTTGGTAGAGGATGCTGTGCATTACATAAGACCTGTCTGTCGTGAAAACTCCCCAGTGAAAACCAAAGCGTTTGTCTTTATGCATCTCTTATTCCTTAAAAATAAAGATAAAGATTACGAACCCGTCAACGGACGAGATCGTGGATGTAAACACTCCTGGTGAACTTTGTATTCGAGGTCCGTGTGTGATGTCGGGGTACTTTGACGATGACGAGAAAACCAAGGAGACCATCGATCAAGCCAGGTGGCTTCATTCGGGGTGAGAAATCGTTTTCGTCCTTATATTATACAACCCGTTTCTAAAATGCTTGATAAATTTTCTAAAAGAAGGAGAAATAAATGGCATCTAGGAGTATATCAAAGAAAGAGAGAGAAATATATATACTGGGAGAAAAGATTAAGAGTCAACTAATCTAACCTCAATGCATATCAAAATCTCTTTTTAATGTTTCCAAAATGTGCAGTACACCACACACGAACATCAATACATTCCTACATATTCCTCCCTTCCACACATACTATTACCTAACAGTCAATATCACTTTATGAAAACCTAGTTTATATTCCATTCCACTTTTTTTAATTTAGAGATCTCGCTTCGATGGATGAAGATGGGTACGTTGAGATCCTGAGTCGCATTAAAGACATGGTGATCAGAGGAGGAGAGAATATTTTCCCCGTACAGATTGAAATGCTTCTTCATAAACATCCCAAGATCAAAGACGTTCAGGTTACTTTCTTTTGTTATTCATTTTAAATTGCAATTATGATGTTGACGTTAAGCAAGTGGTATAGCATTGTTTAGATAGACGGCGCTGTACAAATGCCTATTATTATTATTATTATTATTATTATACAAATATTCATCAAAATGGGATGGTATTGATATCAGCTCTATGTGATTTAAATCGAATGAAAAAAAAACTATCACAAATACTTTGGAAAAATCAACGTAACGCAATTTCAATAGGATCGTGCGTCACCTATTAAAATGTGAGAACATGAAAATGATATATGACGTAAGTCGACATGCTTTCTATGGGACATACAATATTATGGTAATTGAATTGCTCTTGAGTTATTGTGATCGTGTTTAAAGGTAAAGACCAGTAATGGTCATGCGATTGCATTGTGAAAGAAACGTTGTGGAATCGATCAGAAGAGGTTGATCATCTAGCATCTAGCATCTGCAAGGTTCTGGAATCATCAAAATGATAAGAAATGTGGCCCATTCTTCGTAAAGTTACAAGCACTATACACAGAAAGATGTATATGGGACTACCCTATATCTCTCACAGACCATGAGAGAAACAAATTTACCAAATATATGAATTAGTAGGCGGTTTCCCGGCAAATTTTTTATCATCATGTATTAGTCAAAACATATTCTTTCACATGATTGGTAATGAGAGCTTCCATTTCATTTTTTGAAATTGGGGCGTTTCCAATACTGGTCTTTACCTTTCAAAGTACATAAGTACAATCAGGGTATTTATTAACACAATCGAAATGACACCTCGTCTGCACAATACGGACGCAATATCATCTTCGCCAGTGCCATTGATTAGGAGAGTTTGGCTGACCCGGTTCGAGTTGGCCACAAAATGGCGACTACTGTTTTGTTGGGCAATCACAAAACAAAAGAATATACGATATGTTGTGACCGAGTGAAACTAAGTTCGCCAAAATCTGTGTATAAATGGCTCTGATCTTCGCTACAATTTGAGCAAAATACATATTATTATGTCGTAATAACTATGAACCTTATTTATAATTGTCGTTGTGATTGTAGGTGATTGGTGTACCAGATGCTAGAATGATAGAAGAACTCTGCGCATGTGTCAAACTGAAAGAAGGAGAAACGTTAACCGAAGATGAAATAAAGAATTTCTGCAAAGGAAAGGTAAGATTAACAAACAAAAATCATACATCGTGTTAGAAGTTTAGAACTGTGCCTTGAGGGGATGATTATTGTTGCACGACCAACATTTCACTTCGTTTTTTGGCTTTAAAAAATCTTAGTTTTATTATTGGACATGAATTCATCAATGACTTATATATTTAAATTGATAATCATATCAAGCATACCTTACAATTATTAATGAGTGCACTTAAACGTCCCAATACCGGTTTCTGTTCCGGGATTTTTACGTGGTAACTAACTTTAAAGTGACTCGTTAACATTGTTGAAGGTTGATAAAAAAAACCTGCTTAATTTTTGTATGAAATTATAGTTATTATAACCCTTTAACATGCAAAAAATCCTGAAAAAATTCTCAAACCTCCAAGATATTAATGGTTCTCTATGAAGGCTTCCCTGAGCGACACCTTCTAACAGTAAATTTTCCCAACCATATTTGAATTTTTCCAAACGTTTTTCCATGACTGAAAATAATACATAAAGTCCTGCATTTTAAATGTTTTAACACTTAAATGTCTGGAATGGTATATATAGTCAATTCATTGCTTCATGATGATTTACATTCACCTAAAGTGTAATTAAATTGTATGAATATAGTTGCGAGTATTAAAGAATCGATCAGGTCAGTTTTTCCCAATTGTTATCATTAATAATGGTTTGTTTCCACTCAAACTTTCAGATAATCTTAAATTGTACATCTAGCTTTCAAGTCTCATCTGAACAATGTTACCAAGTCTCTTTAACACTCAAACGTTCAGATAATCTTAAATTGTACATCTAGCTTTCAAGTCTCATCTGAACAATGTTACCAAGTCTCTTTAACCCGCTTCCTATATTAGTAACATCTATGCTTCAGTGAAATAGGAATAAATTACATTGTCAAAAATATTGTATTTGCGACATTTTCTTGCTATCTATTTATTAGGTTAAGGAAATCTTTTTCGTTTAATTCTATCTTTATATATCCAGATTTCCCATTTCATGGTTCCGCGCTATGTGAGGTTTGTCAACTCATATCCGCTAACACAAAGTGGAAAGATCCAGAAGTTTCAACTCAGAGAGGATATCATCAAAGTGATGAGAAAAGAAGGGATACTAAACGAGTAAAGATGCCTTCAAGTTGATTTTAAAAGGACCTTGTTTTTAGAAGTGTTTGATATATTAACATTTTCCAAAGCATATTGCTTGATTTAAAAAGCACTGAGGAATTAAATCTATACGCTCACAATACCTCACAAGTTTTACGTCTTAAGAACACTGTTTTCCAATTTAACAGACTGAAATAATAATAACAGTTACATTGTACATTAGATATAAGATACTCACACGAAATCAACAATAGTCTTGCCAATTCAATAGAATGGTTCCCAGTAAATAAACTCTCTATAGATATATATTTTGTTAATTCCTAAATTTCCTTCCCAACGAGAATTAATTCAAAACAATCATATTTATATTGACTCGAATCCAATTGAACGAGTTGATTATATGAAATTTCTTGATGTTGTTATTGATAAGAATCTAAAATGGAAAAGTCACGTAGACAATCTCAATCAAGTTTTGTCTAGAACTTGTGGTATGATATGCAAGTTATCTCATACAACAATCATGTACAAATACCATAAGCAGGTTCTGCCACTGATTTTTTAAAAAATAATATGTTTGAACTGCAGATTACATTCACTCGCAGAACACCCGAAAGACTAAATATCACCGTCCACCACTATTTAAAACAAGTATGCTAACTTAAACTTCCATTAAAGTGAAAGGTTCAAAGCTGTGGAACAATATTCACCGCCCTACTTAATAATCAACCTTCTCTGATTACTTTCAATAAAAGTTACAAATATTGTTTGCAATCTCACAAGTACTGATTGAATTGTAATCTACATTACATAAGGGTATTCGTACATGTATGTGCCCCGTGTTGGGTTCGTATAGTGTTTTTTTTTTTAAGTAAAAGATTTGTAATTATCTCTTGCTTGTTATCTTGGAGAACATTATATATTTTTACTTGGGCTACCCTGCCCACAGTCCTCTAGGCCATTTATATTGTAGAACACAATTTCATTTCTATTTCATCAATTTTGTATGTATTACTTTTATTGTTTCATGCAATGTTGTACTTTATATACCATCCGATTAATTTATATGTTATCATTATAACATCTGTTTTAATCACGGTTTTTGAAATATAGACGAAATTCAGTTAAGTTAAATTAACGAACTGAATGTTTCGTTTTTGAAATAAAGTAACGTGCTAGTTCGTTACAGCTGACTGATTAATTATAGAAAGGAGGAACCGAATAAAAAGCTGGTCCTGTACAGGAAAACAATCCCACAGTAACGTTAGTTTCCGCTAGATTATGTAGGCATATACGGTACCGTAGAATATATATTCCGTATAATTATGCACAGTTTCATTCAAATAAGGCACTTATTTCATGTAAAAGTATAAGTAGCAGCAGCAGTAGTAGTAATGGTAACAATAGTAGTATTTAAAAGTAGTAGTAGACTCCATCGACTGATTAAAGTAAAGAAACAGACTAGGCATAAATAGTTTAATTTCACTGAGCGTCCAAATGCACCAACAACAACAACTAAAGACTAGTCCGCCCCCAAGTAATGGCTGAGCCCCGCTACGCCACTGATGGAGATGTCATGATGATGATGATGATGATGATGTGTTGGTGATGACGACGATGCTGATGCCCAAGATTTATAGATGGGCCACTTACTGCCTGAGTTTTTAGTAGATGATTAAAAAAGGGACGTATTTTGACGATAATAACTTAAGCTTATAACTCATACCGAACTGCAATAATTTATTGTCACATTGTCAAGTTGGAAGGTGTAAGAATTCTTGAATTAAGTTTAAGGAGAGTTCATCATATAACATTATTGAAAAATGTATACCTCATAATTTATATGTACACGTATGACCAATTCATCAAAACCGGAAACACATTTTCTTATATGGTCTTCCATGTTGCTAACTTGCTAAGCAGTGCCATTGATAAAATATGATGATAATGCTGAAGAAAGGCATTAAAGAATGGCAGATGTGATGAAAATGGAGAAATCTCTTTTTCCAGCTATTGGAAGAAGTGACAAAAAACATACACCAGGGAAAATTTAGAACTTTAGCAATATGAGTGGGATCTTTCAGATTATTATTGATCAAAGGTGTGATTTTTTTAAAGAAGCTTTGTCTTTTGTCTTTTCTTCCTCTATAATTCGAAAGCATTATGATACACATTACTCAATGCAATGCACTTTTGTTTTCTATCATTTGTTTCGGTATCCTTATGAAATGTTTCCTTATGTTATTATGCCTTTTGCAATATATTTCAGTCTGTAAAGTTATATAGGCGGTTTCATTTTCTGATTGCCTTTGATTGTTGTATTTTTTTCAAAGAATGTTAATTTTTTTAATTAAACACTCATTGTCAAATAACTAAGTAGTATATAGTTTGCCTTGTTGTTTCTAATTACTAAATTGCTTGAGCCGTGAGAATAACGCGATTTCTTGTTATGATACATCATGAAAGATGTGTTTAATAGTAATTTGTAATAACAAGATATATTGCTGATAATCAGCATTACAAAACTAGAAGCAAGATAAAATCTACATAATGTGTACCCTCTCCAAAAGAAAAGAGTGGGGGGAACCAGCAAAAAGGGCACTTTCTGGGAAAAGGGGGCTCCTACAAAGGGAAAACAAATTGTTTAGACATCGGTATATACCCCTCCATTGTGATTACATTATCACGGGCGATTTCAGTATTTGTTTCTCTCTTTACATTGTCCAATATACTGCTTATTGGGCTTTGCACTTGCTTACTCTCTTTTTTCATTCCCTTAAAAGTCGCAATTACTTAAAGGCCTACATCACATCAAAAGGGAAATGTGAGATAGGAGTATACTTTCACGCACTTAGCTCTCTCGCCTGTAGACTGACTCAGACGGACTCTAGCTTGTTCCAAACTGATCCAGTCACACTCTTTCGAACGGTGACGTTTAATGTCCGTCCCCAGAAGTAAATCTATTTGATGCACGTGTGTGAAATCCCATTTACGACTGGGGACACACACACACGCGCGCGCGCGCACTCACAATCCCTCGTAACCACGCCCACACACACACTCCCCCAAATACAACACACGCATACGCACAATATCAAAGTTTGTCTTCCCCTTTTCCTATGTACCATCACCCCCCCCCCCCCTCCCCCTATCACACAAATTAATGCATGATCACTGATAGTCAATACCATTGCAAGCTTTTGAACTTTGATTTACTAATTAAGCAAAACAAACTGAATATCAACTTCATTTGTTTAGTCACGGTAGATTTTGTATGCGATAGCTGATGCCTAGCGCTTATCTCCGTCTAATTGGCCCGAAACCAATCATGCAAGTACAGTTAAAGGTACTATGTCCCATTTGGAGCCAACATCAACTTATGTAGAACTTTGCAGGAATCATGAATATGTCATGTATGTCCTATCTGTGAAATTTAAACGTTAGCAGTGTCCTTATATTCCAATTATGCAAGGAAACCCCGTCCTTTCTAGACTTCACTGTCAGACACTAGTGAGTGACTGACTGACTTTTTTTTTTCTTTGGTAATAACATTCATAAAATGAGCTGTAAAGGGTACATAAGCATTTGTCTACATAAATAACGCACTTGTAATGGCCAAAATTAACTGATTGAATCTTTGCGCAGCACAAAACGTACGACCATTCGGTACAAGGGTCTGAACATCAGACCATTAATTTTGTGATTGCAATCACTAAAGTCGATTCGACAACTAATAGTCGTTATTTTCCCACTTAAGACATTTTCAAGCCCTTTGGTTTCAAGTTTGAGGGAAGTTCTAAATTAGTATTATCTTTTAAATGCATTTGGACTGTAACCTTTCCAATTTTTGGCCTAGAAATGGGACATAGTACATCGTGTTGATCAATACGGAACTATCTTTTCATATTCATTGTTCGTCTACACGACGTTATTGTTTAGCTGTTAGGTTCATAATATAATATTATTATTTGGCACGGCGCTGTGGGTTGTATCGTGCTCTAATTCAACACACTAAGCCATTTCGTATAGCTTTGCATTTATACTAGTACAAGGAAGACGAGTTTCCCACCATGCAGAAGTTCACGTTTATTCTGGGGCTACTAGCGGCTGGTGTACCTGCTCTCCTCGGTCAAGATCTACCACCGGTAAGCATAATGATATGTAACTCGATATGTATACCCTCGTATTTACAGTTATTGTTTCCTGGTGTATAACTCATAAAAAAACAAATATGGCGGCTTATGAGAAGCATTTTCTTACCGACTTGCACTTCTGCCGTGGTTCAAAAGTTACATATTTTCACGAATTTCTATTAAAATTACGATTAAAAAAACAAACAAAAAAGACAAATGTAGCATTTAAAAAAAAATCTTTGGAATGCAATAAAGGTAGATTGATCTGCCTCTTTGTCCTTGAAAATTGCACTTTTGTCATTCCTAGGCTCTTTGGGAAATAATTTACAATAAAAACAAACATGTGAATCAGATCAGTGTAGGCTACAAGTATGTGAATTGTGTTATTGCCCCGGCCATCGTCAAAACAATGTCCTGTATCTCTTACGAAAGATTGGCATAGAATCTTACCCCTCCTCTCATGAGTGTGTCATGCTATATTATCTTGACTGACTATCACGCAGATGAGGTTAAAGACTCTGTCCGTTTGTCTTCAGATAGGCACAGTTGTCTCTCTCGATACAGGTGTAAAATGGATGACATGATACATTCCGGCACATCCTACACTGTGCGCAGATAAAACATCGGAGAACTTTAATCAGACTTTCCAAAATACATGCACATGGAAGGGCATGGAGAAGTTATATCATAATGTGATATGCGCTATAAAGAAATGTTATACTCTCTTAAAAAAAGAGAGTGAATTTTCACTCTATTTTCACTTTCTTGGGAGTGACGTCCGTGATCACTTGTTTAGGAGTGAAAATCGATTGATTTTAGAGTGCTGTCTAAGAAGAAAAGAGTGAATGTTCACTCTATTTTCACTACATTTTCACTCTCCAGAGGAGTGACGTCCGCGATCACTCGATTTTTTTTAGAGACTACCATTATAATGCTTAACCTATTTCTGTTTCCAATCTTCTCTTTAGTTTACGGACAGGAATTGCCGAACTGATGCTTATCCTCCACAAGCAAGCGATGCCGCTCCTAAGTTCGTCTTCAATATGGACCTGGACCCAAAAGATAGATGGACCGAGCTGGTTCAACCAAAATCAGCAAATGTAAGGAGAAAATACGAATCATTCGAGATTTGAGGATGATTTTAGTTGATATTTGTGGGCGGGTTACCAATATATTCAACGAAAAGGAGTAAACATTTTACATAATTTGGTCTCTACATTGGAAAATCTTTATATTACACCTTCCGTCAGGGTAGGTGTTCACACGAAATTAAAGTTAGATATTCTTCAATGATAATCAAAGAGAGAAGTTTAATTCTGCCCTTAAAACACAATTATTCAAAATATTAAACGGATGAAAGGAACCTACTTTCTATTTTATGCTATTTTATTTTGCTTCCCAAGCGCATAGGGACACAATCATCTAATGATGTGTTATGCGTTATACAAGTCATCATTAGTATAAGTATTAGTATTGATAATATGTTTGTTATTATTGTTATCAATATTATTGTTATTATAATTGTTTGTATTATTATTATTGTAAACAAAAAATTACTATTACATTAATAGTATTAGTATAAGTATTAGTATTGATAATATATTTGTTATTATTGTTATCAATATTATTGTTATTATAATTGTTTGTATTATTATTATTGTAAACAAAAAATTACTATTATCATTATTAGTATTAGCATTAGTATTGATAATATATTTGTTATTATTGTTATCAGTATTATCGTTATTATCATTTTTACGATTATTATCATCAGATACACAGAAATTCAATTTGGATAATTATCACCGAATGAATCTGAAAAACACCACTGTTACTTTTCTGTACCGTATTCTATTCTTTAAAAAAAATCAGATCAGTTTCCTAATCGATGACATCAAAAGCCTAGTGGGACTCCTTCTAGGCAAGAAACTCACCTCCGAGGTTATAAACGATCTTTTTGTAAGTCCGCCATTTTATATATTCTCAATGTAAATCAAAACCACAAACTTTTATAATACAGACCCACCAAACTCTACTATCATTTTACCCATGGATGGCCATTTGGAAATGTTTCAGGAATGAGGAGAATTTTGGGTCGCCAGGACGCACCAATGTCCCGCCCTTTATTTTTTTATAATTCCTAATATGCATCAATGAAAGATGATGAGGATTGTATTAACATAAGCTTTAATAAATGTACCATATTATTATTATTATTATTATTGTTGTTATCATTAGTATTAATGATGATAATCATCATAGGTATCAATTTTTTGCGTTGTATAAATAACGAGTCAATGTACTTATTTAAATACCTTAGCATCAAGCCGGAATACTGTGTAAGGATAAAGTGATAATAATTTCAGTGAAATAATCCAAATATATGTGTTCTAGTATTATTTCAACCCCATTGTATTGGTGAGTTTGAGTAGAAAAGTACCAATCGTATACAATTAACAACTAAATTATTTATAACCGTTGTAAATTGACAATTTTTGCGTTTTTTGATACTCGAGAATGCAAGGTAGACTGGTTGTATTAGGGTCTTGGTTGAATACTTTTAGATGTAAGCTTTAATATGTCACGTCATTCTCAAGAAACACATATCGGGACTTTTCAATTTCACAAAATGATGAAAATATAAAACTTGGTAATGGTATGAATAGTTTAGTTGTTAACTGTACTTTGATATGCAGGGTCCGGTTGTGACGAGTCTCCCAGACCCATATGATCGTGAACTACAGGGCATCGCCGAGGCGACTGGGATCCCCATTGGTAAGAACCAGGGGCGTATCCAGGGGGCGTGGGGCGCACGCCCCTTTTAACCTTCCAAACAAGTATATACAGATAAATGTTCAGTGTACTCATTTAGAAATGTCTCAGATTGTACCATAGAGCGTATTAAGGTTCAACATTATTGCCCACGCCGTAAAGGCTTTGCGCTCTTAATTTCGTATCTTTCACGGACCCTCCTACCATTTTGGAAAATCCTGGATCTGCCCCTGAGCACCGCGAACCTAATTCCCCATTTACTTTAATGAATTTAGAAAATTCCATCGTAGGTGTGCGTGATAGGGGGGGGGGGGGGGTATATGACATCTCTCGCCCGAATTTCAAATTTTCTGTTTATTTGCTTTGCGGGGAAGCGAGGAAAAAAAGACATTTCATGGTAATGGAATTGTCATTTCGCCACCAAGACATAGTACATCGATAGGGTATATACAAATTTTATCAGAGTCAGAATATAAGCTGACGACTGCAAGGACATTGATATTTTCAAAACCATAGTGGAGGGGTAGGGGGGTAGGCTACAGCCCTCCAGCACCCCCCCCCAACCCCATATCCTTTTGCATACCCAAGACTGAGTTGTGGTAGATTTCAGAAAAGTAATTCGTACAGAAAGTCATAAATCATGCACGATAATGACATATTTTCAATGTCCCGGTTTGGTTCAAGGATATTTCCAGGTCTTCTTTATCACATAATTCAAGGCACAATAATTATTTCTCACATTGCATATTATAAAAAAAAAACATTTCTTGCAATTATGTAAACTATTTTTAAAATTTGTCTCTAATACGAATAATTATTTACTATTTGCTAAATACTGAATTATTTTATGCTGAAGAATCCTAATTTTGGTTAAGCCAATCTTCGTCATAAGCTTTTTTGTTGTTGGTTACAGGTGAGATCGTCATGATGAATATTTTCTACGAAATAGAATCCTTCTGCACTGCTGTAGTGGCACAGGATATGAAGGGTAAGAGACTTTAGAAACTTTGAAATATTCTAAGATAATTTTCTAGAAGTAATCACTTGAATGCTACATTACCATATCGGAACAGCGAGGTTAGATCAATAGTCTACTCAGGAGCGCATTATGTAGATACATACAAGCCATTCAAGGACATTATTATTATTTTATTTTCTATTTTATATATATATATATATATATATATATATAAATATATTTATATATATATATATTTAAAAAAAAAAAAAATTATATTTGAAAAGAGAAATTATTATTATAATAATTATTTTTATTACTAATATCAGTGTGATCATTATAAGAGTTGCTGGGCCATTGCAATTAATATTTCTTTTATCTATTTTGCCAAAACCACCACTCCCCAGAAAGATTTTTTGAAAGAATTTGATTGTTCAACGTTCTTTTTCATATATTTTCATATCGAATGAAGAGTCAGATAAGATTAGCCGTCACGTAATCATTGGGGATTATAGTAAAGGAGGGTTGAAAATGTTACGTCTTCCTTCTCTTCTTACCGACTTGAAAATTGCGTGGGTAAAATGATTCATAATTTGTGAACAATACAGGAAAACGAAAATAATTTTAAAAAAATACTAATTGGCGAATCTCGGGGAGATTTGTTTTGGTCTTGTAATCTAAAGTTTGATGACCCCAAAATAACTGCTGTGACTATTACCACTTTGTCATATTTGTTTGAAAAAGTTGATTTGCTTTTTTCGTGTTCGATTAAATTAAGTCTTTCATCGAACATTTAAAGTTCAGTAGCCATTTCATAATTTGAATCTGTATTGATATTTTGTATGGGTGTCATGCGCATTATTAACAAAACAAAGAGATACAATTCTAATTAAAGACATAATTGATTGTCTATCTTTGTAATGGTCGTCTCTCTTAATCCATGTTAGTTGTTAGTAGTAAATAATCTTGACCTGCTCAAGTGATAACGCTTATCTCACAAAAGTGCGAACAGATATAAGTGATACATGCACAAGTTTAAATATATATATATATATTAATAGGTGACACTTGAATGATATAATTGATAGAAATTCATACCCGTTTTCTTTAGATTTTACCGTAAAATGTTGCAATGAAAACAGTATTGAATGCAGAACTAAAGAAGCATATAGTTTATTTGTGGGATGCATGTATAAATAATAAACAAATTATTTCAAGAGGTGAGATGGAAACGGGGCAAATGAAAACAAATCAAACAGATGACACTTTTTTGTAAACGGTTTAAGATTCTTGATAACAAACAAACTTTGAGTGTCAAGCGTGTCAACACGCAAATGACAAATAGGCTCCCCATATTCTCTACACAGGACCCTGGGTATAATCTTATTGCGAACTAATTAATTCACCTTTAATTATCTTCACCAATCAGGTGACATCTATCATGCGAGGAATATGGACTTTGGACAATTCATAGGGTAAGGACATTAATCTTAATTTCACGGCCTAATTAACAGTTTATCATGGTTATAGCCAAAGAACTTAAGACTAATGAAAAGGGGCGGTTCTTTTTCTTCACGTATTAAAAAAAGAAGTATATACACCACTGTAGCGGCAAACTTTCGTACTGAAAAAGAAAGCGGGGCAGATTTCTTGCTCCCGCGTCATGCTAAAGTCTGCTTCACGCTTCATAGTTTTCATGGGTATTTTTATAGGCAAAGAACTTGGACCGATTAGTGGGGGCGTTTCCTCTTCTTCATGCATTCTAATTACGTCACTGAAAAAGAAGACGTGGCAGATTTGTTGTTCCCTCGTATGTTTACTGAAGTCAGTAAATTACTCAGTGCTGCACATGCAGGGCGCGCTTGTGTTTCGTCTTTTTCGTCACCTTCGTAATGGCTGGGACATTTTTATAAGGACAACAAAGTAATGAGAGAGAGAGAGAGAGAGAGAGAGAGAGAGAGAAAGGCACACACACATATATACACACACACACACGCACACACACACACACACACACACACACACATACGTAGTCATATATGTTTTGACCCCATGGATATCATTTACAATATGACCCATTTCTCAAGATGTTGATAATACGATTAAATCACTTGATATTAAATATTAAAATGATTGAGGAGGAAGAGAAAGTACCAGAGGCGGCCCTCCCGGGGGGCAAGGGGAGCACAGTGCCCCCCACTTTTTCAAGCACCCGAAAAGTGCCCCATTTTACATAGGAAAAATGCCCCTTTCACTTTTTAAGAAGTGCCCCTTTTTACATAGGAATAGTGCCCCTTTTTGACAAGTGCCCCTATTAATTTGTAAAAGTGCCCCTTCCCCTTTTCAACTCTGATAAGTGCCCTTTGTATTTGGACACGTTCCCCTTTTCCTTCGACAAGTTCTCATTTTCCTTTGCAATAAATGTCCATTTTCCATTCTCATACGTGCCCTTTTTAATCTCTAGTGAGTGTCCCCCAGTTAGGTACGAGAAGTGCCTCTTTTCACTTTTGATAAGTGCCCCCTTCACCTCTGATAATTGTTCTATTTAATTCTGAGAGGTGCCTCTTTTACTTTGACAAGTGCCCCTTTTCCTTTGTAATACGTGCCCCTTCCTATCTTAATAACCACCCCCATTTTAACTCGGATAAGCGCACCTTATATGTTTACATGTGCCCTTTTCCTTTTATAATAAGTGCCCCTTTTCCCCAATGATAAGTGCCCCATTAAAAAAAACAGCCCCTTCGCCTTTTCATAAGTGCCCCTTCTCTGGTAAATGACCCTTTTCAGGTACGAGAAGTTATTTCTTTTCACTTCAGATAAATGCCCCCTTCACCTCCGATAAATGCCCCTTTAAAATCTGATCGGTACCCATTTTCTTACAACTAATGCACATTTTCCTTTATTACAAGTGCCCCTTTTTCATTCACATAAATGCCCCTATTCATATCTGGTCATTGCCCCTTTTCAGATGCGATAAGTGCCTCTTTTCACCTCTGTTAAATTCCCTTTTAACAATGATACGTGCCCCTTTTCCTTTCCAATAAGGGACTTATCTCCTTTTCATAAATCCCCTATTCAAAATCTGATGGGGGCCTCTTTTCCGTCGACAAATGCCCATTTCCTATTCTAATGACTCACCTTTTTCATCCCTGTAAGAAGTGCCCCGTTTTCACCTGTGATATTTGCTCTTTGTACTTTGGAACATGCTCCTTTTCTTTCTTGATAAGGTCCTCCTTTCCTCTCATCATTAAACGCGCCCTAGCTAATTTCAAGCGACTAAGAGCAATTTCCCCCAAAGCTCGCTCGCTACGCTCGCACGCATCTATAGATGATATACTTTATTATGTTACTTATCAAAAGTCTTTTCACTCTTTCGTTATGAGAATGTGCTTATATTCACATTAGGATTGGGTTTTTCCTCTTTGTAAGATGTAATTTATCGCACTGCGACCTCACAAATCTTAACATTTTTCCTCGCTCGCGAACAATTTTTTAGAAATTCAAACCCAACTGCAAAGCAATATCTTGTATGGTGTATAAAGTAAAACAAATATTGAAATCATCCCCGATAATTGTTATTAAAATGTAGGGGTATATACCAATATCTAAAAAATTGTATATTTTCGCTGTGAGATTTCCCTTTGTAGGCGCCCTTTTTATCCAGAAAGTGCCCTTTTTTTCTTGGTGCCCCCCCCCCACTTTGGAAGTCGCTCGGCCGCCCCTGAAAGAAACCGTGCAGGAAACTGTCAACCAATAAAAGACCGTATGTGGAGGGGGTAGGGCGTGTGGAAGTGTTTTAAAGACAAAAACAGTCATTCGCTTTTTCATAAATTTCTCCAAAATTCCCCAAAATTATTTAAGTGTAGGTTGTATTGCTGTTAGATTTTTAATCAAAATTCCCAAATATCTAAGTGTGTTGTTATGATGAAGCATTGAGACGCTTAAAATGTCGGCGTTGTTTTGATATAGATGTAATTTATTAGCCGGTTACCAACCAAAATGTGACGGAACATTCATTTGTATTTTGAATTCATAGTTATTTTTTCTTTTAACCCTGTCATTTTATATGAAAAAACATAATATATTTTCTACAGAATGCAAAGAGGAACGGTTAGCTTTAAAATATTTTAAGAATACGTTGAAACGTTTTCGTACTACTGAGCGGTTTCTTTGTATTAAGAACAATCAGTTGATTATATTACTAGATTATTCGATGCATGCAAAACTGCTGTAACCATGTTTGTTTTAACCGGTATTTCATTGATTGAAATCATTGAGTTACATTTGTTCATGAATGATTAAATAAAATGTTTTCATTGAAATAAAAAAAAAATGTTTTGAATTCTTAGGTGGGATGTAAAGACAGATCAGTGGATCATCACCGAGAGACTGAGGCCATTGGTTACCAATGTGGAGTACCAGAAAGGAGGCAAGGTAGTCGCTAGAGCAGTCCACTTCGCTGGTTACGCTGGAATACTGACTGGATTAAAACCGGTAAGGCAATTAATGGATGGTTTACATGTATTCATAATAATAATAATAATAATAATAATAATAATAATAATAATAATAATAATAATAATCTTTTAAAGTCCACTCCAAATTTTATACAACCGAAAATGGAAATATTTTTTTTCCCAATTGATCGTAAGCCCGGCAGCCACTGAGCAGCGCCAGATCGACGTTGCTCTATCCCTTATTGTTGAACGCCAACCAAGGTAGCATGGGGCGTTAATCTTATTAAATGCATATTCATTTCTGACGCTTACGTCTCTACATGACGACTTGCAGCGGGCACGGAAGCCCATTGCACACGAGGCGTCATTTTGCGTACGTTATTACCTGTGCTAATCAAGCTTGTGAACTTGAAGGCAGTCGCTGACTTAGTCCTACGTCAGCAAATGACGCATCATGTAGTCCTAGCTAGCTAATCCAACATCCATTATTTATTTGTGCATGCTACAAGTTGTGCAGGACCTTATTACCTGTGCTTATCAAGCTTGTAGACTCGAAGGCAGTCGCTGACGTAGTCCTACGTCAGCAAGTGACGCATCATGTAGTCCTAGCTAGATAATCAAACATCCACTATTTCTTTGCTAGGGTGTGGTCAGTCTGAACATCAACTCCCGTCACAAGCTCAAGGATATCGGCTTCCTTGGTTTTATTGAGTGGATCTTAGGAGATCGCAAAGCTTACTGGACAGGGTTCGCTCTCAGGGATGCGATACTAATGGCGACAGAGTAAGTTTTAATCGTTGAAAGATTTAAACGTTTTGGAAGGATATTTGTAAAATCAGAAAGGAAAAGTAAAAGCGAGAATCTTCCCCTCTTGTTTTAATTACCATTTATCCACTTATCCATTTATTGGGTAAAGCTTAAAATATGAATTAGTTCGTCAAGCTGTTAGGGCCATAGGCGGTTTCTTCGCCAACATTTTAGTATCTTATCTTTAAGAAAATTTAAATAAGAGAAGCACTGTTTGTTGAAATAGAAAACGGGCAATTGAATTGTAATACTTGATAATATGGAACACTATTTTCCATCAAGATGAATAATGGAAAAATAACCACTAACACTTGTCTGTTTGTAAACTTGGGAACACTATAAGAACCAAAGAAATTGTCAGATAAACAAAATGTACCTCATATATATTTCAGTGCATTTTAATCACAGCCTGCTGAGTTCAATCTATTATCGTTGCGTTTATACCGTCATAATTATTTAAGTGTCGTGATTTTTCTTCATGAATGTAACGTGATTATGACGGTGACGTTATGCGCCTTATCATCATTTTGTTGACCTAATTATTAATTTGAAGAGAAATAACTATGTGCCTTTTTACTATTTTCTGTCCCAGCTTTAACAGTACCGTCGAGCATCTTTCTACAGTGGATACCATGGTACCTTCATACCTCACTGTAGGCGGTGTGAACCCGGGAGAAGGCGCGGTCATCACTAAAGCCAAGGGCAACACATCTGATGCGATCAGAAGGTAGGTGATTTTGGTTTTTCTCTCTCTCTCTCCATATAAACTCTCCCTTCTTTCCCTCCAATGCTCTTTCTTTTCTTTGATAATCAAATTATCATTTCTATGATTTATAGAATATATTGTCGGCCGATGGAAAATGAGATAACACTTCGATATCATCACTGTGTTTCCGTCCGTATTCAATTTAAAAATCAAATTATTATCATTTGTACGGTCTAAAGAATAAATGCTGATCAGGGGAAATGGTTCGTGGTCCAGACCAATTATGACAGTTGGAAGAATCCGCCATTTTACGATGACAGACGAGATCCTGCCATCAAATGCATGAAAAACATGACACAAGCGGTAAGCATTTAAAAATCTTGTTTAAAATTGTTTGTTAGCATGTAAAAAGTATACAATGATGATAATAAAAAAGAAATATGATAAAAGTAATACTAGTAATAATAATACTATTGCTACTACTACTACTACTACTACTACTACTACTACTACTACTATTACTACTACTACTACTACTCTACTACAACTACCACTACTACTACTACTACTACTACTACTACTACTACTTTTACTACTACTACTACTACTACTACTACTCTACTACTACTACTACTACTACTACTACTACTACTACTACTACTACTACTACTACAACTATTACTACTACTAATAATAACAACAAAAACAATGATACTACTACTAATAATAAAAATAAAAAATAATGATAATATTAACAATAATAATTATTAAAATAATCATAATAATAATGATCATAATTTGTTCATAATCATCCTCATCAGCTTCGGTGCTGTTCTTCCTGAATTATTGTTACCCTAGCAATTGCCTGGTACCCATTTACACCTAGATGGTTAGTGGGAAATGTGGATTATTGCCAGAGGATACTTATTTCCGGGCTTAGATTCAAATAGTAAACATTTGGATTGAGTCGTGTTTATGAACCACCATACCATGACGGATTTAACGAATTCCATTCTTTTTACGACTAATAATGTACAGGTATATTTCCATTTAATGGGTTTGATGATCGTTACTTCTCTCGTATAATAACAAAGTTCTTCCTTCCTCCATTCTACCAATCCCCTCCCCGTCCCAGCCCCATCTCTTACTCTTTCTCACCACTCTTCCTCTATCTTTATGATCTCTATATGTCTCTCTATGTCTTTGTGTCTATGTCTTTGTGTCTATACTTATTTTATATTTTTCAAGTCTCACCATGTTCTTGAGAAGCGTTTGGTTCTTTTCAAGTAAAGACAATCCTTATAAAGGCATTCAGATCATGTACTGTCTCTATAACTCACTTGTTAGTACTTTATTCTCAGCCAAATTGCCATATTTATGAATACAAGTACGGAGGAGAAAGCAGACGAATTTTCATTAAAGAGATGCTTGGTTTGTTACTCCAAAATTGGAGAATAGCAGTAAATACTGAAATATTGAAGCTCTCCACCCTACACTCATCAGAGTAAATCGCAAGATGAACAGAAATCAGAAATCACTCGATAAAAGGGGAAGCTAAAGGAACAAGCGTGCGAAATTAATAACTGGTTGTGATTGGCTACTGGAAATCTCAAGAGACACGTTCAATGAAAATGGGCTGCTTTTAATGAACATTTTTTGAAATTATTATTTTGCTTTCCAGAACGTGAGTTCGAAGAGCTTCTACAATGTGTTGTCAACCAAGCCAGTTCTGAATATGGTAAGCTACGTTATAGAAAATGGTGTAAATTGAACTGTTATTATTATTTTCTTGGAGTTCGAGTAACGCTACCAAACGAAAATTTGTGCTCGATATTAAACGAAATAATGGGAATAATGTGATGGACTCCAACCTAATACGAAAAGTCGATAAATATCGCTTGCAATTAGTTGGCATGTTCATGTTCTTTAAAGTCAATTTGATGAACATTTTATTGAATGGTAGATAATGATCACATAATAGGCATACGTGTCTTGAATTATGAATACGCGTACACATTTAACATTTCCGTTTAACTCGAACTACTTCAATGTACATATTTTGCTCACGGGGTAACATTAAAGGTGCTAGTCAACTTATGAAAATATGTGTTAAAAAATCAGTCCAAAATGGTATAGAAAGTAACTAATGTGGATGGCGACAATGGTACAAAGATTCAAAATATTATTTGAGATTTCAAAAATGATTAAAGAGAGAACTCGGATGCCATTGATCATTATTATGACGTTGTTGATTTTGTGTACACCTTTTACTAAACACATCGTCCGTTTGAAGCCAGAATGGTATTCATATGCTTTAATGGTACTATGCCCCTTTTGCAGCCAGCATCAAATTCTGTAGAACTTTGCAATTATGAATAATCATGTATGTCCTATCTGTGAAATTTAAACGTTAGCAGTGTCCTAATATTTAAATTATGCAAGGAAACCCGTTTACTTGCTAGACTTCACTGTCAGACACTATTGAGTGACTGACTGGCTTTTTTACTTCTTTGCTAATAACATACATGAAACGAGCTGTAAAGGGTACATGAGCATTTGTCTATATCAATAACCCACTTCTTCTAATGGCCAAAATTAAACTGATCGAATCTTTGCACAGCACAAATCATACGACCATTCGGTACAATGGTCTGAAAATCAGACTATTACTTACTGACTTGGTAGAACTTAAGTCGATTCGACAACTAATAGTCGTTATTTTCCCACTTAAAGACATTTTCAAGCCCCCCCCCTTTTTTTTAAAGGGAAGTTCTAAATTAGTATTATCTTTCAAATGCCGTTGGAATTTAACCTTTTCATTTTTCGGGGAATGGGACATAGTACCTTTAACACAGCGTTAACACCCGTCTGGCTCGATACAGACGAAAAAAAACCCATGTGTTATGACTGAGGATAACGGAGAGATGAAGTGGTGTATACATTATATTTTACCATGTTTTGTAATCTTTCGTAAATTTTCTTTATTTCTCCACTCTCTACCGTGCACAGCTCTCCTTGTTCACTGCTTTGATGCACGTAAGGGAAGGGACACTGGACACCTACATTCGCCACTGCCCCCAGCCATGTTACCCATGGTAACCAGACCACGCCCACAATGTATTCACAACGAACGATATAATTATCATGTCTGCCCTGTTTCATAAATCTTACCATCAATAACTACTGTCACATTTTGTAACACAAATTTCCTACAGCCATTAAAATACGATGATCACGAAGCTTATATAACCGTTATGTTCTATGAAACAGGACCATATACCAAATATAACTTTCTTTGGTCAAGACTAGAATCCCCAAGATTTTTGCCTTACTGAATTATCTTAACAGTGTTCAAACGGGATCCAAACAGTACTATCTATCATTTTTTTCTTCAAAAGAAAAGTATAAGTAGCAAGTAACTTCTTCTACGGTGTAGACGAACTCTGGTCGAGGGATGTCAATAACATAATTGTGAAGGCCTACATGACTGTGATATTAAGATCTAGATTGTGAATAGTTGTAGGTCTACCTATGTAATAAACGAATAATGGCGGGGTTGTGTAAATCTACGGCAAACCAAACTGGTACAGGTAACAGCGCCAACGATACACAATATGCTACATTTTTAGATTTGGTTAAAAATTAAAGCTCGTTGTTAATGCTAGTACTGAGATATTAGTATATAGAGCGAGAGGGAAAGAGAGAGAGAGAGAGAGAGAGAGAGAGAGAGAGAGAGAGAGAGGGGGGGGGGGGGGAGGGGAGAGATGAGGGATAGATGAAGAAAAAGGAAACGCGAGTAGTAGATTCATTTATGATATTTTCTTTCTTACGTCTTAATAGACAACCACTTGCGATATGAAATTAATTTCTATGATTGTGTTTGTGAAACGATGCGATGTTCCTGTGTATAACCTTGTGACTCGATTTCACAAATCATATATACAAGATAGGAAAAAATGGTTATCTGAAAGAAATGAACCCTTATAATACCCCATTGTACATCCTATATGATTTTTTATTTTTTTTATTTTTATAGATTTAACGTTTTGATTACGTAATACATCATTGGCATCACAAATAAAGAGATACACAGGTCTATTGGTCTATTGATCTTGCCTTAGGTTAAATTTTCGAAAGTAGTTGCTATCATAACTTTTGACATGTAACATGTTGTTCAATATATCTTTCATTTGTGATATTCTTAATTAACCATTTATTACAATCTAAATCGATGTTCTTCAACTCATTTTTGCACACTAAGTTCATCATAATAAGTATCGTCACCAGTTCTACTCATTAACATGTAGACTAAATTTTTTCTACGAACTATTAAGCATGTCATTTTACTTTAATAAAGACAAATTAAAAAACGATCATACAAGTGGTTAATTATGATATTTGTTCAGACTTTGATAAATTTACACTTATTAAAATATTCAGATGCGAATCCCACTGTGGTTTGTTTGGTATTGTGACTTGTGAGCGTCTGTCAAAAGCATCTGGTTGGAATGCTCCCCAGGGAGTGGGGAATGTGCATACATTGCTTACGGGCAAACCTGAATCTGATGACCAGAGTTATAGTGTATAAGCGCTTTGACATGGAAGATGTATGAGATGCTATATAGATGCAGAAACCTATTATTATTAAAACGTGAGAAACATCAGATTAGATTTTTGGTAAAACAGACATTTTCAAAAGTGATAATTATCCTACAGATCAGCAAGAAAGCGAGATAGTGAGTGGATTATATAAATTTGTTTCTTCAGAGTTCACAGAAATGTGAATAGAACAGTAATTCATTTCCGCTCCCAGTTCTCGGTGTACACTTCTTCCTCTTCCTCTCTCTTCCTCTCGACAGCTCCCTCTCTCTATTTCACTACCATCCTTCTTTTTCACATGGTGGTCTAATGTGCCAAACATCAAACTAATTCGCGTTACCTATTCTCAATTCATATTTCAAGTACCGGTCACTGAGTGCTTGAAATATCGATCGCAAGATAGAAGGAAGTACTCAGGTACCTCTTCTTTGTTCGTTCTTGTCATGGGTTGAAAATCAATTATCAGCGTGAATCTTTAGTTAGAATGAGGTTGGGGAAGTGAGCTGTGGCTCCTTATTACGTATGTTATCAGGCAATTAAAATGAACCATGACATATCAAATTTGCCCTACATCTATTCGAAGGCTGTTTGTCTATTCGAAATGATCAAGGCGGCCTTTCTCCCTTCTTTCTCCCGTTGCTTGATCACACCAACCATTCCTTTGATAAATTAAAAAGTTTTGCAAACCACTTTTGATATTATACAGTGCGTCCCAAAAAAAACTATACACTTTTGAAATGGCTGCCGAATAAAAAATATATGATCCTGGGGAAAAAGTTTTATATGTATGGAAAGCTCATAAACTCAACTTTCATATGACACCAAAAAGTCCGAAAATAATTCATGCTTGGGTGAGCACTGCTCACTTTTATAAAGGGTATGAAAATTAGGTTGCGCAGGAATTAGCGTTCCAATCTGTGAGAGGTAACTCCTTTGGTGCTTACAAAATCGAGGGTGATATGATACATTCATGATTTAATGAGTGAATTACATGGCTTAAAAAACCAAAATTTTATGCATGAGTGAACAGAAATTTCATTTTTTATTTTAGCATTGTAACCTTCCCTGGTAGACTCAGTGGTGTGTACATGGGAGTCAGGAGGGGTTGATGGTACATGTTGTAATTTCCATCTTATAAACTGTTATTTTTTATATCTGTGACTTTGAATAAAAACCTTCACCCCACATTTCAGTTATTGTAAGATTAGTTGAACATCTTATTGATTTACTTAATAACCAAATGGGGATTATGTAAATTGATTATTCAAATACGGTTTGTTGAAAAGAGGAATATCACAGATGTTGGCTACTTATTCTTCATGTTACCCATTTACCATTTACAGAAACTCAAGTGCTAAAATGACTGGTTGGTTGGTTGATAGATTAAGTGATTGACTGAGTTATTGATTGATTATGATTGAATGATAAAATTGATTGAAATACTGAATGGTGATTGAATGCTTGATTGATTAATTGATTGTCAAGATATGCACAAGCACACCAAGGCAGAGAGAGAGAGAGAGAGAAAGAGAGGTCCTCTTGACCCTTATCCCATCTACCAAACAAAGTCCTACCCTACATTTCACCTCCCCTGCACCATGTTCCATCACCCCGTCCTGACTCCCATGAACACTCCACTGAGTCTACCATGGAAAGTTACATTGCTATACGGTAATAACAAATGCAATTCCTGTTCACTCATGCATAAAATGTTAATCCCATAAACCACAAATTTCACTCAGTAAACCCAAACTCATCACAATTGATCATTAATTGGTCATATCATTCTCAATTCCTTAAGCTCCAAAGGATTTACCTCTCACAAATTGGAAGGCCAATTCCTGCGCAACCTAATTTTCATACCCTTTACAAAAGTGTGCAGTGCTCACCCAAGCATGAATTATTTTCAAACTTTTTGGTGTCATATGAAAGCTGAGCTTATGAGCTTTCCATACATATAAAATTTTTGCCCCATAATCATATATTTTTTTATTTGGCAGCCATTTCAAAAGTGTATAGTTTTTTTCGGGACGCACTGTATAACTTTAGACAACCTAAAGTATGCCAATACCTGTCTGACATAGCACCAAACTATGGTCCTTATGAGTATGACAAAGTACCACTGCCTTGAGCAATGTAGGGTGTTGAACAAGTTATCGTCATGTAAGGACATGTAAGTCTTCTTCTACTTCCTCTTCTTCTATACCAACGCATGTCAGAATAGTTCCAACGATAGAGATGCTCTCAAATATTATAGGTTCAATAAAATAAAATCATTCAGTACATCAATTAAATGGGGAGGATGTGTCTGGTCGAATTTGCCGATCGCTGTTACCATCATATCAACAATTACTTCTTCTTCATCCTCTTCTTCTATTAATTCTTCTACTACTTCTTCTTCTTCATCTTTTTCTTCTTCTTCTTCTTCTTCTTCTTCTTCTTCTTCTTCTTCTTCTTCTTTTTTCTTCTTCTTCTTCTTCTTCTTCTTCTTCTTATTCTTCTTCTTCTTCTTCTTCTTCTTCTTCTTCTTCTTCTTCTTATTCTTCTTCTTTTTCTTCTTCTCCTTCTCCTTCTTCTTCTTCTTCTTCTTCTTCTTCTTCTTCCTCTTCTTCTTCCTTACATGCTTCAAACTCAAAATGTTCCGACTGCAATTGCGAAAGTGATGTGACAACGCACCATACCCCTTTGTTCCACCTCTACTGAACATGCATGGTTGAAAACTATGAAATCAATAGATCATAACGAAAAGATGTGCACATGATTACAGTCATAACTATTACTGCATGACGTAGGTTTTCTGTGTCTACTGGTCCATCACAGTCATTCGGGCGAGAGGAGTTCAGAAATCCCTTCGTTAACACCTCAAAACCAGAACCATCAGTCACAATCACAATCGATCTGATAGAAAGCATAGATAAAATAGACAAAGGGTTTACTAAAATGTGACTTGAAAAGAGCGTCACCGCTCTTATTGATCACATATTCTATGAATTATCAACGTGTTTGTTCCTAATTTCCGAAAAATTCTCGACTTATTAAAGACATATGACGTACAATGTACTAGCTTTGTCACTCTGAGGTGATATCCCAGCCACACTGCCCAACTGGGTCTAAACGGACCAATGAATGACAGACTCTTGACCATTTGGCGTAATAGGGTTTTGTTCGGTAATGGTGTTCGTCTTGTGTAGGTGTGACTTGGGTCGGTATGATAAAAGGAACAGTTATAGGTGAATAAGCAGTGATTCTAAGAATCATTAAAGTGACTTTAAGATTTTTTGGGTAAGGTTTAATACCACGTGAGTAGTAGAGCCTGTCACTTGTAGACAATAAGAAGTGGTTTTATAATCACCGGAAATTCTTTCTTTTCGCTGAAATGATAGACAGAATTTAGAATACACATCTAAATATAGAGAAAGAAAGAGTGCAGTCGTCATTATTTCCACCACCTGTCGATGTCTACTTATGACAGGAAAGGAGAGAGAGGTTTCATTTCTATTTCCAAATCTTTAGTGGAGCACCTTTAGGTCTGAGATCTCTGCAGATTTAGGATTTAAGGGGCAGAGTTTTAAAAACGAATAGAGAATGAAACAACTCATTGGGGGAAATTGTTTTTGTCTCGAAGTCACAACAATTTACAAATCGAGTATTTGGTGGCAGAGACTCAAAAAATTAGTCATTTAGAATAATGGGTCTACCCTTCATTGTGTAGCCGACAAGACATGAGAGGTATTGTCTTTGCCGAGATTGATAATAAGGCACGTTTTAGGCGTAATAATCCAAATTTAATGAAAAGTAAACCAACAACGAGCAGCATTAATTTGATGAGGAATTGCCCAAAACTTTCAAACTGCAGTGGATTTTCTCGAATTAATCAACCACAAAAAACAATAGACTGGACTGGAGAGAGACAGAGAGAGATTTAATTCGTCTTCACTGAACATCGTCCAGGTGGTGATCGAATCGGAGAATGATGAACGTCGATCTCGCCATCAAGCGTTTCGAGTGGGAGATTTGGCGGCGACGATCAGGGCTATTGAAGATCAAGGAAAAGGATAAGGTAAGATCATCCATATTTGTTTTTAAGAGTAGGTTGAGTTCTGGACTGATAAAGGTAAGAAAAATAATTTGTGAGGTTTTTTATTCTCTTTATGTCAGTGTGGAAGAGTATCACAGGGCCTATAAAAAAGACCAAACTTTGAATACTGATATTCAAAAGAATGATAATAATAACAATTACATTTATAGGGCGCTTAATAGGGCACATGATTGTGATACTGTCTATCTCAGTTTAATTATTCAACAGGTTCAATGGCTTAAAAGCAACAAAATAAAATAAACATTACTAATACTATACAATTCATTTGAATGGAATTTGCTAATTAAATATGAAGAGAAATAGCTTAGAAGTTTGTTTAGAGAGAACTTTCATGCCATGTTAGTTCCAAGTACCCATTTTGTGTACAGTGTCGTTTACTTAGGATTTTCAGCAATAAATATTCGATTTCTTATCGTTTTGACGATTTTTAAACTTCAAAATACACAACGAGTAAAGTGTACTACATAATATACCTTTCTCAATGTTTCCTTCATATTGCAATAGTATTAAAACAAAACGGTATCTTTAACGCGTTGATAAAGCTTGATTGCTGTAGAGCGGTCGTAGATGAGTGGTTCTAAAAACTTGACTAGTGACGGCGGAGATTGTGGGTTCGAGACCCCGTGAGGTATTCGTGTCCTCAGCAATGGATTTTATTTACCCAACTACATGCATCCTTCAGCAGGGCAATCGATTGCTTCTTTCTACCCACGTAATTGATAGGTATGATGTCGCTGTACAGGATGAGTCTTGTTGCGCTTACTACTGATTATCATTTCATCCTTTTCCATCGGTCTCAAGGGCTCTCGGTCTTACCGGCTGTCAGTCTCGTGAACCCCACGGATTTTTTTTTCTTCTCGCAAAGCCCGTCAGATTTTTGGTCTCGTGGGTTTTTGGTCTTATTCATGGGATGTAGATGAAAACTAGGATGATCATTTAGGATGATCATGATGTTTTGGATGTCAAACCAAACTAAACGGCGTCGGTGCTACCTATGGAAATTCAGTCTTAGTTTCGCATTTTGATGTCTGGATCTCGGGACCTAGTTCTAGATAAAATGGACCGAGAGATGTTTCATCCTGGTCTTCGTCTTGGTCTCGGTACCCCGGGTAACGACTACGAGACAGAAGTAAGAATAAGGTCAAAGATTGATGGAGATAATGTATACTGGTGAAGGTTTTTGGCTCTCAACAAGGTCCCGGGTTTATTTATTCATTTATTTATTTTGTTTTATTTAAACAGGGTAGCCCCGTCAGTAATCACAATATTGTTTTCCAGGGGCCCCTGTACACAAATGCAACATAATTATATGAAGATACAAACTACTTGAACAATATAAACAATATAAACATCATCGAGAACATCAATACATAGTAACATATAACAGAAAATAAGTAAAGAATAAGAGTGAATAATGAACAAAGCCGTTGTAAGAATGATAAATTTCAATGAGCAATTTCAAATGGATAAAAATTTACTCTGATTATTAACAATGATCTGTTCAGATTTTAACATATTATATTGAGAAATGTATGTAAATATTCATGAAAGAAATAAAGAAAAAAAAAAGGGAAATCTATCTTTAACATCGCTGCTTAAAATAGAGAGAACAAAAAGTATTCTTGGTCTGAGCATTTCGCACTGAGTGGGATAGGCTATTCCACTGAAGAGCACCAGGGTTCAATCCTTGCGTCGCACTTACATCCCTGGGCAAGGTGTTTGCCCAAGTGTTGTCTCTCTCGACCCAGGTGTATTGATTGGGTACCTAGCAATGATGGGGAATAATAGTAATTGCAGGGCCTGTGTGAAGGGTAGCATTAATACTGATATGGCTACCATGGTTACAATACATGTAATAAGATTACATTATCTACTGTCAGTCAGAACATAAATTCTCTAATAATTTCAGGCAACGCTATGGACAGACATTGTATGGTGATGACATACTGTCCCCATGTTTCTTTGTTAAGGTAACTTCATTCATAGACCTAGAATGAATCGCGTTTTAAGCCTTGGGGAAACGGAACTATCTCTTTGCATTAACGGGTCTTCAAGATATCAACAAATCTATTATGTACCATCTTTCCTACTTCAAAATCTTAAAGTTCGATGAAATGTTTCATCCGGCTTATTCAGGTGATGTAAATAATGCTCTGCAAATTATGTTCTTTAAGTGCCCTTCAATGTGATATGCATAATGCTAAACCCCCTCGATTACAATGATCGACTGGCGCCTAAACTTAGCCCTTGCATACCATTATGTATGTATCCCCTTCTACCATTGTTACGTCACGCGCACCTCAAAATAGACCACTTGTGGTTCGTCAGATGACACTTGAATGTCGAAGTGCCGACAAGAGCGCTACCTCCTAAAAGTCCATTTTTAGTCTTGAATCGAGAGAATTTGTGCAATGCATTTCCCCTTTTCAATGCTTTGAAATAATAAATATATTATAAATATGCAATAGTTAAAAAGTTCATAAAATATATATGCGACATATTTGTTTTGATCGGGTAAAACATCATTGTTAATTGAAAACGGTAATGGGGACACCTATTGCCTACCTTGCGATGAAATACAATTTGATATAAGAGAACACTAATGTTACTGTAATCCTTGCCTGATTATTTATAATTTCGATTTCAACGAATTTGTTTATTATTAGATGTTACTAACAGCAACAAAATATATGTTCCAAATTTCAACTACATTAAATCACCATGACAACCAAATACATCAGACGATGTTGTTAATATTTAACCATCCTGTTCGCGCCTTAAGCCGATTATATTCTGCTATCTTCTCTGTCAATCGGTTTTGAGATACCGATACAAACACGCCGTCACCGATACATGTAATCAATATCGCTGAATAAAAGATTCCTATTGTAGCTAACCAGGGAACAATTAAGAAATCTATTTGGACAATATTTACACAGACCCATCTCGTTTCTAGCCTACAACGTCAGGAAAATCTATATCCGATCCAAGCTCTCAAATTTAAACGAAGTTTCACGATATCGTCTGCAAAAGCAGATGATTTTCGTGTCCGCCAAAAAACCGCATGGAATCAGCAATTGACCTTGAACTTATCTCATCAAAGATATCCATTTAAATTGAGCGTTACGTCAACATAATTCGGATTGTATCGTAATCTGTAGCATTTTTGCGAAGAATATTGCAGATTCAACAAGTTCAGATTTGTTCGGGCAGAACGACACCATCATACATCATTTGAAGGATTATTGTGCGATGTGGATATCAAAAACAGGAGCCTGAACTGTGTACAGTTGAGTTGTACGCACAGAGGATCATTCTAATTGCTGTTAATTAGTGTGGGATTTACTTTTCATCGCTTTTATGACCACAAATGAACCCTTGATGTTTGAGTTTCGAAACTTTGCACGTCTGTGTGCCAATTTATTGTGATCAATTACAAAGGTGCTCAATTCATCGATGAACGTCCAGTTCTAATATGACAGATTACGCATCCCCTTGCATCGTGGTTCGGCGAATGGCTAATCGTAAACGGTTTTTGTCTTAGTAACATCGTGAAATATTTCCTTTTGGAAAATGCCACAGTTTTGTCATCCATACCCATCTTCTTTCCTTATGGGAAGCCTTTACAACGTTCAAAGTCTTTGGCTGATGGCAAAAAGGAATAAACATATTCTTAAAAATCAAAATATGGCTTACTTTACGATTTCTTCTGATTCAAAGCAAACTCGAGAAGTCAAATTGAACTAGTTAAGTTCGATAAGTAATGTTGTTAAGGAGTGAGTGGTATGTTTTCATCTATAATTGGAATTTTAAAAATCGATAGATAGACAGACAAAATTAAGATGCCACCCGAAAAGGAAATGGTTAACAGCGATGGATACGACGAAGAAATTCATAGGAAGTTGGAAGTAAAGCGAAATGCCTTGGCTGCCCTTTTCGGCAGCTCAAGCATACCGACTTTGCCGAAGCTTGCAGAAGACTCATTATCAACTTTAACGCCTGGGGTGAAAGATGGAGTTGTCGGACGAACTACGACCGGACGTGGCCCGGTACAAAGGCGAGGAAGCACGACGAAGCTCCTGTCGAACTTCATGCCAGATATCAACGAGATTAATTCCGTCGCGAAAAGTAAAAATTTCTCGTTGCATCGACAAACTTCCCAGGAACGGATTTCGAGAACCAGATCGAACTCGGAGACGATGACAATCAGCGAGGAGGAAGAAACTCTTCGGGCGTTCACGAAGTCGCGACGTATGACACGACGAAGGACGAGTGCGAGTCGTGGTTCCCGGGGCGGAGAGGGGCAGAGAGAAGACGAGGCTCCGCATATACGAGCTTTGCTGAGGAGACGGAGTACGAGGTTCAGCTTGACCGAGCAGGACGGCGGCGACGTCGGAGGGTCATCGAGCTCGATGTTCGGTCGAAGGGGGTCCATGAATCCAAGAATGTCGGATTGGAGGAGGATTAGTCTACTGGTCAAACAACAGGAAGAGTTAAAAGAAATGCAAAGGAAAGAAGAGGTATGGACAATAATTTAGAATGTTTGATGCAACTTAGTGTGCAAATGTTTTTTTTAATATGCCTTGTAAACTAATTGTAGATGCCATTATTCTACTATTGAAATCCTATAGTACAGTTCATAAAAGAATAAGAAGTTTCTTTTTTATAATGAAAATGCTCCTGTAAAGATTTCCTTGAAATAATAATAATAATAACCGAATGCGTTTGATTGTCACGTGCCCCCCCCCCCCCCATGACACAACACGGGGTGGTAGAAATGAGAGAGATAGGGAGATATATATATATATATATATATATATAGAGAGAGAGAGAGAGAGAGAGAGAGAGAGAAAGAGAGATATAGCCTAGAAAGACAGAGAAAGAGAGAGAGAGAGAGAGAGAGAGAGAGAGAGAGAGAGAGAGAGAGAGCGAGATGTGACAGGGGAAATGAGAAGATGTTGATCACCTGCACACACCCACTTGAACACACTTTTTTTGATTAAAATCTCTCTACGTGACACTCTATTCTCCTACATACTCCTGTAACAGCGCCGTGTACCCCCTCCCCTTCCAGGCTGCTACCGACTCAAGCATTCTTTACATAAATCAATTATATTATATACTATTATTGTTATTTGAATGTTTTATATTTGATTGATCAACAAATGCAGAAACATCTTTAAAAAAAAAATAATGGAGACCAACATGTTTCAAGTGGAGCAACTTCACGAAAACAAAAAGAAAAATAAGGGAGAGGGGTAAAGGAAACATGAAAAGAAAATATTACGATCTCTTTCTCAACCCTCAGCCCAGTTCCTCAGTTGTATTCGTAAATTGCATTTCATCCACCTGTATGACCCGTGCCCCTCCCTCCCAGTCCCCCTCCCCCACCCTATAATGCTGGTGCCCCCCCAATGTTTCGGATCGAAGCTGCACCCCCTGATTCGGCCATCGTTTCATACGTCAGTGCCTTCTAGATCCATGATATCGCTACTGGTTATCACTCTGTTTCTTCAAATTAACCAAGTCATAAGATAAAGAGCAAGCAAAATTTTATTGTATATCTAAGAGTAAATTATTGAAATACGTTACGAATTCACGTTTGTTCTACAGCGTTAGTACTAGTAGTGCTCATATGATATCAGATAAAATCTATGCATTCTTAAAAACACTTAAATCTCTACAGCGACATCTACGGCCGAAAGTCGTTACGCCCGTTGTTTATAATTTTGAGGCGGTAACAGCATTCTGGAGGCTCGAGCAGTATACTTGCGATTGCGCAACTCCAATATGAAAATCTCCTGGTAGTAGGCATAATCAGAATTGAAAATGCCTTTTCCTTTTCCTGCCAACAGTAATTGTCGAGGTGTTGTCTGCTGAAACATGGAATTTTTCGCTACACACGAAATATAGAGTCATGCTCTCTTTTTTAAAAATTCGTTTCTCATTCCCTAAACACAAATAACACTTCTCTAACCCCCAAGCCCCCCCCGAAAAAGGGTACATATTTTCGCACGTTATTTCCGATACCATCATCTGGTATAAAACTTTAATACATACCATCATAATATGTTCGTTTTTACATGCTTCCTGACTGGAACGGTTCCAACTTTGCCCAATTCATCTAAGAAAAGTACGGAAAAGATGCTATTACTTTTTCAAAGCATCCAGCCAAGGGCTTATAGACATATAACGGTTGAAGGGATTCTATTGATGCTAACCCAAATATGTCTTCAGATCGAGAGGGTACTACCGTGGCACCTTTTCCCATTCATGGATAATCCGATTCCCCTTTCGTAAACACGTTCCTTTAGATCTCGATATAGAATCCTTATTGGAGACAAGACAACGATGCACAAAGTCACTGGACTGAGGTTTGACAAAACTGTGGGTTATCCAAGTCTTAGAATAGGACGGAAGTTGGAAAACGTGCAATAAAACCCGAGGAGAAAAGAAAATGTTCCTTGAAATGGGTGTAGAGAAAGAGACTGTTTAAGGTTGCAAATTTGACTTTGAAAAAGAGCAAAGCTTAAAAGTTTATTCGAGTATGAAAAAAATTGGAGCCACTTCAACTGGATAACGAAATGCTTCACGGACGAATTTTTAATAGAGACGGATAAAAATAATGGAGACGAAAACAGTTTGCTTGTTAGGTAAGAATCAATGTAGGATGTGAAGTTAAACAAACCACCGTTATTTAAACATATTTGTGGCTTACACCCAGTAAATAAGATCGATTGATCGATCTGTATTGAAAAACAAGTCAGACAAAATCTTGAAACCAGCGGGACTTGAACCTGCCATCTACTGCTTGCGGGGCAGCGACTCTACCACCAGGCCATCACTACAAACAAATACCCAAGCTCTCCTGATTCATTCTGACTTATAAATATTCATTAGTCCGCCATGGACAATAACTTTTATAAATGTAATGCTTCCTGGGAGAAATTTCAATTATTTAAACATATTTGTGGCTTACACCCAGTAAATAAGATTTGTTTCTGACTTGTTTTAATCGATCTTATTTACTGGGTGTAAGCCACAAATATGTTTAAATAATTGAAATTTCTCCCAGGAAGCATTACATTTATAAAAACCACCGTTAGTTACTAAGTAAACAATTAACATGGAAAGCGTCACAATAATAACGGTTTTTAGTGTTTAGTGTTTTTAGTGTTACATATTCATTGATAGAAACATTTTTCAGCTAGGAATCAATGATTTCTTTAATGAAGTGGATCCATTGATTTTTGAGAGATAATTATTCATAGGAAAGAATTTATGACCTTTCGTTTCTTTCATTTATCTTGTTTCCTTTAAAATATCATGTACTTGTCGGGGTGGGGATGGGGGGGGGGGTGATATAATTAGCAAACAACATACCAAGTGGAGAAAAAAGTCCTCGGAAAGAATTGAATAACCCTTTTTTCCATTTATTTATTGTTTTTGCTTCACATATATTTTGTTTTCGTCAGTTTATTCAAAACATATACCTCCGAAATAAGTGACTACTTTTCTTGTCATTTTAATTTCGGACGGGAGAATATTTTGTAAATAACACCTAAAGTCAAAAGAATATCCTCTTAGGGGCCACGTGTCCCAGGTGGAGAGACAATTTAAAAGCCAAATCCATTTTGAGTCATGGAATACAAAATCACGATTGGCATTTAACCTTTCATTGAAAAGAAATCACATCCGAGCCTTGCGTTGAGGTCAAAGGTTAGTTACCATAGCAGCAGTAAACAGAAGTCGTGCTCCAGGTGAAATGTATCTCATCACTGCTCAAAGTCGATTCGAAAACTTGGCAGCTGTGCCGGTTACAGCAAAGTTGGACGCTTTCACTCGTTTGGATTTTGTACTTTTTTTTAACAAAATGAAAGATTCATTGCCAATGACAGGTTTCTCAGAACATCCTTTAACAAAAAGACGATTAGATACAATCAGATTGAGCGTATGGATTTATAGGCATATTTCTTAATCTCATATTTCCCATGTTATATCTCCTACATTCTCCCTCCCCGCCTGCTCGCTCTCTCTGTCCATCTCTCTCTCTCTCTCTCTCTCTCTCTATCTGCTTTATTCCACTCACGCTCACTCTTTCCCTCTATGTTGAAGTGACATTTAAATTCTTAATTCCACCAAACACACGATATCCTACTAAATAACTTATTTAGATTTATCATTTATTAATATGTAACTCCTTGAGAAAAGTGCGCTTGTTTTTTTAATACTTTCACTCGTGTTTAAACCCTCATAACATATTACTGTGTCGATTATGTATAGTAGAGCAACCGAGTAGTTCAAGATTACAGAATGTTAATTCATGTGCTTGTTGATGCTACTATAAATGTATACGTCGTTCTCGATCATGACATACTTCACCAATGATTTGTAGTCGGCCATATGGCGCCATCGTCAAAAAAGACGATAATAACTCGTCCCATCGTTGCTATATACCTTACGAGAATAATGACGTACAACTCATTATCAAAAAGCAGACAATAGTTATATTTTTACTTTATTGTTTGAAATCCAACCTCCCACATAGTCCATCGCCAAAACAAATTTGCCATAAAGTAGAATCGAGTACAAAGAGTTACTCGAATCCTCAATGACTTGTGTAAAAGAATCAGGCAACGATATGTGCTCGTCTTTTCAAGCTCAGCCGTGCGCGCGAAACACAATACTGCATCACCATAAATTCGATGCCCCCATCGCGATAGCTCGTTCAGCTTAGCGACAGCACGCGTTGCCACTCCAGACTCCTCATCGAATTGTCTAAGTACTTTACGTTCACTAAACCGTCTAAGTATTCAAAATCCAGGATTTTATATGAGCAGTTGTATCCAACTTGCCATTAGTATTTGAGACGTGAGAACAGGAACTTTATTCGGGACTGGAAGTTTAATGTTGCCAAACATCCGTGGTGAAAACTGGCACATGAGTCCCGCGCTGGAGCCCGTAACATGGTAAACGCGAGAGTCACATTACATCGGATGATACTCACATATGTTTAGAAGCCAATCATCCTCGGTCATCTACTTGTTTTAAACCAGTGACTTTGGCTATTCATGACGATATAATCATGATAGTGAGAAAGTTTGTGTGAGGAGGATAATCTCTACTCAGTGGATCAATTTCGAGGAACAAAAACATTTTGATAGCTCTTCAGAGAACGGATTAATTCCAGACCCCTTTTCTATAATCAGCACTCATGCTGCACTCATGAAGATGTGCATTATGTTGAAAACATCCTGATGAACTGTCCGATTTAATGTTTGATTAAGATAGCAGACCGGATTTAATGATCATCGTTTAAACTACGGAAGTAGTTCTCAAGTACGTAGCACCCACACCTGTATGGCAAATAACAGAGTTATAAATTCTTCATCTGCATTACATAAGACAGCAGTTTGTTCAAGTGTAAGCAATTTGCTTCAATCGTATGGCTGAAAGAGCACATCAATAGCTGCGACTAGACTTGCTGGATCGATTTCTAAGACGCAATCTCGAAGGGATTTTACAGGATAAAATATGGACGGATTACCTCAAAACTTTGTTAACAGCCAGATGCATCTTTCTTACAACCAGTATGAATTTAAGTTGTGTGATTTCCAACATGGCCTCGATTTGAGGAAGATTATACAAGACTAATCTGAGTACCACTTCGGATAAAGACAGTTGGCAGTCAAAAGTAAACTCAACAGCCCCTGATCTCAGCATGGCTGTCAACCCGGAGAGCATCATGAGTGTTGCTTTGTCGGAAACCTTAAACAAGCGCATCCATCAACCAGGCACACCCTCGACTCCGGTATCAAGCACGAGATCGTCCCACAATCAATCCAACATTCAGCATCATGGTGGCCGTCATCATCAAACACGAAATCGACGACGCGTTCGTCCAAAGTATTTCCAGTTTATCGATTCTCCTCCCGAGGCTTCGCCGAGCTTGTCGAGTATTCGGTTATGTTCACCCTCGCCCGATGTAAGTTCATTCCTAAGTGCAAAACCAAATTTTATCAATTTGAGTTAATTTTACTTTAATGCTTTGTTCGTTCTCACAAACTTGCAATATTGCAATCCCAGGGAACTCAAAACCGTTTTGGGGATGTATGAAGGTTATAAACGTTTTAAGATCCACATACCGTATTATGCTACACCATGAACCTTTGACCACCAAACACAATGATCCATATCGCTGTGACTTTAGCTGGTCAACTATGGTAACTGCAAGCACAATCACATTTTATTTGATATATTTGATGTATTGATATGTTGCGATTAAATTTGTATTAATATACATTTCATCTTAAAGATATTATCTTCGTTCTGCCATTACTGTAATCAGCAACATACACTGATTGAAATTGAATTTGAATCCCAAGTCGCTTTATAATTTATGAAGTCCACATTTCTGTTTTTCATGGTGAAGTGCTCATCTGGAATTTTGTCCATATTAAGAATCATAAATTGTAGTTTGACGATGTATTTAGGTTTCTAATTAGTACTTTCAAGTGAATTAACAATTAAATGACAGAGGTTATAATTGTGCCATAATGTGTATCATAATGTTTGATGAAAAATATATATAATTTTTTCAAACGAAATAATAATTATCTACATTCGTTTTATAAAATCATGTGAGAAGCATATAAGTAATCTCTAATTTTTTATTTTTCGTTTTTTATTATTCAGCACACAAAGGGATAAAATAACTCGCTAATAAGTCGCTTTGGTTCCTAAGTGATATTTGACATTTCTGGAACTGGGGGAACATAAAGATTAATGTAAAATATATTTTGAACTCACCAGTCGTCATCGTATTTAGCGGACCTATAATGACGAATTATTTGATTCCTTTCAAGCTCTATATGAATGATCCGATTTCTTTCTGTGATAAAGAACTTTCTGTATCTGAATGTGAAAAACGTGAATGTTAGTTAGCACAAAGAATGATAAAAAAGTACTATCGCTTTACTCAATAAATATGACTTTTCTGAAACTGGTGTTACCAACGCATCAAATTTCACCTTGTAACATTCTTCGGCATGGAATATAGCGAGCCTATATATAAGCGCCAAAATATCTATCAAAGAATGTTCATTTTTCTTCAGTGACTGCACGATATTTTGTCATCTCACTTTTACACGGTGATATTGACGCAAAGAGGGATAAATTAGCACTGTCGCTTTAATCAATACATGTCGTTTGACTTTTCAAAGCTGTGTTTAACATAGAGACGAATGTAACAAATATGCCGTGTAATCTCCTCTCGTCATGGCGTATAGCGAGCCTAATTGAATAGAAGAATGAAATATTGATCTCATTCCATGTGCTTACTCCTATGTTTGTCGATATTCTGTCACAAATAATGCATCGCAAGGGGAATAAAGCAAGTTTTGTTTTTAACTATTATTGTGGAATGTGTTTTCCCCTCTCTTTTCCCCCCAACTAGATATATATATATATCGGAAATAACTTATATATATATAAGTACCTTCTCTCTCTCTCGATGAGAGCCGTAGTCTGTGTTATAGAAGTTGATTTCAGAATACATACATTTTGATAGGAAATACAATCGTTTGAATTCTTTATTTCCGTAATGATATTAAGAATACATAAGCCAGTTGTCAAATTACAGAATAGTTCGGTTGGGGGTTTATCTTTTAACCTTCCTTGAATGATCACAAAAAGAAAATGCCGTTTGGCCCTTTTTACCATCTGACATTAACCTCGGGGTAGTAGTAGTAGTATTTATTTCCGTATAAAAACATAATAACAATGCATGAGATACGGTGGATAGCCCACATTCAGCTTACCTGACATGGGAAAGCTTGTATTCCATGGGGTACGGAACAATTACATAAACAAAACAAAAGTAAATACATATCTGAACAACAGCATAATAAATTGGTCGTACTTGTCCGAGGATTATTGTCTAGGATGCACGTGACTAGCGTATTTTTCTGGGTATTCTTAGGGAAAGATGTCTGGGATAATCATGATTATAATACAAGGGTTTGTTGACCTTGTATACAATAACATTTTGATGAAGTTTTCTATTTAAAAAATCCTACTCATCATTCTCTGTTTGGTTTATATACAGGCGAGGAAGAAGTTCATCCATGCTGCCAAGCTCGTCATCGTTCTCTATCGGGTTTACAAAGTAATTTTCAAGTAAGAAGATACTTCTTTACCATTTTCATCCCCCTCACAATCATTCCTTTGATTTAAGAATACCCTTTTTACTTTAAGATTGAGAAGAATTGTACCTTATAGTTTTATTTCCTATACCCTACGTTATGTCGCTCACTACAATGCGGTGTTTTGGGGGTGTGCTTGTCTGTCTCTCTTTGACTAGAGCTTGTGTGTATGTTTGATTGTCTGTCCAAATGTCTCGATATTGTTCGATATGAGTTTTTCCTTCTATTTTGCCTGTACTCCTCGCTAATGGTGCTGTATGTTCATAAGCCCATCTCGCCTTTATCATTTGATATACCAGGGTTTAAATTATAACCTATACTTTCGTACTTGTTGTGTATGTGACCAATGACATAAGGTAGGAATCGTGCCCAAAATACCATTGAATTAACTTCGAAATGGCAAACGAGGGTGAGCTTACAACTAAAATAATTGTTTGCTTTGTATAAGAGGTATCGCATTTCGTCGAGTTCGATAAACGCATTGAACCCAGAAGATTATGTGACCTGCTTTTCGATTCGACATCCTCTCAGGATTTATCGCATCACCTTAACGAACACCGGGAGCCAAAGGTTGAGTGCAACAACGTGCAATGTATGTTTCCAAACTTTCACATATATAGTCGCACCAAATACCACACAAATGTAATGTATACGTCTTTTGGGCTCGAATAAGTACAAATCTTGCAAATTGTAATTTTATCTCCCAGTCCTCTATTTGTCTACTTGTTCCTTGGTACTTCTTATTACTTTTTAGTATGCAAATTGCTATAACTTGAAAAAAAAGGGACTTCGATATTAGTACTTTCATAAAGTTGGTAATTTTGGAGATCATAATTATAGTGAACTTCTTTTGCAACATCAGTATATACAATCATGGCGTCTATTCGATATTGTATCCATTACATGTACTATGTCCCGTGTCTCAGGCTAAAAAAAATGAAAAGGTTAAATTCCAACGGCATTTGAAATATAATAATAATTTAGAACTTCCCTAAAAAGGGCTTAAAAATGTCTTTCAGTGGGAAAATAGTGTCTGACAGTGAAATCTAGAAAGGAAACGGGTTTCATTGCATAATTTGATTGTGTAGGACACTGCTAACGCTTAAATTTCACAGATATGGCATACGTGACATATTCATGATTCCTGCAAAGTTCTACAGAATTTGCTGTTGGCTGCAAATGGGACATAGTACCTTTAAGTACTAACTTGAATTTGTTTTATAAGAATCCTACAAATTCTCGCATTTTTTTTCACTCAACAAGCTACTAAAAATAATCGAAACCAACATGTCTTAGAGCTCCTGAGACTATTCACAAATAGATTGATCTTTTGAAAACAAAAAAAAACAGACCCAAATGAAATTCAAATTCCTGTCGTTATGTTGAGGTCATGTCATGTTCAACATTATGACATCGACTTTGACCCCATGTTCTTTGAGCTCATGAGACCCCCAACGAGGCGACGGTGTAATAGGATTCGACATGGGTTTGGTCACGTATCCAAAAATTATTCCTGCAAGAGTTGTAGTGTCTTTATACCAGATAAACAGCTGACATGAATGATTATATGGACATAATCTTAACAATAAAGAGAGAGAAAGACGAGAAGGATGGGAGGGGATGGGAGGGAGAGAGAGAGAGAGAGAGAGAGAGAGAGAGAGAAAGTGGTAGAGTGAGAATTGTATACTGAAGATAGTATAGAGAGAGAGAGAGAGAGGGGTAGGGGTAAATATATATATATATATATATATATATATATATATATATATATATATGTATGAAGATAGAGAGAGAGAGAGAGAGAGAGAGAGAGAGAAAGAGAGGGGTTGGGGGTTGGGAAGAAGATGCAAGGGAGGGGGCGGGGGACTTATCAACCAGTGAATAGAAATTACGAATACGTTTCGAAAAATTGTCTCGGCTGATATTTGGTGCCTACGCTCTGATGAAATGAAGGGAGGAAGAAAACGCCACATGAAAAGAAAATGGGAGGGAGGGAGAGAGAGAGAGCAAGAGAGAAAGAGGTTGAGAGAGAGAGAGAGACAGAGACAGAGACAGAGAGACAGACAGACAGAGAGAGACAGAGAGAGAGAGAGTCAGAGACAGAGAGAAACAGAGAGGCAGACAAGGAATCAACCAGATAGATGAAAGGGAGATGTTGGAAAAATCGACAAAATAGAATAATATGAGAGAAGAGGAATGCGAAGGATGGGGGGGGGGGGGGGGGGGGGGCAATCCTCTCTCTTTTAATTATTATTTTTTCGTTGACGTACATTGTGTATGAATTTCTCTGTCTCCATGAGTAACAAAGTTATTTCGGCACACTTCGATCGCCTCTTTGTATTATACTTTATTTCGGTATAATTATATTGATGGATGAGCAAATACATACAATAGCTATGACCTTAAATCTGATGACATTTTACTCATTATCCCAAGTTATTCACCCTAACTAAAGAATGATATTCCAATTTTATCTCGGTCAAGCCGCGGGCATTTAAAATCGATACTTATTGATTACAATCCCGGAGTCCATGGTATGATATTATCTCACTTTCACATCTGGAACCGACACTTGAAAAAGTTAAACGAAGTATACATAACAAACAAAAAGGTTCGATCGCCATTATACGCAAGGTTTCAGGAGTGTAATTGGATCTTTCGGTCATCCCAAACTCACTCTAAGAACCAATGTTTTTCATGTATAATTATCTAGTATCACTATGGCTCAGGTTTTGAGTTCATATCTCTTCGACAACAAACAAACTTCGAAACTAAATTGCATGCATTATCAAAAAGGCAATACTATAAAAAGGGGACCTTCGAAAGGAAACATTGGGCCATTATTTTCCAATTAAGTACAATAAATGGACGTGAACGCTATCCATTTACAAGGTGACGGTAATTTATCTAGCACATAATGGGCGGGAAATCATACTCACACGGAGGGTATATTTCTTGAAACTCGTTATCATTCAGATAGACTGTATTGGAATGATGTTAGAAAATCTTCAATCGCTTATACAAAAGAAAACAAAATCTACATGCACGTGACATAAGTTCGCATAGTGTGGTAGCGTGCGCTGTTGCTATGGGTAACCATGGAATAGTCTTGGAATGCTCCTAGTGTATTTACGTCTCGCCGATAAAGTCATACTCAATGAGAAGATTGGGAATTTGAAGAGTTATCCGTCCTTCATTTAATCATGGGTCATCTATTTGTCTATCTGATTATACCATGGGTGTTACTTCAATCAACAAACCTCGCAGAGGTTCTGCATCAAAACGGTCTACTAATATTACTTACAACTTTAATTTGATTTTGATTTAATCAAGTATTTTTGGAATGTATGTTGGCTTTTTGGGGAACTTCTAATAAATCAAAATTGTCAAAAACTTATGTAGGCTGAAGAAATGGAAGATTAAAAAAAGAACATATAGATAATGATAAAAACGATGGTGTTGCACCGTTATCCATCTTTGCTGACTTCTCCTTTCTTCACTCATACCTCAAAAACTGACTCCAAAATCGACCAAATCATTGCTGGCCTATATAGCCCACGAGACCAATATTTTCTGTCTTCACTTTCTTTGTTTTGTCAGTTTCGTGAGCTGTCGGTCTCAAGAATCTTTCAGACTTTTCTTTCTTCTTTTTTATATGTTAAAATATATATCTTTGTTTTGTCGGTCTCGTGGTCCGTCGGTCACTAGGATGACCCTATTTGGGCCATTTGATGTAATATAACTTGTGTAATGTAAACTGTCGGTCCGGTGTCGGTCTCGTTGGTGTGACTGGCTTATCGGACAGGGCAGATCGATAACCCATTTCAGTTTATTTTACAGACCAATAATTGATCTATTTGATCGAAGGGATCTGATCAGTTGACTGGAAAACTATATTTGCCAGCAAGATCAACAAATATTGAAGTCTAAAAACTTAATAAAAGGAGGTTATAGTGATATCCAAAACCTCGTGGATGGCTGTTTCTTTGCAATCCTATAATCTGTGCAATTCTCTCGCGACACCCTTCCACTATAGATCCGAATGAGGATATATTTGACCCGTCGCGACCCCTCGTTGTCACCAAATTGTAGTCCTATCTACCTTATGGAGAATGTCTTCTTTTTAAACTCATAAAATCTGTGTAATTCTCTCTCAAAACCTTTTTCAGAAGTTCCAAACGAGTTTCTACTTTTGACCCCGTTGTTGTCACCACATAATTGACTTAGTTGTATGATCTAGTACCTTTATGACGAGTGTTTTCTTTTGAAATTTATATAATCTATAGAATTCGCTCTCTAAACCTTTTCAAATGGTCCAAACGAGGTTCTATTTCGAGCCCATCATTTTCACCTAAAAGCTGGTCTATCTTCATGATCTAGTATCCAAAGTGGTGTATTTCTTTTGTGAATTGATATAATCGGTGTAATTCTCTCTCGAACCTTTTCAGTAAATCCTAACAAGGGTCTATATTTCACCCGTTGTTGTTACCAGGTATCACGCTCTTCGAATACAATTAACAAAGGGAATTGATGGATTCAGTGTGGAGGCCACCGATGTGTAGGCCTCTATAGAAAAGTTACTATCCCTGAAATAGTGCACTATTTCATACAAGAAAGGCGGGAAACAAAGTCAGGTCACGTTATCACATGGACCATCCTTTGCATACACCATTACCATGACAACGACTACATGAATGGTTTACTGTTTCTCTCAGTACAGTCATAAAATGACGAATCTGTTAGCAAAAACCGAAACAAAAATCAATAAAGCTTCTCTGCATTCAGTTTGTTACAGACAGAATAGAGAGATGTACATCTAGTTTATAAAAAGAGATAGCACGAGGTATACATTTTTTTTGAAATCTCGTTCGAATGACGCCGCATTGATCGTGTTGATAATGTTTTCTTCAGAAATACGATACCGAATCATTTTATCACTCTCGTTTCGTAGAACCAAGCAAACTCAGGATAACACAGACATAATTGATAATGATTATTATAGAACCAAAAAACGTTTGTATATTAGCAGATCGCTGATATTTCGGCTGTGTTCTCCAGTTAATATTTAATGAGATCATCGACAAATTATTTAGGCGTTCATTGGTTGAGAGTGGGCTTGAGCGTGCTGTTGCTGCAACTTTCAGCTGTTCTATGATTAGTTATTCAGTTACGGGTTTTACGAGGAAAGTAAATTGATAAAATATCGGTTTGTATAGGGTATACAATGCCGAAAACAGGGATCACTTCAGTAGTTTGATGCGGGCATTCGAAAACATGACATCCGTAAATTGATTTAGGGCCGTTTATACTAAACATGTGACTATTACTAATTTGATTTTGAGAATCCTTAAAAATCATGGAAAGTAACCCTGCTAAAGAAAAAAAAAAGTTTAGAAACATGTAGTATTTCTAAACTTACTACAATATTTACCAGTTGTATTGTAGATAAATTAAATGAGGGGTAGGGAGAGAGAGATAGAGAGAGAGAGAGAGAGAGAGAGAGAGAGAGAGGCAGAGAGAGAGAGAGAGAGAGAGAGAGGTACAGAGAGAAATAGAGAGAGAGAGAGAGAGAGCTATTTTTAGGACGGGATAATAATTAAGTTCATCAAATGCAATCTGAGCTTACGGCTTTCTAATTAGAGAAAAAGGGTCTGTGTAAATATTTCTGTCTGATGGACAAAGGCGAGTGGGAATCTTAATTAATCTTAATGAACCGAAATATTTCATCGAATAGAATACAATCTATAAATCAAACAAGTGTCGAATAACAATCCCTGTTTCACTAGTAGAACTTGACTAAACCAACATTATTAAGTCTCTTTGAACACACATTGCCCCCCCCCTCTCTCTCTCTATTTATATATAATTTCGTCTTTTGTTCTCTGTCTGTCTGTTCTGTCTGTCTCTGTCTGTCTCTCTCTGTCTCTGTCTCTCTCTCTACATCTTTTTATGTCTTTAATTTCCTTTTTGTTTTGCTTTCTCTCTCTCTCTCTCTCTCTCTCTCTCTCTCTCTTTTTTACATTTCATTCTCTGACCCTTTATGGATCTGACACGAACAGTTAAAACAACAAAACACTTCATTAACAAAATGGTTTGCTCGGGCATATTAAGATTCTTCTGTTGACCGCACATACTATCAAAATAAAGCATTCTACAGCAAAATGTACCCATATACAATTTATGAATGTGTGATGTACTAGGCAGTTATCCAGCGTACAAAATGTCTTTAAGCCTTTGCCAGATATTTATAGTTGAAACCATGTTGTATGCCGTTTCAAAAGGAAGGGACAGTCAACCTAGTTTACCACTTTGATTAGTAAATATACATTCTGTAAACTACTTTTCTCCTTCATGTTGTTGTAGTCGTGTGGTTTGAACAATGGACTCGAGATACAAATGTCATGGGTTCGAGCAAGGAGCCCTCGGTTCGGTTCGGCCGTTCCGTACCCAGGAGGATATGGGGATGTGATAGGACGCCCAGTGCCATTGTGAATGAAATGACAGTATTTTCTCTCTCGTAGTTCTATAATTTATAGTTACCAGGGAGTGGAGATGATGCACGCATTGTGTTTGAGTGATTATGTAGCGCGCTGAGAGACATTCATATTAGGTGCAATATAAAGCCAATATCGCTTATTGATTATTCATATCCTGATGCCCTTTCTTTCCTTCTCTTTTCCTTGTTTTTTTTTAAACCGAGAATAATTAAGGATTTCCAGCCCGAATATAACCATAAGGCGTCTTTGAACACTTTACTTTATTTACACATCAAACATGTCAAATGATAATACGGATCGAAATATGGAGGTGTACGAATTCTGTTTTGACTCCCAATAATACAATAAGGAAAGGTGTTTTGAAACCAGAATTTATGAATGGAGATCAATAGGATAGACACCTTTCCACTTCGTGCCTTAGGCTAGGCTTAGCGTGTACACCTTGATGATCCAGATGATGAAAGGGGAACAACGTACTTAGAGACGTCCTAACATTTCACTTATTTTGACCTCGATTCGGCCCATTAGTGTTGGAAAACTAAGAATGACTTCCTTTTGTCATTTCGTAATTGTGAATGATTGCTTAATGTACTGTCTGATGGCGCTTTTGTCTAAGCCGTTAATGTCCTCAGTATGTTTAAAGTTAAGCGTAAACGTCATGAATGCCCTGGGAGCTAATGAAAAAATGTTGTCTTCTCCTTCTCCTCTACTACTCTTCTTCTTCCTTCTTCTCCTCCTTCTCCCTCTCCTCCTCCTCCTTCTTTTTCTCCTCCTCCTTTTCAATCATCGTCGTCTTCTTCTCCTCCTCCTCCTCCTTCTTCTTCTTCTCCTCCTCCTTCTCCTCCTCCTTTTCAATCATCGTCGTCTTCTTCTCCTCCTCCTCCTCCTTCTCCTCCTCCTCCTCCTTCTCCTCCTCCTCCTTCTTCTTCTTCTCCCCTTGTTCTTGTTCTTCTTGTTCTTCATTTTTGTTAGGTTTGATATGTGTTTCAAAAAGAAATTTCATAGAATTTTGATTGTGTCAAGTAAATCATTTGTCATTCTACATCACCTCACAGAACCAAAAAGGAGAGTGAACGTATTGAGCCACACACATTCACCAGCCTCGCGGAGGAATACCAATCTGATAACATGAAGATGTCTGGCCTCTCTTTTGACCGGAACTACTTCAAGGTCAAGAAAGAGGTATGCTCCTTCTGCCCGTGTTAATTTAAATTCTTATTACTTAGACATGCGAATGTGAACAATTATTATTGATTCAGGATTGATTACCACTTTAATTAATAACAAATTAGATTTTAATTGCATGCGGGGTTAAATGATGGTGTTTTCACATCTTCACAAGACGATATGAAGAAAAAAGAAGTCTGATATAAATTTGGGTCCAAGCAAGCTTACAAACAAGTATTATCTTATCCCATCCCAATGTATGTGGTATATATTGCAATATATCATAAACATTAATGTTCTGTCACCTTCTCCTCCCATCTCTCTCTCTCTCTCTCTCTCTCTCTCTCTCTCTCTCTCTCTCTCACACACTCACTTTTCCTCTCGTTTTATCTCTCTCTCTCTCTCTCTCTCTCTCTTCCCCCTCCTATCCCCTTCGTACTTCCCCCAACCCCTTCCCCTTTCTCCGTATAGGTTGGAATCACACAAGAAGTGAAGAACGTGTTGAGCTCTCCAAGCTATGTGAGAACAAAGGAACAATTAGGAGTGGTAAGTTTTTAGAGTTGTAACGATTTACCCGTATCATTTATCAAATACAATAACACAAATTATCCTATTATAACTATAATATTCATATAAAGGGGTGTTGTCTCGACAGAGCACCAGATGTTTTCAATCACCATAAAGGTTCATGAACATTTTAATCACTTCTATACTTTATTCTTATGATAGCATCTTTTGTAGTTTGAAATTTGTTGCATTTTTATGTATATCTATTAACATTTATTTTTCTCTTTATGGAATTTAAAATAATTCTGAACTTGAAATTCAACTTGGTAAGGTTTAAATGTAATAAGTTTGTCGGAGCATACAATGTTTTTATTTTGTCAGTAAGATATTACTTCGAAGTCTTGATAGGTTTCGTCGAAACTGATGGAAAGATTATGACCTCGAACAAGACAATCATATTCTGTAAGTATAAGTTTCTGGTTAATTTTACAGGCTCTAATTGGATTGCAGACGATGAAATCATTCGCCGAGTACCCGCTTCATATGCAAGAAAAACTTGTCAAAGTTGCGTGGTATGAATTGTGAGTATCATTGAATAGTTTTGCACAATTAAAACAAATGAGATTGCACAAATCAAAGAAAAAAGTAACCGTTTGATTAATTCAGGGAAAGGGATTGGCTTTCAGATGGTAGAAAAAGTATTGTTAGTTGTATGAAGCCCTATACATTTTCTTGTAAGAAAATAAATTATTATCATTATGCATATTAAATCATGTAAGAAGTGGATTAAATAAAGGAAGAGATGGTTGTCGACATGAAGAATGAAGAAAATAAGCATTCAGGAGTTAAAGGAAACTACAAAAGACACGAATAATTCAACATTACCATGATTTGGCATTTTACAAAACCTCTTTTCTTTCATGCAAAACCTCGTTGCTTGATTGACATTTGGAAGTTTAATTAGATTCGTCTTCTAATGTTTGTCTTTACTTTCCAGTATTCCTCCAAAACGGGTCATTATTAGACAGGGTCATTATGCAGAAAATTTCTATTTCGTCATTTCCGGGTCAGGTAAGCATCCCTTCCATTGTAAACAGTTTTGTTATTCTTTGTATATCCAGAATAATTGATGCAGGAAGTTTAGGCACCTGTTTGAGCACTACCCCCCCCCCCCCCTCCCAAGAAAAGAAAAGAAAAATACTAATCGCGATATATCTACAGTATGTTTACATCGCATGGGTTGCCAATGTATATTCTGCCTCCCATGTGAAGGTTCGCCCCCCCCCCCCCCCCATTTCCTTATCTACTTCTGGATACACCACTGAAATATGTCTAAATCTTATTTTTAAAAACCTGGGATCAGTAATTCAAATAAATTCGATGAGGGAAAATTACGAAACATGTTACGATATCATTTAACCGTTTTTAATCCAAACTGCCTCCAAGATAAAATTCTAGCAAAAGGATTGCGATCTGAGTAATAAATAATAATAGCTACATTTATATTGCGCACCTATCCATCCCAGGGGATGCTCAAGGTACCTACAAAATACAATGATTAACCTGGCTGTAGCCAAGCTGCACTAAGGCGCCAAAAGCATTCAATGAATAAATTCCTACCAGTTACCCATTTACTACACCAGGGTGGAGAGTAGCAAATTCAAATGAATGTCTTGCCAACGGATATGAATGCTGCGGCGGAACTCTAACCGCGAGTCATGTTATCCACAGTCTGATGACACCTCTTCATCTTTTCATTTATCATTTATCTGTTCTATCTGTTGTTACCTGCAGTTGTCGTCAGCATCTTATCGAACAACCCTGATACGGGTGAATCAAGCATGAGAACGGTTGCTGTGCTGCGACGAGGGAGCAGCTTCGGTGAGATCGCCATCCTCCACCACGGCAGACGGACGGCGACGGTGTCGAGCCAGGGCCCCGTTCATCTCCTCGCCATCACCCGTGAAGACTTCTTCGATATCTTCATGAGAGGGCAGGCGCCAGGCCAGGAACCCGAGCATGTCAAGTTTCTAAGGTAAGAAGGTGGTGAAGGAGGGAGGGAAAGAGAGAGAGAATGGGATATAAGTATATGCTTGACAGCAAGAGAGAGAGAGACAGACAGAGAGACAGAGAGTGAGATTGCCTCATTGGGTGAGATGGGGTAAGAGCACATAAAATTCTACCGAAAATTTGAAAATTTGGCCGCCCGATATTTCGTTCAGTTCGGGGGGGGGGGGGGGGGTAAGGTTACCCTTTAACACACATACAAACAAATTGAGGGGGTTCGACCCCCAAACCCCCTCCCCCCTGCGTACGCGCCTGCCTGAGTGATTTGATCTTCACTGGTTATCAAAACCAACCTGAATTATTATTCTTGTTCTCATCTGTTTCTTTCCGTAGACAAATCAACTTCATCAAGTACTGGCCGATGGAGATTCTCAAACAGCATCCTGAAATGTGTCTCTTCCACTTCTATAAGTAAGTAGACTTTTATAATACATTATGGAGAGAGTACTGATAAAACTACCTTTATGATTCTAGAGTTAATGATGATTAAATCAATAAAATCCTTATTAGTAAATTATTGCTTTTATTGTCATGATTATATAGACAATTCTATTTCACATTTATTGGGTTTGTTTCTGTTTTTGAATTTTGGATTATTATTTCATTTTATTTCAAAATCATCAAGTTGACTTAGAGAATTTGATTGTTTAATTCCCAGTAAAACAAGGTATTCCAGAACCTGGAATTGAGAATGGATGATTCCGATAGTTCATAATTGTGTTCTTGAAAAATAGATATAATGTAAGCCGCACTGACAATAGTGGTTCTACAAGCCCCCCCCCCCCCCAATAATGATAAGGAAATAAAGAAAGAAAGAAAACGTCAAGCCACCGCCCCCGCCTCCCCATAAAAGAAAATCAGAAGCGCATATAGTAAATGAATACAAGAACACCCAATCCCCAAACCCCTTCCCAAGAAATATGTTACTCGAGAACTTTTCCTGCCTACTAATATAATTGGTTTCTTTCTGATGTCTTTCTTTATAAAAAAAGTTATGATTATTGATTTGTGATTAGGCATTTCAAGAGTGAGGAATATATTTTCGGAATTTGTTTAACTGGGTGATTAAAATAAACAAAAGTGTCTCGTTGTTTTCTTTCCCTTGTACAGACGTGGACAAGTGATAGTGAAAGACAGTGCCAAGTCAGAATGGATTTACGTCATAAAATCGGTGAGATATTTAGAAGAAATTTGCTCTTTCATTTTGAAATAAATTATAGGGTTTAGACCAAAAAAACTTGGAAAATTATATATTGAAATGACGTACAATCATATAATGTCATCTTTTTTAAAATCAAAGGTATATAAATCCACAGTAATACTACTACTACTACTACTACTACTACTACTACTACTACTACTACTACTACTACTACTACTACTACTACTAATACTACTACTACTAATAATGATAATACTAAACATAATAATATCATCATTATCATCACTGTCATCGTCATCATCATTATTTTAAAATCGTATAATATTTTGTTTAAATACTATGCTGGAACTTCTTAATTTGAATATTGTTTATCATAGATCACGGTTCCTTTATCATCAGATCATCAGAGAGAAAAATTCGGGATCAATCACATTATTTCAAACCAATTTACCCACTCAAACATTTTATCCGGAAATTCCGATGTTAACATTTTTTCTTTCTTTTTGGTGTACAATACTTAGGGTACGTGCCAAGTTTTGATGCCGCTGAAGGCTGTCAAGCCAAGCCTTCATCCAGGGAAAGAGGCGTTAGCTGATGATAGGGCCTCACGTCTAGAATCAACAACGATGACAGGTAAACACAAACGTTTTCATCTCAAGTTAATTACCCTCACACCCTCATTCTTTCTCTTGATCTTAGTTTTTAGTTCTATTTAATAAATAGAACTAAAAACTAAGATACTGAAACGGACATAATATGTCCGTTTCAGTATATAAAGCATGTACATGATACATGTTGACTCAATATTTGACATAAAACAGGTTTAAATTCGTATATCAGACAAAACGACCAAAAAATACTGGGAAAAGGGGAAATAAGGCGGATAATGGTTTATAGACCTAAATGCATACATCGAAACGATGGGGCATGCGTAACAGAAGCGATGCTTGTGTGATGCATGCCCCCTAATACTTTCACTTTTCTCCTTATATATTATCTACTTGTGTTCTTATCTCTTCGGAGTTTCATATGCCACTTTCCACATTTAAACCCCAAAGTACAGGGAGCACCAAAAAAAAGTAAAATGATGGCGTAGAATATCCAGCAGAAAGTAAAGGAAGCACGAGTATTGCCCCTTCTACTGTCTGAAGCCCCCTCCCCCATGCACATGACCTATAATGGGCAGCCCATGTACTTTTCATTTCCTCTCAGGTGGGATTTCGCCCCTGTTTATTGATGTCTGGATACGCCGCTGGATTGTTCACGTCTCGTATTCTATCCCCTATCAGACGGACTATGTAGCCATGTACTATTCATGTCATTCTCAATTCAAATTTCCTCAGATAATGGAGTGGATTCTCGTCTACGGAGCAAGACCTTGTCCCTCCCCGATATCAAGCCGCTTAAGGTCTCCTCGCCGAAGAGGGCGATGTTGGGCCAACACAGCCGATCGGTAAGCTGTCATGAAAACATTGCGTAGTATCCAGGGCGATAATTGACACCAATAATTGTTGCCATATTTCTACAGATACGATCAGGGTATCAGAATTGGGTTTTGAATTATCTATTTCATTAGGCTAGCTCTCATACAATAATTAAGCGATATTCTATTTACATTGTTGCTCATACAGTTGGAACAATTTTTTGTTACCATTTTTCATTACATAATTTTGATGATATTACTTGTTCTTGATAGATAAAGTGTTTATCTTTCCAGAACTTTATTGATCAATCTCTACGACTCTTCAGATCTAATACAAATTTGGAACTCTAGGAAGAACAAAGCCATTTGATTAATGGCTCTTAATAGAGCAATCCATCTTATTTAATTTTAAATTACTATCAATTTTTATGTTCGTATGTATGTATGTAGGCCTATATGATACACACAAAGAATTAAACCGAGCCCAAACCAAACCATACCATATGATTGAATTTTGACAGTGCTATATCTTGAATACATGTATATTCCATTTGTTCAGATCACGCTTCAACACATGGATATCCGAAGCCTCTCGGACACACCCACCTTCCTCACTCGAACCAAAACCCTCTCAGAGAGCGATGAGGATGATATGGACAATCTACCAAGTCACATGGTCTCTCACATGACCAACCATGTGACCAATCACATGACTGCTACCTTGCCAATCATCGACATGAGAAAAGGTGCCACGCCCTCCCGCCAGTCGTTTTCTCGAAGTACGTTCCGGGATTTCTCGTCGGGGAAAGCAAAACGCTCGAACAGCAATAGGGAAAAGAAAAGGAGATCGGTATGTATTATTTTAACATATGCCCAACTCGACATTTCTTTTCGTACAGATTAAATGAACTGTAGGAAGAGATGCCATTGATTGTTTTCTTAATATCACCATTCTAATAAAACATATCAGTTGATCAACCGATAAGGATCAGTCATTAAAAACAATAAATTGACTAACCAATGAAACACCCAATCAAACAATATATTGGAGTAGCGTAATGTAAAATCAATCAATTCATTAAATTAATCAGTCGTTCAATCAATCAGTCATTCAATCAGTCATTCATTCAATCAATCATTAAATCAATCAGTCGTTCAATCAATCAGTCATTCAATCAATCACTCTACCGATCAGTCAGCCATTCTTTCATTCAATCAATCATTCAATCAATCAGTCTTTCAATCAATCATTCAATCAATCAGTCATTCAATCAATCATTTAATCAATCAATCAGCTATTTAATCAATCATTTAATCAATCAATCAGCTATTCAATCAATCATTTAATCAATCAATCAGCTATTCAATCAATCATTTAATCAATCAATGAGCTATTCAATCAATCATTCAATCAATCATTAAATCAATCAATCAGCTATTCAATCAATCATTTAATCAATCAATCAGCTATTCAATCAATCATTTAATCTATCAATCAGCTATTTAATCAATCATTCGATCAATCATTCAATCAATCAATCAGCTATTCAATCAATCATTCAATCAATCCGTCATTCAATAAATTGTCTTGTTACATTCATCAGGTATCTCCTCCAAACATCAATGTCTCAGCTGATTCTCTGCGGCGGCGTCGAGCCTCCATTCCTACAGATAGAAAGGGAATCTCCGTCTTCATCCAAGTCGAGCTACTCCAACCTAAAGATTGCTTTGTAAGTATCTTGTGTTTTCTCTCTCATCTAGTGTATGGATGCAATTCATTGCTGAACTGTAATTTAAGGATTATCGTTCTTTTATGAATTTTCAGTGTCTGTACATTTGAACATTTGAAAGAATTCAATTTCCTAAATAAAGAATGTTTTTTCTTTTCTGAGACACATGTTTTGGAATTGTTTGATGGTGGTAAATTGCTCATAATTTTCTTTAAAACTTACTTGCAATAACGACAGATGAGGAAGTTCCTCTAAATAACTATATGTTGATATTCCTCTCTAAGACTTGTGAAATATATTCATGATTAATCATTAAAAAACAAACTTACTTTTGCATTCACGTGACGATTTCCTATTCTCGAAATATATATCTGGTTTATTTTGAGGATTGAATGTTTATGTCGTTTGAGAGAGAACAAAACAAAAAACAAAAACAAATGTAAATAGAAAACATTTCCTGTCTTGTTTTTAACATGGACTCCTTTGAAGACCAGTTTTTAGCTGGAAAGGGTGATCCTTCCCGTATGTGGAAAAAAATAGAAATAAAAATAAAATGTAAAACTGACATAGACAAACTAATATGTGTATTCATACCAGAATATGCATCGAGTTGATAGCAAGGGCTTTTCACAGAAATGACAAATAACGTTTTGTTTTTTGCTTCTTCTTTTGTCTGACAGGGTCTATCTTCACTCGACTTTGATTACGGCTTCGACGATGAACAATCATCTGTTAGTCTGGTGAGTTTTTAGCTAGTTGGAATTTTCTCCTCCTCAATCATATTCCGACTCCGCCTCAATCATATTCCGACTCCGCCCAAGGCTTCCGATCTGCATTTCCTTCTCTCTATTACATGTTCCCGTCTCTCACACCTGTCTATCTTTGTCTCTCTTATCTACCTTTCACTTATTCCTTTACTCCAACAATCTCTCCAACAATATTCATTCTTGGTCGCCCGACTTTATTACAATTCTCCTTTTCTTGATCATGTTACCGTATGGCATTATTATTGTGATATGGCATTTCTCTTGCCACATTTTGACCATCTTCAATGAGAAGAAAAGTGCTGACTTTGTGCGCTATGTTTTCGGGATTGCTTATGACTTACGGTAATGTTACTTTTTTGCAAAAAAAGAAGAGAAAAATGAGATGTCAGTTCCTAAAAGAGAAACATATGAAATTGATGAACCATGATATTCAGCATGTGTCAGAAACGAAAGGTCTTTGCAATATTCAAATTTTGTCTTATTGTGAAGGAAATAAAAAGAAATTGCTTGTGATGAATTGTCCCCTAACTTGAGAAATAAAATGTTAATTCTTACATCTCCGTTCCAGGTGAGTCGAGGCGCTGAATGCATCATGATCAAGAAAGATTTCTTTGCGAAGCACGCCACCAATGCAGTCAAGCGGAACGTCCGATCCTTGGTTTACCCGTACCCTACAGCAGAGAAGCTGCAACAGAACCTCCAGAGTCACAGCAACTGGTCAATGTACAAAGCAGAAACAATGACTGGGATACTGAGTGACCATTCGAAAGTGAAAGATTTGAAGACATGACGAATAGCCAAGAAAATTGCTGGAAACGAAGTCTGGAAGTAACGTCCTGAATGATGGATAAGGGAAGGACGCAACGCTTGCGAATGGGTCCGATTCTATTATTGAAACCTCCAAAGTTACACCAACTGGTCGAGGTAGACAGCAGAAACAATGACAGGGATACTGAACGATCAGTCGAAAGTAAAAAATTTGAAGACGAACGGCCAAGAAAAGAACTTTTTTGTGAATCGAACAGTGATTCCGAAGTTAAAGATAAACTCCAGTTCTGGTAAAAAAAATTAATTCTCACAGAATCCAACGAAACTTACACTTAATGTTCAAGATTACAAATAAATGACATGTGCCAAACAATTTTGGAAGAAAATGTATACTGGCTGAGTAATGAGCATAGAAAGACAAGGAAATCAAGGTAGTACTACCACTCATCATGTGTGTTGTCCCATATATAGCTTTCTGTGTACAGTGCTTGTTACTTTACCAAGACTCGGTCAAATTTATTATGATTTTTGATGACTCCAGAACCTTGCAGTACACACCAATACTTACATGCTACATGATCAACTGTTTCGGATCCTTTCCACACCTTTTTTTTCACAATGCAATCGCATTACCAGTACTTAAAGAGAAGGTTGAGTTCTGGGAAGAGGTTGAAAATAATTTGTGAGCATTACTCATTCTTATTATGCAAGTGTGGAAGAACATCAGTTAAGACATGTTCCCTGAAAAGCATGGCTCTTCAAATGCCTTCATATTCTAAATATGCATGTAACATCGTAAAAATCGGGGGGGGGGGGGCCGGCTTTTTACGCCACGTGTTCGTGTAGTCCCATATACATCTTTCTGTGCAAGTGTTTGTAACTTTACCAATACTTGGCCAAACTTCTTATCATTTTGATGATTCCAGAACCTTGCAATACACACAAATTCTTATATGCTAGATGATCAACCCTTTCTGGTCGGTTCCACACCGTTTCTTTCACAATGCAATCGCATGACCAGAACTCAACTTCATCTTTAAAGGTACATTTTGCAGCCAACCTCAAATTCTGTAAAACTTTGCAGGAATTATGAATGTGTCATGTATGTCCTATCTATGAAATTTAAACGTTAGCAGTGTCCTCATACTCAAATTATGCAAGGAAACCCGTTTACTTGCTAGACTTCACTGTCAGACAATATTGAGTGACTGACTGGCTTTTTTCTTCTTTGGTAATAACATACATGAAAAGAGTTGTAAAGGGTACATGAGCATTTGTCTACATCAATAACCCACTTCTTGTGATCTTTGCGCAGCATAAAACGTATGACCATTCAGTACAATTATCTGAAAATCAAGACTATTACTTATGGGCTCTATAGCCCTAAAGTCGATTTGACAACGTATAGTCATTATTTTCCCACTTGAAGACATTTTCAAGCCCCACCTTTTTGGGAAGTTCTAAATTAGTATTATCTTTCAAATGCAGTTGGAATTTAACTTTTTCATTTTTTTGGCCTGCAAATGGGACATAGTACATTTAAGTTTATATTTAAACGTCCGAACTTTGTGTTTCCGGTATCTCTAAGCTACATACGCTACAACACACCATTGCAGTCAAATGGACTGTTTCTTATCACTTTATGCTTGCTGCATTGACGAAAGACCAGTCTAAAGTCAAAGATGATGAGTCCATATAGGGTCTTTGTAGCTTTTATGTATTTTCACTTATATTCATGGCATAATACTGTTCGGAAAGAAGACGATTCTTAGTCGAGAAAATAACGGGTGCGCCTCTTTAATATGGAGGAGGGGTGACGGAATGGCATGTAATGCTACCGTAGTATTATTTCACGGTTTTCAAACATTTCACCCTCCTCTCTCCCATTTTGCCAACGCTGGACGCTCTTCTCCTTATTAGCGATCCTACAGTTACTCTCAGTGTGTTTAAGTTTACTCGTGTGTCAATTCACCATAAATCTTCACGGAAGTTTGAACAAATATCAGGCTGAAATTCGTTGTGCCAAATTGACAGATTATTAATCTATATGACTTTAGTTAAGTCAATCTGCATTAATTGCACATAATAACCAATCACTTATACTTTATGTCACCGACAAAGATATATTTATAGCTGTTATACTCATGAATATACGAGACTCTTGATTGGCTGATGCTAGCATCGTTCACATTGCAAAGGATGATGGGAAGGATAAGTTCTAGACTATATATAATTGGTCATCCTTATACTATAAATACAAAACAAGATCATCAAAATTACACAAAATAATGAAACGCCTCTGCAATTTATTGTAAACGTCATTTTAATCATTATGGTCACATGACATAATTTACAAAGTTCTTTAATGTAATCGAACTTCTTTTTTTCCCGTACAGAATATATTTATGAATAGCACCATTCAACAAGGTTAAACATAAAGACGAGATAACATATATCTCAATTGATTGACGATAGCGTAATATTTGAGGTATATTTGGGTCAATTTAAGAATACTAAAAAGTTTGACAAACTATGATATTGCCCTACATATCTTTATTTCGAATGGAATATTGTTAATTGTAATAAGAATTTAGTCAAATACGTATAAACTTCTTGTTTTATGAAAATCAAATCGAGTCATTGAAATGTGTAATAAATTATCAAGTAGAAAAATTGTCATACTGTAATGATATTTTGGAAACTACGATAACACAGAACAATTTGAACATTAGTTATTAATTTTCTGTGAAATAATTACCTTAGTGAAACACAACTCTATACAAGGTATGTTTTAAACATGCTTTTAGACTAGAAAGTCGATGCAATGTACCGACTAGCTCATTTTGAAATTAGAGAGTTTTATTTGTATATTTCGAAACTATATAAGAAAATGGTTTGAATATTTGTACATATTCCGTCCGTATCTCAGAAACTTTTTTATTTTATTTTTCTTAGCCATTTGGGTTGATGTAGGTATAAGACGTACCTTGCAATTTGTGCAATAAAAATGTTTTTGTGGTATCTTGTCTATATAGCTGATAATAATTTCTAGACAATGAATAAACAATGATGAAAATTCAGATTCTGGTTGATATTTGAGACAAATAATAAAATTGGCATTGAATTCATTGAATGTACTCCGTCATTAATTTTGTAATGCTTTGAACGCAGTTAGATTGAGAGATAGACAAAGGAAGGGGAATAGAGAGAGAGAGAGAACTCGAATATAAAAAATATATAATTAAATAAAATGAACAGTGAAAGACAGGATCAGCGATTATCAAATGAAGACAAAGTCATATTGGAAGTGAAGAAATGATGAATATGATCCCTGAAGTGAAGAAAGATGAATATTAATCAATACCTCCCTATCGCTAACAAAAGTGTATCTAATATTACTCCTAGGAGATAACGATGAGTACTCCCATTCGGATGCATAATGGAATAATTAAAGAACAAAATATATTTTAGGAAAAAAAATTCTCAAAATGAAACGATTATCAAACTCGATGTCATCAAAGTGGTCGTTATCACCAACGAAGTCGCTTCCATCGACGTCAATATCGTAGTCATCATCAGATTGTACCTGCGGCTACATTCTGCTTGAAGGTGACGATATCCCCCATCATGGCTGACTTGTATCGGTCCCAGTCTGCATGTTCTTGAACTAACTCCTGTAAGCGTGCTTCGGCTGGCCATGGAGGAACCTACATGGAGGAAAGTACAAAATGAAGTTCATTAGGATCAGTATATGGTGGATTTGATAAAGAGTCCTTAGAACGCTTCAGATGGACAAACCGACAGGAAGAATGATCGGGGCGGTGCCCCCTCGAGACCATTACCCGTTTTGCCAGAAGAAAAACAAGTCTAGAAACACTTTATTACGACCATGATTCAGTATATTCTCTGCAGTCCAAAACTTACATTTGCTTAATTTTGCTCATTCTTTGAGTGGGCCCGGGAGTGGGGTCTTGCTTTAGAAGAAAAAAAAAATGGGTAAATTTTCCCAACAAGGTTGCCAACAAGGGTAATAAATATGTCAGTGTTTACTTTTAATCTTGAAAGAAAACGTGAATGCAAAATTCTTATGACTGGCGTGTGACTTACCGTACGTAGCAGACGATCTTTGGCCGTCTCAGTGAGATGCTGCAGGAAGAAATTTTTGGAGATGAGGATGCATTCTGCTCCCTCTGACGTCAAAGTTAGACTTGGGGAACCCCCGACAGACTTAAAGAGGACTGAATTGAGGCCCTGCGTAACAAAATGAAATAATAAAGATAGAATTAAGATCAAGCTGGTCAAACAAAGGGCAATTTATTTATTGCTTATGTCTGAGGGATTAAATGAAACGTTAATATCAAGTTATCTCAAATAAAAGTTTTTTAAATTTTACTTACGAAAACTTCGCCCGTGACACATCTACGCAGTTTGAGAAAGATAGAATTCCGTTCGTCACCGCTCCGTACACTGCCAGCGTCTGAGCACACAGATGCCATTAACGTTGTCTGTAAACAAAAATTAAAAAATTGACAGAGCAATAAATAGAGGGGTCGATAGCGTAAATGTATTTCAACTGAAGGGACCTCAAAATAATGTTAATTTGTGAAAGACAACTACAGTCAGAAAACATATATCTCTGTCGTGGGGAATGAAATTGTTAAGTTTCACAACGTCACACCAATCTACGGGCCAGTATATTTTTGTGGCATCATCACATATTTCTTTAAAACGATCAAACTTTCTGTCTGAACAAACACAATGTTACAATAACAGTGGGAAGGCTAAGAACATGAGTATATTTTAGTCTTTTATCGTAATCGTCCAACCGAAATTAAACTTTCACTCAAAATCTCATTTTGTGAACTCGCATTATATTACTGAGACAAAAGTGAAAGGTCACTTTTTGTACTATGGAAACCTTTAATAATAATAATAATAATAATAATAATAATAATAATATAATATAATAATAATATTATGATAATTGTTCTTGTTTAGTAAGTTTAGCCATACCAGTATTAATACTGCTCTTCCTACGGGCCCTGCAAGTGTTATTACCCAAGCAATTGCAAAGTACCCATTTACACCTGGGTTGAGAGTGACCAATGTGGATTAACGTCTAGCCAAAGGGCATTAGTGCCGGGCTGGGATTCGAACCCTCAACCCTCAGAATGAGAGTCAATTGAATGAAGCACTATAGACTTTACAATAGACTGGAATGTAAATGACATAAGAACTACTTACCGTTAAGTCGGCGAGGCGAGGGCTTCTACTCCGAGCTGTAAGGTTATCTAAGACTAAAAGAGGAGAAACAGACATTGAGAATGAGCGAGATTTAGACAGTGGGAGGCTGATCAATTATGGTGCTAATGCTGTAGTCTAAATGTAATACAGTCAAACCTGCTTTAGTTACCACCTGTCTACAAAGACCACCTGTCTACAACAAGCACATTTTTTTTTAATTTCCCTTGAAAATGGTTTCGAATTGAAACATGTACTAAAGGAACCTGTCTATAAATACCACCTGTCTACAATGACCACTTTTTGTGTTTCCCTTGGGCGGTTGCTGTAGACAGGTTTGACTGTTCTATAATACTGCTATAGTTTATCCGTATTTGCTCCGCTGCTGCCTGCTAATTTTAAGTATGCGGTATGACAATGTCCTCTGAGAAATTTAGAGCTGTCATTAGGACCAAATTAAAAGACTATAATAATAACAATACTACAGCTACTAACTATTAATATGACTGATTATACTTCTACTACTAATACTACTACTACTACTGCTACTTCTACTTCTACCACCACCACCACTAATGATAAGAATAACTAAACATTTGCAGAAGGTCAATACAAGTGCATAATTTATATGGAGATTATAAATCGTTTGATCAGAACTTTAAGAAACGAAAGAATTCTGCAACTGGGCCTTGCGTGTCAACATTAGAGTATTACCCCCAACACGTATCACCCATGTGCAACTACCAAAACAGCTACTTTTGGAAAACTACCATTGTCGGAGTACTATAAGTCTATACTATAAATCACCCTCGGAAAATCACCATCCTCAGAATTACCGCCCTTGGAATTATTACCGTAAGGCAATTATACCACCCTATAAGACAACTACTGTCCGGATAACTACAAAACGTACAGTCAACATCGTCGGAAAGCTGCAATACACTCGGAAAAACACTATTCCGACGATTAGTTCCGGGACCCTCTTGGACATTTAAAAGGCTTTGTCAGATATGCCGCGGTTAATCTCGACAACAACAAAATCGCAGGGGTTATTTTGCGGCGGTTGACCGCGGCATATCAAGCCTTTAGAATCGGATTGAGGGTATTTTCCTCAATGAATAGCTGTACTGAGAATAGTTATATAGATTATAATTAACGAAAGAGGTTGGGAGCATGGGGGGGGGGGGTGTTTAGGGTGATATCCAGGAACTAGTTCTTTTCGGCCTTATCCTGGAAAGTTGGAGAGACCTACGTGAGATATGCTCCTCAGCGTCTCCAATACAGTCCAGCTTCTGCTTGAGTCGCACTTCGGTAGAGAAGACCGTCTTGGCCGCGTTGTAGAATCTCCCTCCTTTGGGTTTCTTCGTCTCATCGTCACTCATCATGCTCCCTATGCTGACGTCATCCCGTATGCTAGGGGTGGGGCTGGAAAGCCAGGAGGACGATGAAGGGGCGTGGTCTTCGGTTACCTTGATGATGGGAGGTAACATGAGTTTCTTCCCTAGGTGGGGTGGAGAAATTAAAGAGAAGCGTTCATCAGTAATCAAGATGGAGAGAGAGAGAGAGAGAAATTGCATGAGAGCGAGGGACAGAGATTCACATAAATATAAATTGAGAGATTTAAAGTGAGACTGAGAGAGAGAAAGACAGAGATAGTGTGAGAGAGACAGAGAGACAGTGAGAGAGAGAGAGAGACAGTGAGACAGAGAGACAGAGACAGAGAGAGCAAGGAATATCCAGAGAGAACGAGAGAAAAGGAAATAAAGGCAAATATAGGCAGAGACAGTATTGGCTTTATGGGAAGTAATAATGCGCAAAACTTAACGACTCCTTATCTAAGAAATGTGATAATCAACTTTAAGTCCTTAATAATAGAAAAACCTTCCAATGTAAAGCTTGAATGTCGTCACATGAATTTGAAGAAAAAAAGTATTCCCAGATCCAAATCATAATTTATTTATTCATAGTTTTTGAATGGCATCTTTCTTACACAGATTCAGTTAAGCATACTGCCTCAGCAAAATGCTGTTCCTTGTGGAAAATTTGTCAATATTTTCATGGACTTACTTTGATTTGTCTTACGAGATGTGTATTTCTTCTTGGGAGATTCTTTCCCCTTCTTCTTGCGTGGAGTTGAGGTTGTCGGTTCTTTGAGTTCTTTCAATACTTGGCATGCTCCCTGGTGAAAGAAAAAGAAAAATATGAGATAAAACATTGCGAGGTATTGTATAGTAGTGGTGTGGTCGAGTGGTTAAGTCACTTGAAAAGTGATGTAGATGTCGTGAATTCAAGCCCCGGCGGGGCACTTACGTACTTAGGTAAGATCTTTAAATCAATTTCCATTTCTTCTCTTCACCAAGGTGCTAAATAGATAGTTGCGAACTTAATACACTTCCCATATATTAATACAGTGTATCTTATCAAGATTTATTGCACTTTTGCGCAAGTGCGATTCCCAAAAGGGTTTCGATTAAACATTGCAATGTTTGAATATTTCAAAAGTACGCGTCAATAGAAGAGACGTTCCAGGGACATAAGTTCTACTGGGAGAAAACTCACGGTTTTGATGACAAAAATCCACTCCGTCTTGTTGCTGTCAAGGCAAACCACTGCGCCCTTTCTAAAGTATGTGAGAAGACAGATGGCGGGGTTGTTCTTCGGAAGCTTGTCGACCGGCCAGTCTTGAAAGACCTTGATGGTTCGAAGAAAGCTAGCTATGCCGACGTCCTGGACGATCTCGTGTTCGTGTTTCGGGATGAAGATGGTGACGTACTCCTAGTTGAGAATTAGACAGAAAACAGACTTCAAAAGAACTTCTGCCAAATTTGGTCAAATTCAGACAAAGTGCAATAAAAAAAAAATCAATCAAACGAATCGGCATATGATAAACATTGGGCCATTAAAAACACGTTTAGCATGGCCTCTACCATCTTCTTTTAATCTTTATCTGAGCGTAAACCTAAATAGTTGCAGCGGCCAAAAAATATCACCGGAGTACACGTCACTACTGATTTAAAGAGGGTTATTGTGCCGAGGGGTGTCTCAGTGCATTTGTATAGGAGACACATGCAATTACTGGTAGAACAATTCTCAAACGTTTCTCACCTCCTTGTCAAGACTCAGTAGTTCTACCTCCTCGTGACAGACGATGGTATGAGGTCTTACTACGCCCGTCATCAGTTCTCGTTCCTTCAAATAATAATCAAAAAGTGCATTCTCCTTTGTTTATACTTTTTTAACGAGCGTACATTGTATTGTCATCGTAATACACAGATATAAAACCCTAAAGGTGGTGCTATATGAACATTGTTAGAGTTAAAAGTTTAAAAATAAATTATAGCTACTTTATGTTTCGCATTTCGAGATATTTTAGAATATAACAGGATAATCATAACAATCTTATATGCACTTAAACATTGTCTAATAAATGACTGCAGAGTAGCCAACAAAATGTTTGATATCACAAATGGTTTCAATATCGTTTTTCATGCCCCTTTTCTATTGAGATATTATTGACGATTGCTCATTAATCACAACCTTTAATTGATATTTTTTCATTTCTGTAATATGATTTATTTGATGAGCTATCGAAATGTTGAAACATTGCCATTTGAAAAGTTATAGATGCATCATCCACTCACTCCGAAAGTGTTTCCCCTCCTGATGAAGTTGACGAGTCTAACTCTCGCTTCCTGAGTCTCCCCATCGCGTGTGGTTGTCGTGACAACCGCTGTACCGGATAGCATCAGGTGAAAGTTCTCCGCTCGGTATCCTTCTCGGATGATGATACGACGTTTCTCAAGCCTTCATTGAAAGATAGACGATGGCATCTTTATTTGAATTCATGGCAGTGTCAAAGAGATCGATTTGATTTGATTTATATGTTCCTCTTTATCATGTTTTTTTTCTTCAGATTTACTTTGCCAACATTTGACAGTATAATAAACAAATAATAACATTACCGTTATAGTATAATGTAAATGAATCATATAGAGTTGTCGCAAGGGGGAGCTTGATTGTTACGCAATCCTTTGCAATACATAATTACTTTTTTTCTTCAAAATATTGAGAAAATACATTCCGTTTCACTCACCGAAACATAACTCACTAAAATTGCTGTTATTATTATTGTAAGACTACTTTAAATGGCGGGTATCGAGAAAAAAACGCTGACACCTTTGCCAAACTTTGTGCAGCATTCAACAAGATTACAAATGGGAATATCCATGGACCCATTTTGTTTGTTTGTATGTGTGTCTGATATTTTTTTTCGACTTTGATATTCTAGGCTAACATTTTGGTAAATTAACTTAATCCATTCAAAATGGATCAACTTGTTTCAAAGTTAGTTTCGACCCAATATCCGAAGCGAAACCAATTGCAACTGCCTACCTCATCGGGAATAAGCAAGACAGACTCTACCGGCAACATACGGGGAAAAGGAAGTCGCGTATAATACCAGGAGGAAAATAAGATAACTTACTTGTTGTAGAATCCAAACTTTGCGATGGATTGTTGCATTTGAACAGGGAACTCACAGAAAGCATCCAATGTGTTTCGAAGTGACACCAATGCCTGTTTGAAATAAGCGGGGAAAATATCATTACAGTCTCATATTGATTAATCGAGAAATAATCGACATCCAACTAGTTCCAAAGGTAAGGCTAACTCAAGACTATCTCTTCTCCTCCTCCTCCATTATTTTACAAGACAATACAGGCTAATTGATAATAAACTCTATTATTTGAAAAAACAATATGAAGATGATTTTTTTTTTATTGGCAGGTACAAATGTTTGTACATTTCAGAATTGAAATAAATAAACGAACTGAAATAAAATTAACTTGATTTATTTTTTACATGAATGTTTATTACACAGAGTTATCTCAAGCCAAACTAGGTTCGAATTGAACCTGAGCATTGAAACCGCTTCATATTCTGGGCCCCGCGTTGCACAAAACTTACCATTGATGGTAACTTTGCCATCAATGGTACCTACCATGGAAATCTTGATTTTGATTGGCTGATGAGCCCTGTTACCATGGCAGTTGCCATTGATGGCAAAGTTACCATCAATGGTAAGTTTTATGCAACGGGTCCTTTTCTGTGGAATATGTAGACATCAGAAAAACGAATGGAAAACCTAGAACATTGCACTTTTAGCAATCTGAGTTTAAGCATGGCTGGAGTTTATAGAAAAATAGAAACCTATGAATCCTCAAAATATACGTCCTTGACGCTCAAAAAGATATATGGAAAGACAGACAAGATGCATTACCACAAATTAATCTCATCAACCTACCTTCTGTACTTCCTCAGGGGTTCTTTCGCTTGATTCCTTGCTCAAAATTCGTTTGGTTTCACAACTTAGCTGACCCTTTATAGTAATAAAATAAAATATATATCATGAATAGACAGTCTAAACAGATATCGAAAAGCATGCGACGATTGTGAGATGACGTCGATTTTCCTGCTTTCCAAATACATGCAGAACCGCCCGTCACAAAAGCCATTAATCATATAATTTTCTTAAGATTTACAAACAGGCTTTGAATTAAAACCGTCTTTGAACTACATGTACGAAGTACCAATTCAATAAACGATTCAGTAGTTTTCAGGAGTTTTTGAATAGTTTTTTTTTTGTGTCTGTAAAGTAGCATATTAGGAATTCTGCTTTAATCACTACACAGTTGATTATATTCATGTAGTAGCTGCGCTATATAAATTAATCCAATTATTACTACAGAAACAAACTGATATTGGTAGTTCATTCATAAACTGTCCTAAATAAAGACTATATCCTCACCCTCGAAATACGCCAGCCTGGTGAATTTAATGTTAATAACATGATCAGAGATAGAAACTTATAACCACGAAATGGAAATACCGACATGAATAGCATATTGGATATTATAAATGATACAAAATAGGTCTTAATGGAAGCATTCATAATCATTACATGCCCCAAAACAGAAGGATGATACCTCAAACGTAAAATATATGAGTTAACGAACTTCTGCATTAACAAATTTAAAAAAAAAATCAGGATTTCATTGGTGGGTCTTGGCCTGCAGACGTCAACATACACACACGCAATCAATAAATCGCCATCATTCCATTTTCACCAATCGCCAGTGATGTGCTAATCAGTGACTCCATTTATCACTTGCACCAAGCGAGGTCATTAAGTCATTCTTCTCCAACTCGTGTCTTGCTTTGGTCTGTTATTGGCATCGATTTTGAATGACATGCCCATTTCAGCAGACAGATTGATTTAGGTAATAAGGAAGGAGTGACTTTACAGGAGAACGTGCCCGTTACAAAAATGTTTATGTCTACAATCGAGGCCACAATTTACGTAGGATATTTGTACAATTTTCGAAGAAGATGAGACAAAAAACACCTCATTGATGCCATCGTCTGATTTAATTGCACATTAATAGCTACCTATGAAATAGCTATACTGGTTCATTTTTACGTAAATATTCAGCACAAGTCATGTTATAAATGTTCTAAATTCATGAGTAAGAATTTCAAGAAATGTGCAGATTTTTTTTTTTACTAATACTTATTTTGGCGTAGGAAATTAAAGAACAAATGTGGATAGTAAATAACTGAATATGCGTTTGATCAAAAGTTACCTTATTTTCATTTCCCATTCATTTCTAAACAATGAAGTTTGTAACAGTTGTGTGCCCAAAGAGTTAAGTGGTAAACCAATATTTAATTGGGATGAGGAGTGAAAACACTTAAAAACATTGTACCTTATAGTACCTAGTGCTGACTCGAGCACTGTAAATGTTTGTTTCAGCAGTTAATAAGTGTAAAATCTACCAATTAGATAGGAAGCGACTTTTATGCTCTCAGTTAGAGGGGAAAAAATCTTTTTCACAGTATATGCCATATCTAAAGTATGTCTGAAAAGTATCAGCGTCGCTCACTAAAAATCAAATAACGGCGTGACGTAATCGTTGATGGAGAAGTTATTGATTCGAAAGAATACTCTAGGTTAAAAATGTACCAATTATTAGATGAATTTTGGGTATTTCAGCAGTTAAAAAGAGTAAAATCTGCTATTTTGAAAACGATGTCACTCCTCCACCCTTAAACATGTTTGTTTTTTCTCCTATCAAAATTGTTCAGCTTTTAGGTTCGGTTAACATTAATCCATGTTATTGAACGTACACAAAAAGCGGCTTTAAATATTATCATTTAAAAAAACTAAGCATCTGAACCAAATCAATAGTACATGTAGAATGGTATGTGTGAGTAGATCGGGTCTAATGACTGTCATATCCGAGCGGGCATAACGTTGTATACATGCCCAGACCCATATTTTGTTAGTTACATCTACGTCGTAGACACTACCTTTTAATTACGCTATATTGATAATTGAAATGACAAAGATAGCTAATGAGTAGACATCTACATTGTAATTGAATCGCAAACAAACGCTGCCGGTTTCTACTCAAAATAGAAAGAGGAGGAAATATGAGACAAAATACCCTCCGTATTTTAATCATAATTATATGCACATGGATATGACCGCTTTATCCTGAGAATATAATGCTCTAGTCTTAGATGTTATAAAGGTAAGATAATTAAATATTGATTTTTTTAATATTGTGAGAACTACGACGAATTTCATCCGAACTATTTGGATACAATCTCAATAAAATAATTATCTAATTTTCTCGAAGAATATATTTTTGTTTGTTATTTGTGATTTCTTTTTCTCCCCATGCATGATAAGCGTGTTTACGAAAGATAAAGGAACAAATAATGAATTATAACGCCAACATTTTAGATTATGAATAATTCAATTGAGAAAGAAATTTGCGATAATTTTTTTTAAAGAATTCAACTACTTTCATTTTTAGGGTGAAAGTATTTAATCTACTTCGATTTACAAATCGATGACGCAGCAGAGATCTTAGAATTAGGACAAATCATCCAAATACCACTTTTCTCATCATCTACAAACATTCAGATTCACGTACAGCAAAAAGAACATTTAAAGCCTATCTGTACTACTTTGGCCAGGAGGGATTAGACCTCTCTGCTTGGTCACTGGCAGGTGGTTATCTCATTAAATCAGCTCTCAATTAACATAAGAAAAAGTGGACCGTGAGGGATCAACGACTACCGCTTAGGCATTGTTGGCTGTATAGAGGTGCATGTAGGTACACGTAGTGCAATCCCGCTTTAATATACCTTTAACTTCAAATCACAAATGAGAAATAATTAGACAAATATAAGCATACTGTAAAGAGTAGTAGAACGTACCTCTTTTCTAGCTTTGAAGTGACTGAGATCGAAGAAGATTCTTGCTCCTTTTCTGGGCGACGGTGGGCCACCTAGTCCTAAACATTCACTGTCTTGTTCCTTCACGTAACGGCTACTGAAAACACAAGTACAGGATATGCATCCATGATTTACAACCATTTATTTATACATATCTTATTTGTCAATTTATGAATATAATCAGTGGCGTAGGCGCCTCGGAATAGGGGGACAGGTGCCCTCTAACTCGAGTGATGAGAACATAAAAATGAAAGAAAATGCTAGAATAGAGGGAAGGGAAAGGGGAAAGGGTGAAAAGGACGCACCCTCCCCAATAAGTAGCCCCTATTCGCATTCCATTCTCCGAGTAAGATAGGTGCCCCCCCCCCCCCCGCATCGTGCCTGTGCCCCCCCCCATCGTGCCTGTGCCCCCCCCCCATCGTTCCAGTGCGTCTTGATGGACCTCTTTACACTACGCCATTGTGAATACTAATTTCAACTTTGGTTTTAAACTGAAACACAATACTCACATAAAGATAAGTGGTAGTGTCGTGGAATATAACTTAGATGATTATACGTGTTTACTTTGAAGATGATCTTCATCCGGATAATGAATTATATGATTATGAAAATATGGATGGGGAAAGCATAACTTTATATTCTTATAACGATGGTTATAATCTGGATTGATATAACTGATGTCTCTAAGTGATGTACAGATATTATAAGCCTATCTTATAACATATCTGCTCGCACCATCTTCCCTCACTGAGGACTATTCCTATCATTATAAAGTCACCGTAAACATGGGAAGCGTATACTGATAATGCAACTACAGTAATGTTGCCTGTTGGCATCACACCCGGTCATTTTCTTGGTGGCAAATGCAGATTAATATCTCACCAAAGGACATAAGTGTCATACCGAGGTTCGAACCCACGACCTCTGCATCTGTGTTCATACATCTCGACCTTGACACATATTTGAACACGATTTCGTAATTCACAATAATACACACCTTTTGTTGATTTGAAACGAGCGATTTATCAGCTGAAGTAGCCGAACAGCCTTCATGAAACGGTGTTTTAACTGTTATGAGAACATGAAATAAAGAAATTATTGAGAGGACAAAAATGGACACAATATACTTACAAAGAAGTTTACTACATGCATTTCTTTTTCCCTATTCTTTTTTCTTCATGACCTTTCCCAGAATTGCCTTTATCTAAAGACAAAGCTTTATTCGCCGTATCGCAATGTCATATATAGAACATCATAAGTGTATTTGACAATATTTTGTATTTTGTATGACTTAACCGGAAATGAATCAACGGCGTTACAAAATCACTGATACTGTAGCTAGAGGTAACATCGAGTCGAAAAAAACTGTAATTGAAAAGAAATATACAAAAAAGCACATATTAGATGAATATAATATAATTCATTGTAATTTTTAGTGACTGATATTAATACTTTTATAAAATTCATGAATGAAGGTAATATAAATAACCAATATCACATCTGCAATCATATTCATTCATGCGCTTTCTATGATCTTCACATGAATGTAGGCGTCGTTCATAATACTAACATTAAGTCTAATCATGATTGCCTTTCTACGAATAGAAGCATTACCATCAGAGTGACTCTATTGAAATCTACAATATCTAGTATTTTGAGTATTAAAAACACGATCGCTAAGATTTTTCGAAAATTTTTCAACACCCTAATGTTTATTCAGAGAAATCATGATTGAATTACATAAAACGTCAGTGTAAAGTTTTAACATTTCAAGAGGTGATGAACAAGGCTGTTAACATTGCCTTAGGTTGATTTTTCGAAAGTCTTTGTGATTAAGCTAGTGTTTGTTGACCATCTCTATGTGGCTACTAACTTACCACACTTGGAGGTGGAGCGATGGCTTTGAGTTGGGATCGCCTGCTTAATCTCCCGCCAATTCTTGAAGGTGATTCTCCCTGGCGACCTCCCTTTCTCGTCCGTAAACTTGGCGCGAAACTACCTCTGCTCTTCCTCCTCTCCGCCCTCCCCGTCACCTCCCCCGTGTCTAAACTCATCAACGACATCGTCGACCCCTTCGAACGGAGACTGAGAAGACTTATCTGTCTGGTGAGGGATGACCCTCGCGTCCGCGGCACGGCGCGCGTTTTGACCACATCCACTGCCCCATCACTGAAGTTACTGACCCGCCGTAAGTACGCACTGTCGTCGTAAATATCACTCAGGGAGCTATTTTGCTTTACGAGTTCCTTAATGGCTCCTAAACGAAAACTCTCCGATCGCGTAAGCTGACGCCGTCCCCTCCCATCCTTTTCGCTAATTTTACCATTACCAAGGTTACTTGGAATATCAGAAGTCCTGCTTTTAGCGCCGCTTTGCGCTCCCATTAAGTTACGACTGCTTAACCGCTTGTAAAATTTCTGACGTTTCTCGGTTGTTTTGTTTTTCACCGGGGGCTGAAGAGAGAAGCGACGCCGAGTGGAGGATCCTTCGTTCACCACTTCATCCCCTTGACCTAGCGTTGACGAGATCGTGGCTGGTAGTCGTTTCATCAAGCTAGAACTTAAGTTGATGTCGACGAGTTTTGTTGAATCCCCTAGGCCGGCGTTGATCGAGTTTGCTCTTATCAGCGGCCGACCTAGTGGTCGAATTTGAGGTAACTCAACCCCTCCCGTCGCCATCTTAGTTTGAACTCACTATACAGTCTTGTAATTAAACAAAAAGCCCGTTATATACTTTGGAGGGTTGCCCCCTATTCGCTTTGGTATTTTGTTCATGTATTCCTCAATATGATTATGATTATACCCGTTTACTGTGTATTGCAAACTCAAAGACGAGTAATTGTTAACATTCATTAAAAGTAGTTTATGAATATTAAAACTTTTAAAACATTTGGACGATACACGATATCTTTGATACACAGTATTTATCTCTCAGTTTAGGTTGCCAAATCGTTTAAGTTAAAATGGTACAAACGAAGGGTATTAACTCCATGAGAATCAGAGATTAAGTCTATTTAATTCTTTTTCTTGATTGCGAGATTCAAAGGGTTATCCTTCGGTGCTATGCTGGTCCATCATAATTCATTTAATGAGATGTAACTTTCCTGCTACTCCTATGCACAGCGATTTCGATCAAGTTCCACTCTATTAGGACACGCTGTAGTTGCTATGGAAACATCATATTGAACAGTCAATTAGTAAATCTATTACTTTTCCCTCAAAAAAGTTACAGCGGCTGGAATCCAGGTGTCGAGCGAAATATGCCTCAGTTGATATCAAACGTAAACTCCTAAACGAGTCGAGGTGTTTTAACACGAGATGATGTCCGATTTTGTACTCCAAAATATCCAGTCCACTGTTAAACATTTCGTCGAATCAATACAAACAAGAACTTGAAAACAACGCGATCTGGCTAATAAGACTTATAAATAAGTTCGAAACTATTCTTCCACACTTAGTAAAGAGCAGAAGCGAAGGTTTGCAAATGAAATCACGAAACCTGGAGTGAAGACCGTGCCATTTAGGTCTATGACTATGTCAATATATGTCTTCCAATGGTCCAGGATTCCATCAAGTCAACACGAGCAAAAATTTGAATTAAGAAGAAGGTGATTCCTCAAACAAAACCGATGAGTACGATTGATGTTCTCCTACACTTGCTGGAACACCCAAAGCCAAGATGGAGCCGCCATGATGTGCAGATCGGTCTCTTAACCTGTAATGAACCTTGTAGGAACAGGCACAGGTGGTCCGTAATCATATATGTGCGTTATACCTACAATAGACCCCTCCTTACCAGCTTGACCGTAACATTTACAGTCCCGTATCCCAGAGACATCATACGTCTTACAAAACGTAAGGCATGCCAATCAATAACTCGTATAGATTTTGCACAATGAAGGAGGAGAATGTTGAATTGACCAGCGATTGAGGGTGTCTTTAGGGGTCTTAGAGGGTCGACAAAGGGCTTGGCCAGGCGACTCGAAGACAATGAATCAATACTTGACTTCGATCGAAGGTCCGCTCAGGATTAATCCGCAATATTCCCCGAAGAGCCTCATCTATTTTCCCCCTTTTAATCCGAATTGTATCAGGGAACAATGCCGTTGACATCTTTGGTCATGGCCTCTCTCGTTAGCGTGTCTATTGAAATTCTAGGCCCTTTATAAATCTGAATGAACTTGACCAAAATGTCGATGATTAGAATTTAGGTTTTATCATTGAACCATTGCGGACATAAATCGTGACCGGATTAGCTGATCATAAGAGTTGAAAGGTTCCAACGATAATATTAAAAGAAGCCAACTTAGGAAGGTGAGATAATAATAATTAGAAATGTAAGAAGAGAGAAAGGGGGAAAGAGGATGAAGTGAAAGATAGATCAAGTTAAGAAAGGAGAGAGGGAGAGAGAGAGAAAAAAAGTGGGAGAGAGAGAGAGAGAGAGAGGGGGAGAGAGGGAGAGAGGGAGAGAAAAGAGAGAGAGAGAGAGAGAGAGAGAGAGAGAGAGAGGAGGAAGAGGATGCATGCAAAAAGGGTTACATTTACATCATATTATTATGAGACTGAGGCAACGAAACGTGATTCTACATCATACATGCATGCATGCTTACTTAAATGATTCCGCCATGTTTTCAGATGTTGATTTCACGAAACCGTGATATCAAGATTTTAGCAAGATGAGGGGAAGTCGATTTTTAGAAAAATTATTAGAGATAACAATGAAGATGTTTTTATGTCTGTCATGTTCATCACTACTACTACTACTCGCCGTTCCACATTTTATAAGTGCCCTCTGATAAGCGCCCACTTCACCTCTGATAATTGCCCGAATTCAAATCTGAGAGATGCCTGTGCCCCTTTTATTCTAACACGGTTCCCATTTTCCTCTCAAATAAGTGTCCCTTTTCCTTCTGATAAGTGCCCCTTTTCGCCTTTTCGTGAGAACCCCTTTCCCTTCTCATAAACGCCAATTTTCACCTCTGCTAAAAGCCCATTTTCTTCTACAAATGCCCCTTTCCTTTAATAAAAAGTGACCCTCTTCCATATTCATAAATGTCCATTTTCACCTCTGATAAGTAGCTCGTTTTATTTTGACACGTGCTACCTTTCTTTTCTGGCCCCTTTTCTCTACTCATAAGTGCCTCTTATCTTTTTCTATAACACGTGCCCCTAATTTAAAGCTACCAAGAGCAAGCTTTTGATATAATTATACTACTTATCAAAGGTCTGTTCAGTCTTTCATAATTAGATTGTGCCTTAACTCCATCAAGATTATGATTTTTCCTCTGCATAATGTTATGCACTACGACCTCACGAATTTTGACAATTTTTGCTCGCTTGCTTTCCTAACTGCAAAGTATGATCTAAGCAGTATCTCGGACCATGTAAAGAGAAAAAAAATACTGAAATAATCCCTGATAATGTTATCACAATGTAGGGGTTATATACCATCGTCTAAAATTGGTATATTATCGCTTTGAGGTTTCCCTTTGTTGGAACCCGAAAGTGCCCTTTTTTAATGGCACCCCTTACTTTGGGAGAGGCTTCGCGGCAACTGCGGGTGTATACATATGTGGACCTTATCTTGTTTCTATCTTGCTTCTAGTTTTGAATTGCTGATTTTCAAAAAATATATCTTGTTATTACAAAAAAAATATTAAAAAACAAAACTATTTTCACGATGTATCATAAAAAGAAATCACGTTATTCTCAGGGCCCAAGACATTTAGTATGTAGAAACAATAAAGGAAGTTATATACCGCTTTGAAAATTAATGTTTATTGCATTTTATTTGAACATTCTTTAAAAAAATACAACAATCAAAGGCAATCAGAAAATGAAGACCGACACCAACAGATATATTGCCTATACAATTTTTACAGACTGGAAGACATAGCAAAAGGCATAAGAAAATAAGGATTCATAAGGATACCCCAAAATATCATTAAAAAAAGTGCATTGCATAAAACAGTGTGTAAGCATAATGCTTTCGAATTAAAGAGGAAGAAAAGACTCATTTTCTTACAGTGCTTGTTAAAAAAGAAATCACACGTTAACTTTGATCAATAATAACCTGAAAGATCCCACTCATAACGCTAAAGTTCTAACATTTTTCCTGGCGTATGGTTCTTACTAACTGGAATAAGAGATTTCTTCATTTTCAACCAATTTATCACCGATTGATTCAAAATAAAAAAAGATACCAATTGTGTACCGCACCTGTCGTTCTATAATGCCTTCCTCCAGCATCATCATCTTGTTCTATGAATGGGCCTGCTTAGCAACATGGAAGACCTTATAAGAAAACGTATTTCTGGTTTTGATGAATTGCTGATACATGTACATACAAATTAGGAGGTATATATATTTCAATTTTATCAAACGAAGAGCTCTCCTTTAATCGAATTTAAGAAGATCTTACATCTCCAAAATTGACAATGTGCAAATTTAAGTTCGGTATGAGATTTAAGTTAAGGCAAAGGTCATTGTGATCTTGGACATCATCATGATCATCGTCATCAGTAACACATTGTCATCATCATCACCATCAGTGGCGTAGCGTGGGCTCGGTCATGGGGGGGGGGGGGGTCTTTAGTTGTTTTTGTTGTTCAGTCAAGTAAAGTCTGACTATTTACGCCTAGTCTGGTTCTATAGTTTAATCAGCCGAGGTAGTCGAGTCGTATTAGTTCCTAGCTTGGAAAAATAGTCCTTTTTTCAACCATTATTTTAAAGTCAGAAATAAAAATCTTTGCGTCACCCAAATCCCAATTTTGAAAACAAAACATCCACTTTGCATCACTCTGGCACTCGTCATTTGCCATCTACACACGTAAGGGCATATTCGATTGTAAATTTTTCGAGCTAGCGAAATAATTAAGCGAGACCCAAAATGATTTTTTTAAAATAAAGGTGACAAACAACAAATATTTGGTAAAGAACACAATAGATAAGACAGACAATGATGTATGTGGGAATCTTCCCGATGAATATGCATCAATACAAAAACTCATAATATTCGTTCACCTCGAATTTTCCTATTTTCTCCAGGGGGCATGCACCCCCACCCCGTAGCTACGCCACTGGTCATCATCAGCATATAATATAAAGAAAGTGTATAAGCTTCACCCAAAGTCTTGTTTCAATTTGAAGTAAGATGAACAAATTAATACTACTAAATGCATGATTGTCGTAAATAATATACTTTAAAAGTCACTTGACTGTAATAAGGAAAAATTATTTAAAAATCAAATGTTTAAAAACATGCAGAATAAAGATCAATTTGTGGACGGTTGATATTTTGATTAATAACATAATGACCTTCCATATGACTTTAATTTTTAAAATTTGTAATCACATTTTAAATAGCGAACCACATTCTGGTATATTGCTTTGCCGTGACTCCCTGTCTTCTGGTGGAAGAATTGTAATGAGAACCTGAAACTAAATCAAGTTTAGGCCTTCTATGTACAAGCATACAACGGCTATTAAATGATTTGAATGGGCGCTTTTTGGAAGCTCAGAAAATACCGGGTGGGACACTATGTCCCCTGTCTTAATTTGTCTTTGGTAACATTTCATCTCTCATTGGAAAACTTATTTGTAGAAAATATCACTCTCAGCCTCCTCATACTTTGCATGAAGAGGTAGCCTGCCCCCAACTCATCAAACTCCAATGGAGATGAATCAACGGAATACAGTAATCAACTCCGAGATTCTTCTGCGACACACGGGACAAAGGCCGTCCCCCGTTGTGCGTACTGCTCGTGCGCATCTCTCGCACGTAAACAAGTGGCGACAGGGAAGAAAGACGCAGTTCTGCCTCTGATCTAAACAAACGGTGCATAGATTTTCGTCAGGATTAAGTGTACGACTCATGCTAGTAAGTTTTTCTTTTAAGGTATTCAACTTAAGATTGATGGTGGTTAAAAAGTAGCTGAATACAAAAGCGATAATGAATCCAATGATAAGAAAAATGACAATGATTTTCCATTGAGAGCTCAGTGAACTTTCCATCTCCTTGATTCGCTCATACAAGTCACCCAAGTCAGATTCTGTGTAAATGGCAGGGCAAGTTTCCTCGGTGTCCCACCACGAAAACAAACAGTAGAAAGGATAAAGGAACCATGACAGCGGAGTCAGAACGAGAATCACAACGCACTGGCCTAAGAAATAAAGTATCAACGAGATTGGATAGAGAGTATATGTCAGCAATCCAAATAGAATCTGCGAGACCATCTGCAGGACACTGTAGGTCAACCCAGCAAAGATCACCAACTTGACTTCAAAAGCCCTGCTCACTGGAGGTACATCCCGATCTAGGAATCCAAGAATTCTTTCCAGTGTTGCAGTCAACCGATTCACAGTTGTCTCCATTTTGAGGTCTTGATCTCAATAATTCAGTTGCTCCGTTGCGATGTGAAACGGTGGTAGCTCACCGATGGATTTCTCTGTAAGCAGAAATATCGAAATTGAAAACTAATATTTCGGCTCAGAATACACTACGAACAGGCGCGCCAGAAGCAGTTTGGGATTGGGGGAGGGGGGGGGGGGGCAAAAATTCCAGGGGGCTCACATTCCAGGGGCTCTCATTCCAGGAGCAGTGACGTAATGAGAAAAAAAAGTTCAAAGTGGAGTATTATCGATCAGGTAGAGCGTAAATGGGCGTGGGGTCCAGGGCATGAGCCTCGGCAGGGGTCAAGGGGCTGAGCCCCCAGAAGCTCTGAGGTTTTAATATTTAACTACGGTCAGATGAGCATCCAGTGGCTGTCTTAGGGCCCTTGGTGGGGTCCAGGGGGCAGAGCCCCCGGAAGCTCAGAGGTTTTAGGTATTTAATTACGGTCAGATGA